GCGCATGAATATGAACCCACCTCAGAATGTTTTGTTAGTCTAGACCAGTTTCTTCTGTTTTCTGTAACACGAGGTCACTCATACCACCTCGCATGTTTGTACTGAGTATATATTTTCTTTTTTTTCTCAAGTTGTCAATGTTTTAAAGGAATAGGCATATTATTTTTAAAGCGTCTTGTAACTGTCTACATGTTAAGTCAATTTAAATATTTAAAGTAATGACGGCCGGATGGCGTAGTGGTTTGTGAAACGGACTGCTACACCAAAGGTAGCGCGTTCGATTCCCGCTCAATCGAAACATTAATATGTGAACATTTAGTGCTTGATTTGGGCTGTTTGTTTCTATCTATAATAATAGGTATGTATTTACAAAAAAAGTATTAGTACTCTAGTACCCATAGTACAAGCTACGTTTGGAACTAGATGGCGTTGTGTGACTGCGGTAGAATGTTATTTATTTATTAATGAAGTGCCTAAAGAAAGTAAGGATATTATATTACGTGGTAAAGGGGAAATTAAATTAATTATGTTAGGTGATTTTGGTGATTTTTCTACCGCCCTTCCTCCATTGGTGAGATATCATGAGATTTGGTTCGACCCCCTCTTTCTTCCTACAATCTCACTCTTTGATTGCGTTGGATATATTAAAATTAACATACTAAATTTAATCTATGATTTTTTGTTTGAAACTAGTGAAGACAATTTAGGACTTTAGTAAACATGGCCTAAAGTTATACATAGTGAGAATAATAAGACACTAGAATTCGAATATTCTTTCCAATCAAATCGTCAGATGTTCATCAGCTGGAGTTTTCTTAGGGTCGGACGTTGGACGAAATTTTATTTGAGATCTCAAAATTACCTGATATTTGCCGAGGCCCCCGTCTCCCCTATATAAGACTTGGCGAGATTCCCCTCCACCTCCTTAACCCTCCTTAAACTCTCATGTAAACTATTAAATTACTTGCTGTAAGCTCCCTAAAATATGATAAAAAAAATATTTAGAAAAATTAAGCTTTTTTTCTTTCGAAAATATAGAATGTAATACAAAACCCAACTAACTACTATTAAAAGTAACAAAACATTTGAATGTACAATTATTTAATTTAGAATGCCTAAGATTGACCAATAGTCATACAAAATAAAAATTTAGTAATCTAAGTTCCTGCTTAATTGGCCTTTAAATTTTTAAAATTCCACTTTCAAAAAGTTACAACCAAACCAAAAGTATTGTGATAAATCTCAATCATATTTGTTCGTTCAAAAATTTTTGAACGAACAAATATGATTATATAACAGTTCTAATAGTGGATTAAGATAGTAAATCTGTGAGTAATCGTGGTTATTCGTGATGCACGGTCACGGCTACGCAACCGCTGAGCCTCGATGACTCACTGGAGGCACTGGACTTTGTACATACAGCCAGTTACGCTCTCGATTTCAATTTTTTTTTCTATTTTATTACTGTCTCGTGACCTCTTTTTATTGGAAACGTTATTCTTTTAATGGACTTTTTACATTGTTGTTGTACAATATGGCTCTCGTAACTGTGATGAGTGTGATGGCATTTTATTAAATGTTTTTACGTGTTTACGATTGAGAGGATTTTTGTTACTGTGAGCGTAATAATAAGTGTTTTTGAGGATATTGTTTATATGCTATAGTTTTTTTTTTTACTAAGGACCAGTTTTCATTACATTGACAAGTCTTATCAAATTTATGCGAGATGGTATACATTCTCTTGTGAACATTAATATGCTTATTTATTATAATTATATATTTAGTTTTCTTGTTTCTCCTATGCATTAATACGGCTTCAAATATCTTATTCGACAGGTTTGTACATTAAATTTCCATAATGTTAATAAACCAGTTCTAAATTGCTTAATTCTAGTTTAAATGACACTATTACTCCTTAAAGCAACAACATTAATTGACGTATGTCACTACGTCACACAATTGTTGCCCAGTTACATTGAATTGAACAATGACAATAAGTCGAAGTACAATATTATAAAATATAAACACTGTTTCTACTTATTGGCCTGTACTAACCAGGTAAATGACAATAATGACGGCAATTCAGGTTTCTGAACAAAGGCCAGGATGTTCTGCGGTCGTGCTGTTTACCGCGCGTATCCGGGACGCGGGTTATATATCAGATGTCACTCACTGGACTTTATGGTCAGATTACGGTTTTAAAAGAAGAATGTGAGAACTGTTTCGCGCTTAGTAATTTTAATATTCTTTGTTTAACTGGCCTCAGACGGAACTGTATTGCCATTGGAAAAATAAGAGACTAGTTACTTTGACAAGAATAGAACTTACTTACTTTACAGTATTTATATTAAGCTTGAAGTTTTTAACTTAAAGTCGCCAGTCATCAGTCGATTTTAACTTAGATATGGCTTATTTATTCTAAGGTACGTCGCAAACGGGTTGCCGATACCAATTACCAATAGATAGCCAAGTTTATATTGAGAGAGTTCAAGAGAAGTTTCATGCCTGGACGTCAAAATGAACTCGATATTTAGCGGTCTTTAACAAACTAAGATTTGATGGCCGTGTTGATCTAGTGGTTAGTGACCCTGACTGCTAAGCCGGAGTTCGTGGGTTCGTTTCCCACCCAGGACAAATATTGTGTGATGAACACGGTCATTTGTTTTGTGTCTGGGTGTATTTATATGTAATATGTGTGTATTTAAAATATATAAGTATGTTTCTCAGCAGTCTGGTTACGATAGTACGGGCTCTGCCTAGTTTGGGATCAGACGGTCGTGTGTGAGATATGTGAGGTATATTGTATTATATTATATTCAAAGAATCTATCAAAAAGACAGGTAGGCTGGATATAAAAATAATGGGTGCGCCAGGACAGCCTGCAACTCGGACAAAGTAGAGTAATGTGTCGCTGTTTAAAAATAGAATAACTCAGTTTTAGAGGTAATCATAAAATATTCAATAACTGTAATAAATAAAATTAATTGGCACTGATTAATTTAAATTCTTCAAATTTCTTGATTGTGGCATCATAATAACACACTATGCCGCTTTACCGCCAATACAAGGTTAGCAGTATATTAATTTTATATTCATTTCATTAATAATTACTTACTTGATACTTGAAATACATATATGTAAGTATATGAGACGTAATATTCGTATCTTTTATGAGATTTGTTTACACGCATAACTACTAACATCCAATTATTTGTAAGATATATTTTTGTTTTTTTTTTTCGATCGAAGGTCTGTTTGTCTCCTCTATAGTCTTTAATTTGATTTATATTAAAATAATTATATAATTAATATTTCTTATTTTAGCTTTTGTGCTCTATCACAACGAGCACAGACACAGAACAGTAAATTAGACTTGCAACGAATAGTATATTCGGCAGTATACCGAATACCGAATATTCGAACCCCTGACCGAATAGCCGAATATTAGGCAAAAGTATTCGGCTGGATTTTAGCGCCAAAAACTTTTACAGACGTGAATTAAATTATGTACCTGTTTTATGTACCAATGACTACTTAATAAATGATTATAAAAGAAATAAGAACCTTACCCTTCTAAATTTTGATTACCACAATAATTCAAATACATAAAATCCTCTATTTTTCCAATTCAGAAGATGATTATGTACCTGTGTTATGCACCAATGACTTCTTAAATGATTATAACAGAAATGAAAATATGAATAAATACGTAATCAATCGATTTTAATTTTTCATTTTATCAATTATTTCTCAATGACAAAATATATTATTTAAGTATTCGGTATTCGGCCGAATAATATGTAGATATTCGGTATTCGGCCGAATATAATAAAAGCAGCCGAATAGGCCGAATACCGAATAGTAACCGAATATTCGTTGCAAGTCTACAGTAAATAGTACATACGTACAAAAAATATCCACTGCTATTGTCTTTTACCATAGACACTTACCATAAATAATATGTTAATTATATAGTATAAATTTGATTTTTTGGACTTTCGCATCACATCTCATGAGCTTGTATTATGAATGTTTTTTTTTTGTTATTAACAAAACAAACAAACTGTTCTCCAGGTTCCCCACATGCACGTGTTAAAATAGACCCTATTGTCATTAGCAACATACATGCCAGGTGGTTACCTAATACAGCGACACTCCGTCATGTGCGGCTATAAAGCGTGTTTACGCTGACATTTAAAATATTACTTCGTTACACAATTCTGACAGTTTCGAAAGTATTTATGTACACATAAGCCTTTCTTTGAATTTTGTTACTAAGTAATTTCTTCCAGCTAAACCACTTTATGAGGACTAAGAGCAGATAAAGTATTCCTTTAAAAATTTGCAAGTTAAGCAACATTGCAATGAATAAATTTAACGAAGGATAACCTATTCCCAGAGGGCGATATTGGTTTTAACAAGTAACTGGAATTCTTAATACGTTATTCTAATTCAGAAACCAATATCAATTTGAAAACCCTTTGGAGCTCTGAGGGTTGTAATAAAACTTCGTACAAAATTTAGTTCCGATCTAGTCTTGTTCTCACAAATATTATAAAAGATATTTTCATAGTAAACCTTTACTGAGATTAGCAGAATACCAACTTACTACAACTATTCAACTTTCAGATATAATATGAAATAATTACATTACAGTCAACGTTGGATGTTTAAAACTTTACTACGAAAATGCCTTTTATGACAGTCGTGAGATCGAGAGTAGATTGGAAATGAATTTTGAAAGAATTTTTATTTCGTGATTTGACCTTCTTGATTATTGACATGATGATTTCTTACTCATTGCAGAATCAGATATTACCGGTGGAGAAATCATTAGTCTACGGGTGCTATGGGCAAAAAAAAAAACAGTTTGTAGCCCAGTCTTTATTTACGGTTCTAGTATAAAGCAATATTTCGGCAATAGATTTTGTTTGTATGTGTTGTTTTTAAGTCTTTATATTTTCTCAATGTTATATTTATTTTCATTTCTTTGTTCGCAGTTGTGGTGGACGTAGACGACAGACCGATCTGCGTAGAAATCTGTGATACTGCGGGACAGGTGAGCTATAAGTTTAACATCTGTCATAGCCAAACGAACAAGCGAAGGGCAAAGGCATTACCTACCTTTTCTCAAAGCGCTTTGTTGTTTTTTTAATCTTCATAACTTGGGCTTTGATTATAGCAGATAAACAAAAATTTTTGGAATTCTTTTCCTAATTGCTAACTATCGGTCATATACCTACATAGGTACATATACCCAAACGCCATGCGAGGTCGTAAACTGTTTGCATACTGTCACTTTAATTTTTTTGTAGGTGTAACATAATAGACCGTAATGGAACTCAGACAATCCTTAGCACCATTATCTACTAATTTTGCTTAAATACTTCATGATTATAAACGTAAATATTTTCATTGCGTAATGTTGTGTGGTCGTCGAGTGGGGACTGAATAGTTCGGAAATTTATTTTAGATGGCGCTGTGTAAATCGCAATAAAACCAAATAAGTGTATTGTCAGATGTAATTTGTCAATGGATAGAAAATATAAGTAATTGGTAAAATGTTGTGTTTGCTACCTGACACAAACAAAAGAGTTTCTAACAACTGACTTCGATGTCGCTATCGCAAAACGATCGTCATGTGTCATCATACCTCATACATTTTAGTGTTGTCACTATCAAATTACTAGAACATTCACAATTATCAATGCGATAAAGAGTCATTTCTGTCTATCAAGTATTTATAATACTTCAGACGGCCAGTCACTGCTTCACCTATTTAGTGTCACAATGTACTCGTATGTACTTACAAGTTCCGACACAGACATCTACGACCCCATTTAGCCTGTCTGTGTATATACATGTAACGGCGGATGGACGAACGGTGATGAACGGCGTTAGTCAGGGGAAAATGATCCCACCCTGAATTGGTCTAGGCCGATCATTTTTATGTTTTTTTTTTAAACTTACAATAAACACTTTGTATGATGATACGTATCGTATTAGTATGATTTTTTTTTTAGTATAGGTATATCTATATCTAGAAAGTTCTTACGATTTACAGTAGGTAATCAAATTAGAGCTTGTCCGGTGCCTGACAAAATAAAAATGACTCCCTTCTTGAGTAAAAAGCTATATCTATTCCTATATGTGTATATACATATATTATATCTTTACTAATAAATGTTAAAATATAATTTGTAGTACATCAAAAGTCTATCAGCACTACTTAAACATAATAATATTGAATATTTTAAAATGAGAGGAAAGAAAAACACGAAGTTATTAATTCCATGTTTATTGTACAGTGAAGTTGACACAAAATAAAAACATAGGGTAGACCTGAGTTTCCGTGTGGTGACGGATTAAGAATACAGAGTGTCACCACCCCTATTCATCCCGTGGGTGTCGTAAGAGCCGACTAAGGGAGCAAACTACGCAGGACAACAGCACTGCAGAGAGAAGGAAAACTTGACACAAACCCTATACCTACCCGTCTGGCCGGTATAGTAGGCCAAAACCTCCTTTCTAAGGAGAGGCTTATGTCCAGCAGTGGACTATTAAAGGCTGTTGATGAGTTTCAAAAGATAATATATAAAAAGTAACCTAATTCAGAACTAACCTTCACAAAAAGTTAGCAGGCCTACAGCGCTGGCTACGAGCAGACGACATCTATTGATACATATTGCCGACAGTAGCTATCCATCAAACCGGATATCCTCCGATAATTCTTACGATAACTATTGACTATTTACAAATTTAAAAAAATATGTCCAAAACAAAAAATCCTTAACATGTTAGCATCCGTACAGATAAAAAATCAGCAGCATAATGTACATATCCCACGGTCATCACCTGGCGCCATATATAATAAAAAAAAGGCAGAAATATATGAATTAAACACGCGTTATAATCTGTAACCGTCAACTCTCTTTTTTTTTTTCACGAACAATAGTCAATGGTGCAATTCCCACAGTTTCTCTACCTGTGCGAGTACTACACAAAAAGTAAAGTTTGTTGTATTCCATACAACTATGATAATAATAGCGCAGGTGGTGTGTAGGTGATCACCTGCTTTACTTTATAGTAAATGCCAAGTGCGTTAAAGATATGTAGAATAATAGATATGTATGTTCAAACACCATTCGTAGCATAAATAAGTAGCTATATTACAGAACATAATTACAGGTAATTCAGTGTTCACCTAGTTAGGTTTTCTTATTTACACTTAGCCAAGGTTGGTAATCGTATTTAATTAAAACCTTACCATTTGACGAAATTGAATTCTTAACATGTCTACATATAATAATGCAACCACCTGCAACCCAGAGTCACAAGTGCGTTGTGCCCTTTGCCTCTCTCCCCTCAAAAGGGGGAGAGGGGTTTGAGCTCCGATAACCATACTCACTTGGCGAGAAGCCAGGAAGAAACTACCTAAACTAACTACCTGTGGTACTCCGGTCTCATGCCGGTAGCATGACTCGTCCGTGACAAATATGAACATTAAAGGTCGGATCGCATTGAGCGGCGCTACATATCACTGCGCTGCGGGTCAAAATATTCTCCCGGAGGCAACTGTGCCCGCATTAATGCGACATATACACTATTATACAAAATGACTAAAATAATATTTTGACGCTTCGTGCGACGCCGTGCAGTGATGCACAGCGCCGCTCAAATGCGGTCCGACCTTAAATGTGAACTCAAACATTAGGATTTATGGTGAAACAGTCCGTCGGGATAACAAGTCATTCGCCGTAAACATTACAATAAAATACAACAAAGTTTTTTAAACCGTGACGAACTAAACCGGTAACCGATTCAGTCATGCACCATGCGTGGTGGTGCCATGTGTTTCTAAGTATAATTACTTTATTTTTTAAATATCATATTAATATGGTGAGAAGAAGATTTTTATATATTAACTTTACCTTTAGCAATTCTGTTCTTCCTCTTAATGTTGTGTTTCGCTTTTTTATATTATCAGTATTATAAACCAATAAACAATATTATTTGAAGCGAGTATTTATTTGCTTTTATTCTTCTTTTTCGTTTAACTATTATGTGTATTTATTACACGTATATGGAAATATACAGGTAGGTATGTTTATCAGCAGTCTGGTTACCATAGTACCTCTGCCGGTTTTGGAGTAAGACTGGCGTGCGTGAGATGTATCAAATTATTATTTTTGTGTTGTATTCGTATGTTGTCCAATTGGAATAGATATAATAATATATATACTTATGCAAGGCGAACAGTGTATTTTAAATTAAAACGCACATAACACTTAAATTATGTCCGTGCGGATGTATTAGCGATTACTTCTACATTGCCTGCAAATATACGGTTTAACACATAATCTAAATATTATGAAGGTATGCTAGCACTCGAATAAGCATATGCATGGTAGTAGATAGGCAGATGTTTGTTTTGACAGCTGTTAATATGAAATAAAAAACACTGCGACTGGGAATATCTATATACATTTATATAAAACATTTATATATGTTTGTGTACGCTTCAAAAACTCGAAAACTTGCACCGATAGCATCGATAGCATCAAGAATGGTTTTTATCTATTTTGTACATACAGCTAGTGGTTTATAAACTTTAAACCTTTTCCGATTGTTAGTTTCCATTACCATAAGGTAATCATAGATACAGTAGTCGCATATTAATTGTGTTACATGTGACATCAAATACCGCGCGCGCTCATTGGTCAAAAATCATATTTGATTTGAATAATAAGCGCAGGGAAAGTAGGGGACTGAAAAGTGTTACAGGGAGCCGGTTTCCTGTTACATTCTTCCGTCCCTTTTGCACAGATTTCAGCTAATCGAGGGAAAAAATGTTACTCATCAACAAATAGACATTAACATATTCATTAATGTATGTAGCTTTTACTTGCACTTGAAAGAACCTAACACATGTGGATAATAAAATAATAAAAAACATAATGGAATATCGTGGCACGTTGCGTCATACACAATAAAACATAATTATTCTTTTGTTTTGATTGTTCTCGACCGACTCGTAGTCAGATATTATGGCAACTCTGAATCACCATTATGAAAGTGAAATGTCTACGTGTGTTTATTGTAAACGTTATTATATGAGAATTAGAGAAATCTCCCTAAGGCTTTAGTTAGAAAATTTAATGTATATAAAAGTACCTACTGTGTACATGTTTTCTACGGCCAACTTTATCGAGAAACCATTTGTATAAGTGAACCTGGGGTAGAATATATACATATATGTATATTATTGTATCATCATCACATTGCTTTTAATAGTCCACTGCTGGACACAGTCCTCTCCGTAGAAAGGAGGTTTTGGCCTACTATACCACGCTGGCAAGTATTTATGAGTTATTGTATATAAAACGTAAAATCTATCGTCATAAGGCGTAACAGTCTTTTGAGAATAATCTTACAATGTTCTTTAATAGTCTAGAAATATAACGCAGAGGGCAGCGACAGTTGTGGTTTGCAAGTGATAAGATCGTCCCAAAAGGCATAAGTGTCAAGTGTAAAAAATATAATAATATAAACCGGGAACGTATAACTGCATAAAATCCAAACTCCTAAAAATAAGCCCTTCCGATTATAGTCGAAAGAGGTATGTTAGATAGGATTTAGAAAGTTTATGTAAATACATTCGTTACACCTGATGCGATTCCCGTGCACATCTGTCACTTGAGACTATGGGACACTGCTTGTGAACAACAGCTGCTGTTAGCTGTACTTACATATACTGCGTGAAAACATAAATAAAAAATACAACTATTGTGTTAGGTATTAAACCTCTTTTTTCCTTTCCTTTCAGGAGCTTGCTTCTTTTTTAGAAAAAAAAAACTAAAACATGATTTTCACATGACAGGTGTAGAATTTTTAATTTTATTTAAAATTGGAACTGGCTACTAGCTGCTGCAGCTGCTGCGGCACATAACATGGCCCACTCTTTAAATTTCAATTTTAGAACATAAATACCTATTCCTTAAAGCATTTCGTAAGCTTTTTAGAAGTGTATTGTAGGTACAAGCGATATTCAATCAAAATTCTGAAACTCGACTGTGCTTATAAGGGATCACCATACTGTAAAAGGAAGTGATGTAACTTGCCGTATTTAGCGAGAACTGTTAGGCTATCTGTACACTGCTCTGATCATATATGGTGTTGGGAGATGAGCTTCACAAGCGAAATGTTAAGCAGAATTTATGTTACTTGTAACACATAATGTAGAAGGACCGATGAAACCCAAGACCCACGTTGTAAAACGTAATAGAAAAACCACCGTGACGGTAACGTTAAGTGTCAGTGTTAATGGCATGTGATAGCATATTTACAATTTCTGATTAATTTTGTCCATTTTGTGTAGTCTTATGAGAAAGCTTTTTGAATTGATAACTTCTTATGGGAGGGTAAACCGCTTCGTTACGTAACGCGTTACGCGTTTGTATGGCTTCCCTTTCTCTCACGCATACAGCAGCGGCTCCTTCTCTCTTACTCTAAACCGCTAGCCATTTTAATTTTTTATTAATATAATTTAATTAGCTAAAATTTAAGTAATAACCTAAGCTTTTCTCAAGTAAAACAATTTCAATATTAAATAGTCCAACTTATATCAGTTTAAGGCATCACTTCCCCTCATTCCCTTTAACCCTCATTCCATTTGACATTAGGCAAAACCAGAGCTTAACTCCCTTATTCGTAAATATTATCTTGAGACAGTTTTACGGTGGTTGAGTCGTCTATACCAAAACAGATAAAAGACAAAGATGACACCTTGTTTTTTATAAAAGTTATTTACATTCTAGCATTTTATTTGTTTTATATGTATTTGATAAGTTTATTTCAAACGACAATGCTTTTTATTAGTAAGCCTATTTATATATAATTTTTCTCCATGAACTTTAACAGAAGCTGGATCGTAGCAGTGTGTTAGGGCCCCTATTCTTTAGTTCACACTGTCAATAGGAACTTTCACCCACGACTCTTAGCACTCACATTCTAAACACTATTTTTATGGTCACGTCGAGTCAATTTTGATTGATGAATTTTTATTAGAAAAGCTGACACAAAGAGAGAAAAGTGCTCACTTTAATAATCCTTCGTGGTTTTATTAAACTTTTTAATGATGTAGTTTGCATCTTCAATTACTTATGCCGCTCTTAATTCACTATATATTTTTAATAACTTTAAAATTCATCCAATTAAGTTTTAACTGCCTTTCTTCTAAATTCAAAATCGTTTCAAATAATCGTCTCTGGATTCGTTTTCTTTTTAAACGATCTAGCACTTTCCCATAGCTAAAAAAATATTAAAATCAGTTCATACTTAGCAAAGATATAGTATATATATCTGTGCTATGTGTGAACTGATTTCAAATTCTCAAATATACGGTTTTTCTTCGTACGCACGCTTAACGTTCCAAAAATAATTTTCGAAGTTGGTTGGCAAGAGGAATGTATTTCTTTGATCATGTATTACATTTATAACTTATTCTATAGTTTTTAACTCTTAAATCCCAATTTTCCTGTCTCCGCCGTCCACCAAGGCCATACTATTACTCTGAGAGTAATCCTGGATTACAATAGATCAACAATTTTAGGAACGTACTCGTACTACCATGTAACATACAAGCCTTCATAGATGCATATAAAATGTAATCTGGTTGTTTTCGATTGGTTATCTGTGGTAATTAGTTGTTTTGAATAATGATGACGTATAGGTACAGTTACTTATCAAATGCATTGGTCATTGAACTCGTTACGCAGTCCGGTCTCACCGTTACTCGATACTTGAGCCCTTTGTACCAGATGTCAAGATTTTAAATATTGAAATGTTATAATATAAACATGGATAATCCCGAATATGGGCATATACATTAATACTGTATTGGCTTGGTCAATCGAGGGAATATCAAGATATTAAGAACGCATCTACATAAAGTTTGCTTTTTATAACTTAAAAAGCAAACTTTGTACACATCTCAAAGACGGTCGTCTGATCACAAAAAAGGCATTCTTATAATATCTAAATACACACATATTATTTTAGATAAATTACACTCAGACTCAGGGCCTCAATTCTGCTATTACGCCAAGCCAGTGTCATACCACTGACACGCTATTGAGATGCCATCGAGTAGCCATTGGCATCGGTATAAATATCGGTAGTTGAAAATATATTACGTTTTTTGAGGAAATGATTTATTTGTTTTTATTATAATAAATTATTAAATGAAATAAATAAATTAAAATAACTTTTTTAAAAATATTTTTTTTTTTATTAAAGAATAAAATATAAAAATTATAAAAAAAGAAATAAATAAATTATTAAAATACAACGAATCATGCTCATCACACAATTATCTGGGGATTAACCACTAGACCAAAAAACCAGTCTATCATCAACGTAAATTTTTAGTCCTGCTTCAAACACTTAAAATATAATAGGCAGTTTTAGGCAGTTGTCTTAGGGTTTTAACTAGAAATACTCGCCCAAGTCATTATTGCACGACTGACTTCTTTATTTCATTCAATTTTTTGAAACCAATATATTGAGTGAAGTATGCTCTACAGCATCTTAGCAACTATGTTATCAGATACTTCATACACTACTACTACATCACTACTGAAGGGAATGTCATACTAGTATAATATATTTAAAATGGCTAACCTGGCCTTAGACCTGTCGCTAGTCTGCTGGGGATCAAAGGATTTACTTACTAGGTTACACCTGAGTCCCCATTAGGACCCCGTGACGGTGGTTGGAACAACGTGTGGTTTTAAACGGTTTGACTCCGAATTTCCACTTGCTATTAATCCCTGATGAGATGATCACTCGTTGAATACGTCGACGGTGTTTCCAGATACTTATCAATTGAATATTTCATATTCAAATTGTTCATATTTCAGGATTCAATGTCTGAACTCCGCGAACTCTGCTACCCTGGCACCGACGTGCTAATGCTGTGCTTCTCTGTGGTGAGACCCGAGACCTTCAGATCAGTTGCTGAAAGGTGGACCAAAGCAGTTGCTAATGTCCAAGCTCCCCTTATATTGGTTGGAACACAAAGTGATCTGGCGCAAGATTCAAGAGTGCTGCAAACTTTAAAGGTGATTATTTTTGTAATTATGTATTTATAATAGTTTTATATTCTTGACTGCGAGGACTTCTATCGTGGATATAATATTATGCATATGTGAGCAACTTTAAGGATTTATTTCGAGGCTGAATCCAGCATAATCTCTACCAAGAAATAAAGCGCCCCGTAAAGAGTATCACAGGATTATTTTGTAGCTAATCTTTATATAAACATATCGCAGCTTTCGAATATGAGTTACCTAACGCAAAAAGACTCATTTATTTTTAAAGCGTACTGTGGGGAAAAGGAGCTCAAATTATAAGCAAGAAGGTGACTGCCTAGTGAACTAGTGCTTAGGTATATATTTTTTTAGAAATATCTATTTCCATATTTTTGTAGAATAAAAACACCCACTAATGAAAAGAAATATATATTCATGCGAACGAATATTTAACCTCAATAACAAAACATATTCAACTTACAATACTCCTCAAATTGCATCAGGGGTTATAATTTAAATTGTATTTTTTTCTGCCATGTTATTTTCCTGTGCGGTCATTATTTTTTTCTTTTGGCAACCTCAAACTACAACCATCCAGTAACTAAACTTATATGAGATACAAAGAGATAGGTGTGCAAGAGTTCCTCTTTAGACAACGATACGCATAACAGAAATATTGCGATTCATGAGGATATTTACGTCACTATGTTATATACATTATGATATAGCAAGACAATACGCTATGGACACCATGTTCGTTAAAACTCATTACCTTATCTTTGTACACGTAATATACTGTTGTTTGTATATTACCTCATTATTATCTCCTCGATACGAACAATATTTACAAAGAACTTAACGTATTGCTAGAAAGTATTAACGTTAACTCTTTTATTACCTAACCATATCAATAATACCAGGAGAGTTGCTAGACATTAACATTTGGACAGCACGGATGGCGTAGTGGTTTAAGCGGTCGCTACGCCGCTTTCTATTACGCCGAGTTTTGTGGGTTCAAACCCCACATAGGACAACACTTTCTCCACAATTTGTTGTTCTGAGTCTGGGTGTACTTTGTGTCCGTTTCATGTATGTTTGTAAAGTCCCCCGCCACACAAGATTTACTCCTAGTGCGGGAGTTGTCTATAATATGTCGTTTTCTTTCGCTCTGAATTGAATTGGCGGTCATACCGTCAGCGCCGGCTAGCGCGACTTCACCTCACTATATCAATTCTTCCACTTCTCTTACAAACCTTACTTTACTTTTCATTACCTTTTACTTTAATCATAATAGGAATCTTCGCTTTTCAAATAATCTTCCCCTTTATGCCAGTCATTCTTCAGCAGGTGCCACTTCTTTCATTATTCAGTCTGTCCTCCACTGTCTGTACCCTTATATCCGTATACTTGTAAATTAAGTGTTAAATAACATAGTAAAAAGTTTTAACAGGATCTCTAATACTGATCTCTAAACAGATTATCTATTTTAAATAGAAGTCATACCAGTGTCGTGTAACACCGACAACTCATAACTAATCTGAATCTCGGTAACGGGTCTAACGATTTTCATGAAATTTAGTATGCAGGGGGTTCCGGGGCCGATTAATCGATCTAGCCAGGATTCATTTTTAGGAAATTTATCAAAAAAGGTCATCTAGGTACTGTTCTTAATCTAAAGAAAAAAAAAATTATGTATTTAAAAAACATTGCTCAATGTCAGTACCATATACCATGAGAATGGTCGCAAATTGTAATTAGGAGCTAAATAAAACTTTTGTAGTGTTCTGTACTGAAGCTGTATTTCGACTAAAATATTGTGTATTGTCAACTATGACTATATATATTTATATAAATAATACATTGCTGTATGCATTGTATTATTTATATAAATACTCGTAGTATGACCATGAGTCAAACTTTGGCATTCAATATCAGTCATGTAAAAAAATGAACTAGCGAATAAAATATTCGTAAAATAAATATGCATTTTATGTTTCAGGGACGAAATGAACAAGTGGTTTCCGAAGTTGAAGCGAAGGCCTTAGCAGCCAAAATCAATGCAGTCTATATTGAAACGTCGGCCAAGACAAGAAAACAGCTGAAAGACGCTTTTGACGCCGCGATCTTGGCTGGGTTGCCAATCATACAAGCAAAACGACCTTTTTGGAAGAAATTATTATGTTTGAGTTAAATTATTTTAGGAAAAAAATGCTATTTTTGGAATACCTGTTTGGAAAATTGTTGTGTACAGTGTAGATTTGTTGCTCTAAGGATACAATATTATAAAAATTATCCTTTTTAAATTGTTACTGTTTAAATACTTTGTAATAATACTTAATGACGAGTTTGCCTAATGAAAAAATATTATAAAACATATAAGCATAATCTGTGATGCTATTATTTCAATTTTCAATGATTATGATGTCAATTATACTGGATTTGTGATTGGTATGAGTACATAACAGTTTTCATCAATGAGTTGGATACCTATTATAATGTCATAAATATTTAAAGATATTGCGGTTAGTTTTTGAAGTTGTTAGATGCACTGCATCCACTCTAGTCATCCAATTATTGAATATGTGCTGATAATAATCACCTTATGATCAATTATAAATGGACTTTTTTAGGCCGGTTTTGCGAAGTAAACTATGAATTATTAAGTGAATAAGTACTTACTATATCTTGCAAAATTTAGATCATATAAGGAGTCTGTGGTTATGGCAGTCTCATAAGTGTCTTAATTGTCAGTGGTTACTTTATTTTTATTAAAATTAATTGATTAATATTATATTCATATGTATTCATTCTCAAAACTTTGTACACCGAAATCCCTATTTGTGGTTAACCACAAATGTGTGGTTTATTAATTGGTTGTAGTGTAAAACACTACAACTATGGTTGAAAATACAACCGATATAGGACAATTAAATGCTAGACACAGATTTTAATCATCAAAAGTATTTTTTGATTTCCGAACTATTTAAATTCTCATAAAAAGGCATTCTACAATTACCCATGATCTCTTTTGCCATTATATCAATAAAAATCAATCAATTAATTGGAATTAATTGTAATAAATATAACATTACTTACGTCTATTTGATTTATAATTCTCATAATTTTATCCATACATAAACCTATATTTAATTTGAAGAAAGTTTGCTTAAATGTTGTATCAGACGAACCGACGTTTAAGTGAAAAAAAAATTATAGTAGTGCCTTATTAAATAAATATATACTGCATTAAATGCCAACTTTCTATCAAGAAAAGAGATTAGTAAATTAATTAAACAGTATGGTAACACAATTAGCTATTATAGTAGATTTTCTGCATAAAGCCTACATAGCCACATTTAAAAAACGAAAACAGAATTAGGTATATTCTTTATAAAGACTTTATTCTACATCACACATAGTTTTCACATGATGTTCATATTATATGCATCCCTATAGTTTTAATACTTTGTGCATAATTTCAAAGTTTCACACAAATACCTTGGCCCACATTATATTAATCGATTGCAGTGTTATGGCTTGTCTTTCAATAAGTAGATGGACTAGTTACAAATTAAGAAATACAATCACACAACATAGATAGGTGTCAGTTGTATAATTAGTATACTGTATTGTGATATGCTTGAATTATGTTTCATTGTAAATTATCCTAATTAAATCTGTATTTTTAGAAATCTTTTCACATATCATAGTTACAATTTTTCATGTTTTCAAAGTTGTTCATATAATATTGCAAAAAAAGAAGTAAAAGTTTCACACTTTTAATAAATACATATATATTTTTAGCCCTCTAATTCTTTTCAAAAATATGTAGTAATTGTTCAAAGTATTTTTTTATTTATGGTAAACTTGGTCGGGCCGTTACCCGCATTTTCACGTGTATATACGATTACAGTTCCTGTCTTAAGGGCGAAGTGTAATGTTATATATATAGCTTATAATTTTTCTCAATTATTACTAAACAAAATATTAATCATTTAAATCTGATTGATATTTCCAGAAGAGTGCTTTAAACAAACAAGCAATCAAACAAAAAGTATTCAACTTAATTACATTAATGATAGATTTTATTGAAATTGCCAAGCAAAAAAAGCACAACAAATTAAAATAATATTAAAAGCTACCAAGGTTACATTCTTAACTAGGCTTATTTTATTTATAAATTGCTGTTTTTATTTTATTTTCCTATAGCCAAACAGAATGTTTTAGGTAAGAAAATCGACTTGGAAGAAAGATAGAAAGAGATAGATGGGAGCTGAGAACACGAATACCATAGAAGGGAGCATATTTTGTTGGCAATGTGTTCGTTGAGGATGGCGTTCGCGACGCGAATCTGGTTGTGCATTGTTTGTACCCATTGGACAACATTGGCAACATTGTAAAACCCCAATTGAATGAAATGAAACACTTTGGCGTTATTATTCTTAGACTTAGGATGTAAATTTTAATGCAAAAATTTTAATCTACATTATAAATACGATGTTGGATTTGTAAATTAAAATACTATAGTTTTAATGTTATAATTTTAAGTTGTTATAAGTGTATATATTGATTATTATTTTAATGTTGTTTGATACTCAACACGAACTGATGATAATATTTTATTATAATACAGTGTAGTTGTTTTATTTTTGTTCATAAAATACATTAAAATAAAAAGTAATCGTAAAATTTAAAGGAAGCAAGTGTGTTCATCTATTAAAAAGAAACTTATTGGTTGAAAACCATATTTTATTGATATGATTAATTTCATAATTTAAGGGGCATTGCATTATGATTTCCGAGAAAGGGACATTTTGAGAAATCCTACATTATACGTAATTCGTGCACATTAGGTTTTACTATGAACAAGAACAGGTAGCGGACTACGATACATATACAGACTATACTGTGCCGGATTAAGCCAGCATGGGGCCTATAGCAAATTCTATCAAAGGGCCCTTGGATGGTTTTAGGCCGTCTAGTAGGTATTCATCATCATCAACAGCCTATAATAGTCCAGTGCTATGCATAAGCTTCTCCTTAGAAAGGAGGTTTTTGCATTATACCATGCTACGGGTGGGTTATACCTTACTCCAGTGACTAACTTACTTTATAGGGTTTAATTCAAGTTTGAGACGTCGGCCCATGTTGTGCGATGTTCCACAGGGCTGTGGTACATAGGGTACGACTGGGCCTTTTGAGGAGACTTCCCCCTGGGCTGGGCGTAATCTGTGACGCTGACGACATGTTGGTTACATACAACTTTCAAGAGGCGGCGCGCCTGTCCACAACTTAGGGTGTCTCTTTGGTGGTCGAGAGTATTGAGGCGTTGGGATGGCCCTCTTATTTCGTTTGCTACGTCGTGGACCACCCCCTGGCCTGCCTTCTTTTGACCAATTTGGGTTTACCCACGTACACGGGGTTGTCCAGTCAATAGCACTGTACGGTACACCAGTATGGACGGCGGCTCTGACCGCCCAGAATAGGGTGTTGGCGTTTAGAGCCATATTTGGTTACGGTACGGTGTCGACGCAAACGGCGTGCGCGTTGGCCTAAAAACTCCCGTGGGGTTTGGAGGCGAAAGTGCTTCTGGCAGGTAGCGGCAGTCGGCTCTCGCCTGAAATGGAACGCCAGTGGTGTGAAGCCGCTCGCAAAGCAACGATGGCTCGTTGGTCGTCCCAGCTGGAGGCTGGCTTTGCCGTCGTGGAGGTGCACCAGTTGGTCATCGTCGAATAGGCAGGGTGGCAGCATGAGACCCTTTCCTTCCGACTGACGCAGATCAGACGGCTGATTTTGCACTCGGTCGCTAGGAGGAAATTCAGTCCCGCCTGTCATCATTGCGATTGCAGGAGGATTCGGCTCGAGTCGCAGTGCAAAACATAATTTCTGATGCAAGCAACACTGACTTTTAAAAATGTACTAGAAGTTTAAATTATAGTCGGACACACATCACACATCACATCAACAGCCTTTACTAGTCCACTGCTGGACATAGGCCTCTCCTTAGGAAGGAGGTTTTGGCCTACTATACCACGCTGGCAAAACGGGTTGGTATAGGGTTTGTTTCAAGTTTTCCTTCTCTCTGCAGTGCTGTTGTCCTGCGTAGTTTGCTTCCTTAGTCGCCTCTTACGACACCCACGGGATGAATAGGGGTGGTGACACTCTGTATTCTTAATCCGTCACCACACGGACATATAGTCGGACATTTAGATGCAACTCGTGATAAAAATTGTGGCTATATTGATTCGAAAAATATTTTCACGAGTTGGTGCGTGGGGCCCCTAAACGCACGGGGCCCGTAGCATTAGCTATTTCTGCTACGTGGCTAATCTGCCACTGAGACTATATACGAGTATATATTATATTTCTAACTAGCTCAGATCAAATAAAAAAGTTAACATGGAACTTTGCGGAGAACGAAGTGACGGTTTTATAAACATGTGTGCGTAGGCCAGTGCTGAAATCATAATTTTATTTCATTGAAAATATTGGTTTCTACGATTACGTACGTGTAAAATTTGATTCCATCCTACTATCTTTCTCTTGTAATTTGATTTTTACATCTTTTCACAACACACAACACAAGGCGTAGTTTTAATTGGGCTCACTTCTTTGATCACAGAGAAGCATCTTAACTTTCTTATTTGATCTGAGCTACCTAGAGAATGTAAAAGTTGAAAAATACTTTATCAAAACTGATGACAGATTAGAAGCTATCGATTTATCGAATATAAAATAATAAAAGAGAACTTAATATTAAAATTTATTATTCCATAAAGTATTACAAATGCAAATTTAGTAAGCTATAATAATGTCCTTTGTTAGTGCCATCCGTTTTTCTTACATTAAGTTTTAACAGCACTTTTTTACTGACTCGAATGCAATGGCACAGTGTCCTGATACTTTGATGCTTGTCTTTTGGACACGTGACCTGAAATAAACAAAAATAGATCCTATAAGGGTTAATATCAGAATATAATTTTCTGTTGTGGTGTTCTACAACTAAGTGTTTTTTAAGGGGTTCGAACTTCATAGTCAAATCGTATACAAGTCTAAAACTATACATCAATGCAGTGTTATTCACATTTCTTCTGGTTCCAGTACCGTGAGAACCAGTCGCCCTTACCGTGATTAGAAAATTCATTAAATTTCTGGACAAACAGACCTCAAAACCACTGCCTGCTGTAGTTATATAATAATAATAATAATAATAATAATATATCTCACACACTCACACACGGCCGTCTGATCCCAAACTAGGCAGAGCCTGTACTATGGTAACCAGACCGCTGATAAACATACTTATATATTTCTAAATACATACATATTATAGATAAATTACACCCAGACACAGAACAAATGACCGTGCTCATCACACAATATTTGTCCTGGGTGGGAATCGACCCTGACTGCTAAACCGGAGGTCGTCCTCCGGTTTAGCAGTCAGGGTCACTAACCACTAGACCAACAACAACAACAACAACAACAGGCCAACAACAGGCCCGTCGTCATATAAAAGAATATAGTAAAATCAAAATAGACACACACCCTCGAAAGGGGTACTCATATCTTCGAAGGGTCAGACGTAGGTTGATTAATTGAGGCGCAGTCCTTCGGCAACTTCAGGAATTAGTTGAGATATTCGATAGTAATCCGATCCGTGCCTCGAGAGCACGTTAACCCGTCGGTCCCGGTTACCATATGAATATCTGTATCAATCGTTAGTTAGGGTAGTTGCAGCTCTAAAAATTCCAACTACAGTGTTTCTACAGAACTGAAATATCTTTATTTCATAAAAACTGTTATATTATTTGAAATCGTCGTTTTTGTAGACTAAAGTCATAGATCAATATACAAAATAGGAACAATCTCGGTTTTGTCTATAGAAATCGTAATAATAAGACGTGTCTTATTATTACTATTTCTGTGGTTTTGTCAAATATTTAGCAAACTAAGAATATACGTATCGAAAATCTCTTATATGCCTGTGCCGATCTACAACCGCTTATATCCAAGGGGTTGAGCCTCATGAGAAGAAAGGGCAAATAAACAACAGAACTACAATATCGCGTAGGTAGTACTTGGGTTGTGGAGGTCTGAGGCCTGGTACTGAGTCGCTTACTCTATTCCTATAATATCTCTAGGAGCACTAAATGGGTATTATCATTATGTGAAATCACTATGATCATCTTCACATAGTATAAAATAAAATCGGTTTCCCTTCCTTTACCTACACTTAGATCTTTCAACAGATTTTAATGTGGTTTTCATCAATAGAGATAATTATTAAAGACGAAGGTTTATTTATACAATACATGTATATTCCACTCACACTACATTAGTATCTACATTGCATAGCTAGTATAGTATAAAACTAATACATTACCCCTTGTCCATGCAACAATCGACGCCACTCGCTACAACTTGCAGTTCGTTCGGCAGAAGGCGCAATGGGCTGAGGTTAATGGCGTGTGTTTCGTCTGATAAGTTTATTACTCCTGCAACTACATGCTCTCCTGGTACTAACCTAAAACATTTTAATTACTGCGTTCATTTTTATATGAATATTTGGGTATTGGGCTTTCGAAAACCTACGTTCCTCGGTGAAAAGCAAAGAACGAATTGTTTTCTGTTAGGTCGTTGTTTCACTCTGGTTGTTTTATGACGATGTCAGTTAAGCACTTTAGGCATGAAATCATAAAACCTACTTACACATTCGTAATATAAAGTAAGAATTGTGTTTGTTTTAAATTCGTTATCTACTTAGTTTTAAAATTACTCTAAAGGAAATAATAATTATTACTAATATATAATATAATAATTAATTACGGGTGTTAGGCAACTAAATTTTGGACAGCAAACAATAATTGAATGTATATTTGAATAAGGCAATAGCCATGTAGCAGATATTTCTGCTATTGCCTTCTTCAAATAACTAAGAAATTGTAAGATTTTTTAATTTTCTCAACGCATCCCTCTCGACATAAATCGGAACTTACCTGATGACCACTAGAATGGAATCAGACAGTGCATGTATCTGCAAGTCGCCGAAACGCACAGCTGGCAAATGCTTCACACCCACCATATCTTTGTAGAACTTTGAAAACAATAAAAATTAACAAATTCATTTTGAATATATAATTTGATCACTGATTTATTGTAACTATTGTAGTTCATCATTATCTGAAGTAGGCTTCCCCAAAAGAGGTCCAGAGATTGCAGTTTTATAAATATATTTGTCGTGCACTTTTCAAGCAGTACCGTTTTCGACAGTACGATGGGGCCCATGCTCAGGGCCCCCATCGTCACGGGGCCCCGAAAAGTGTATGTATAGAGCGATATATTCACTTATACTATACATTTTTTTCCTATTTTCAATTGACATAAACGACAAAAAAGAATTATAAGTAAGGAGCAATAACAAGCCCATTGGATTGGAACTTTTCAGGGTTGTTACAAAGTAGCCACAATGATATTACATTGCGGAATGTGACAGAAAATGTGACATTGCCAATCTTTCCAAATAGGAGATGGTTCTCCGTTTCGCCACCTTCTAAACTTTTTTGTTGGATTGTAAAATGAAAAAATAACCATAAAATCGCCTGCATGTTATTTACATGCAGGCGATTTTATGGTTATTTTTTCATTTTCAATAATTTTATGTATTTATATAATTACAACTTAAAATATTTTTTTACTTTGTTTTTAAATTGGTGCATGTAGGTTCCGTTCTAGGAACACCTGAGAAGTGGAGATAAACTATAAGGAAAAAGAGAAAATAAATTTGAATATTGGGAATATTATAAATATTTAAATAAATGATGAATATAAAAATTCAAATATATAAATAATTTTAAAATAAGGTTAAAAGAAAGTGAAATTGGTTAACTACAATTGGTTCCACGCGTACTACGCTTTCCTCAACAATAATTCGTAATCATTAGTTATCAATTTCATATCCTCAAGTAAAAAGTGAAAGTTATAGTCTTTGACAGACAGACTAAGATATAACAGAAGAATTTGAACAACAGATATCTCGAAAGAAATCATTGTCATAATCGTAACTGAATAAAACCATCCATTCAAGCCTGCTTAACTAAGTAATACTTGTATTTATATATTCTGTTATACTTGCATGTAGCTATAATGTACCTATTTATTTCTTTCGTTTTACTATCCAACAGAGCCCCAAATACCTGTGTGCTCGGGGGCCCCGGCATGACCTAGGACGGCCTTGTATTCATTATGCTTAAGTCATTATGTCATTAAGTCATTATGTCATTAAGTCATTATGCTAAGCTACTAGTAAATAGTCACAGTCAATATTGAGCTACATTCCTATATTTTTAGTTGCTTTTTAATTAAAAGTTTTATTAAAGTAACTTTTTTACATTCATTTGTGTTTTAAGTTATATCCGTGTGGTGACGGATTAAGAATACGGTGTCTCACTAGCAATATTCATCCCGTGGGTGTCGTAAGAGCCTAAGGAAGCAAACTACGCAGGGGAACAACTCTGCAAAGAAAAGGAAAACTTGGCACAAAACTATACCAACCCGTCTGCCCAGCGCGGTAAAGGTAAAGGTAAAGGTTGGTATATACTATTTTGGTCTACTGACCAAAACCTCCATTCTAAGGGAAGGCCTATGTCCAGCAGTGGACTATAGAAGGCGGTTGATTTGACGATGATGTGTGTTTTATGTTATAAAGGTGCAAACGGGTCACCTGACGTTAAGAAACCACCGCCTCCCGTCGACACCTGCAACTGAAGAGTCACAGGTGCATTCCCGCACTTAGAGTCCATCCCTCAGAATCAGGGGACTCCGGTAACCTCACCGCTTTTAGGTAAAGTCTTGGGGTTACAAGCCAGATTAAAAGCTAACTGCATGAAATAAACGCATTACGTTTCAGCACTTGTAAACTCACTTTGTAATGACTCTTTGCTGCCTTCTTCTGAGTCGCTAAATTCAGGGTACGATAATTATCAGCAACGGGCAACCAAGTTGTGTCGCCACTAGAGAAGCCGGCATTGGAAGTAGCGTCCCAATGGAATGGTGTGCGAGCTGGATCACGACTCTTCTTCCAGTAGTTGACAGGGTCATCTGTATTGCAAGCCTGAGGATCTTTCGTCTCTTCCCAGGAAACTTTTCCATCTGTCATACCTAACTCCTCACCCTGGATTAAAAGGGAATCTAATAAGCAGAATATAGGGTGTATTAAACACATTTTTCGTGGAACATCTCATCCTAAAGAAAAGACATGCTAAAGGGGGTGTCAAAGGATTGATGGTGTCTTTAAAGATGACTTCAGTGAATTAATGGAATAAAATATCTTACAATAGATATCGTCCGATAGCTTGAAGACGTCTAAGAGATAATATACCAGTACAGCAGAAAGTTCCTGTTTTTTGATCACTTAGAACTACTATCATTTAATTACACAAAAATATACTAATCGGTATGATGGATTACCTACCTGATATGTGATTGTTATTCCAGGAAGTATGAGAGCAAGCATATTCAGTGCATCCACTCTTTTATCTCCGTGTCTTGAAGCCAATCGGCTTTGGTCATGATTACCATTCTGAAAACGTGCAAAACTGTTTATAGAAAAATTTGCAGGACACAAATTAAAATATAATTGCATAATACAGAATGTTCAAAATAAAAAAATGACTAAGAATAAAATGCTAGCAGGAATATGATCTTAGTTCGCTTTAGGTTCCTAAAAAAATGGTTTGAAATTTGCCTTACTCGTCATTTGATTAATAGCTAGAATTAACCAAAAAAAAAACATTTTTTTAATATTGACATTTATGTTCTTGTTTCGTTTATAGTCCTCAGGCCCTGGATCTTTTTTTAAATTATTACCTATAAGCTAAAACTTGCCGACCTGTTAGTATTACTGAGTCGGACAAGTTTTTCACTTGCCAAGTCTGATTTTTACTCCCCCGCCCTGCAAACACGTCAATTTAACGATAGTATGTTTGTTTATTAACTACCAATAAATGTTTATTCTAATTACTAGATAACAACGGTAAATTGGCTGTCGGACAAAACGGCCTCCACCGTTCGTCGCCAGTCTCATATTATTCAATATACTCTGTGGTCGCCAGCGTCCGACTCGGCAACGTGTCGAATTTTCATGGGTAAGTTTTTTAATTACCTACAAGCTTGGTAAATCGCCTCGTTTGAATATTGTTAGTCGTCAAGTAGAAATGTCCGACAAAAATTATGCATATTGTACCGCATCCGACGTGGTGAACATGTCGATTTTCGGTTAAGTAGTTATTTTCAGACTCGACTAATTTTTAACTTGTAGGTAATAATTGAAAAAAAAGGGCCCGAGGACTATTAGTAAGTTTACAATATGGAAGGATAACACATCAGCTGAGCATCTTGTAACTACTGTAGCTGTACTGTAAGCATTGTAGCCACATATTTACCACCCAATTAGCAGTTTTTCCAAGGGGCATATACGTCATCCATTTATCAACAATCAACTTTATGTCTCTGGCATTAGACCCTTTTTTTAATTCATCAAGGAATATGAAGTTGAAGGGTACAGAGCCTTTGCGATCTGCATTTCCGTAGTACCGCATCATCCGTTTTAGGTCTGTGTATGCTTCTGTCATCATGATCTTTGATTCTTTCTTCCTATACTCATCAAGAACAGCCCTCCAATCGTAAATAACATTGTACAGCTCATCAAGGTCTCTGGTATAGATGTGGTTCAGATATTCATAGTCATCAGGCGTTGCGCCTGCGACACCTATAATTACAACCGTCATTTAGCCGTTGGCGAATACGTACAGAATAACTTTGAAGTGATTTAACGGTAATCGGTACTTCGCCCTAATAGATTTTGACAAGTTTAAAATTTCATCCATTTATTCGTTTATTCATTTATTGATCAGTTAATATAAGTACATCCATTAAAATTGTTGTACTTTGGAATTTATTTAGGCTTTTATACAACTTCAACTTACCAGATAGTGGTTCGTCTGGATAAAATCCTTTAAAATCAGCAGGATCTACTTCAAACATCATATTGATTGCGTCCATACGGAATCCAGATACACCTTTATCTAACCAGAAGCGTAGAACATCCTACAATATATCAATTTACAGATTAGTCATTTCACAAGTTGGTTTTTAAAAATTTACCAAGGTTAACGTAATTCCTACGAGCCTTTTCCATTCTGGGTTAGGATCATCGGCTTTCAGCCTACTACAACATGGCGGAACTTCGATTTTTTACGAAGATTGACTGTCATCAGATCTCAACAACCCAAGTAATAGGCGATATCGAAGTTCTGTAGACAGATTGTAGTCAGATTTTTGAGGGCTCCAACTAGCCGTAGCGATTGACACAGATGTTCGTATAGGACCGACGACTTAGCGTGCTCTTCGAGGCGCGGAGGGGTCTCAAAGTATTAAGAATGGTCACCCAGCCATAGACTAACCTGGCTGTTTGTTAATTTTGCAATGTGCAACTCTAATTTTGCCTACTACTTCTTACCCATAGACTAAAAGAAAAAATAATAATATTATAATATACCTTCATCTCTTCACGCACTTTCTCGTTACGGAAGTTAAGATCGGGTTGACCAATCAAGAATTGATGCAAGTAGTATTGCTTGCGGACTTCATTGTATTCCCAAGCACTCTTGCGAAATACGCTTACCTGTACAAAAAAATAACCTTTTGCCTTCGATGATTCGTAATTATTTTTATATGGGAAAAGTACATAAATAAATAAATTTGATAAGTTATATAAAGTTATAAAAGTTGTATAAGTTATAATAAACAGGGTAGTTACCATGTTTATTTTTAAAAATTAGTTTCTGATATCTCGGCACTGTTGTAAGCGCCATGAATTCCCGGAAAAAAAGTATGGTTAATATCCTGTTTATAATAACTTAAGTGAAAATGACCACGATGGTTTAAATCATTAAATAAATTTTACCCAGTTGCTAGGTGGAATTAACTTGTCCGGATTTTCAGGATCTGGCTTTCCATCCGCCCAAATATAATAGTCGACGTATTCGGGATCTTTTTGCACGGACTTTACAAACCATTCACTTTCGTTGCTCGTGTGGTTGGGTACGTAGTCCAATATAACACGAATGCCTGCGATTTAAATAATGAAATATTGTTTGTATTTTAAGCTTCAGTGATTCGTCCCAAAGCGAAAACATTTATTTTTTTTAATTATAGAGGAAGAGAAGTTTTTAAAATGACTGTTGCTCAATGCAAAGATTCATTTCTCACTAGTTTAATAATAAAACGTGCTAAACGTAATGTTTATAACGTGTAATGTAACGTATGAAAACTTGTTGATGTCCGTCCGATTTAATTTTGTAAAAAAATCTATATCTAAAAAAATCTAAATTATACAGGTTTTCCTTTCAATATGTTCCCAATACTCCCATCTCCCAATCATCCCATCACATCAGTTTATTGTCGGGATGGCAATAGGCTTGTCGCGTATTTCGTGAGTTAAGTAATTGTAGTTGGAAAAATGTGGGTGTTTACTTCGGTGATACAGACAAGAGTTTGGGTGTTTTCTATGTATAATCTTATATATAAAATTCTCGTGTCACAATGTTCGTGGCCCGTACTCCTCCGAAACGGCTTGACCGATTCTCATGAAATTTTGTGTGCACATCGGGTAGGTCTGAGAATCGGCCAACATCTCTTTTCATACCCCTAAATGGTAAGGATGACCCATCCCTATTTTTTTTTTGTTTTGCAATACAAGGTTTGCCGGGTCAGCTAGTATGAATGTATTTACAAAAAAAAGTATAAGTATTCTATCAGTCAATCTAGCTTTCATAGTACAAGCTCTTCTTAGTTTGAAACTAGATGGCGTTGTATGTCAGATGTTCGAAAAAAATATTTCTTACTGTACCTAGTACCGCCCTAAAATAAAACCAATTCTGGCCACTCCTTTATACAGGCGTATATTTGAATTTAGTTCGTGACATTACCTAAGCTCTTAGCTTCCTTCATAAGGTTGTCGAAATCCTCCATGGTCCCGTACTCCTTGGCGATTACTCTATAGTCTGCTATATCATAACCAAAATCGTACATTGGCGACTTGAAGATTGGAGACAGCCAAATCGCATCAATCCCTGTGTTTTTAATATATTGCAGTTTCTCTGTGATGCCTGTTAAATAAATAAATAGTATTGTGGTTTTATCAATCTTTGGTGGAATTAAGGCTAAGAATACCATGGTCGCTTAGCTTGGGCATAACAGATAGGTACTAGCTAAGATGCTAGTTTTTACACTCCGAAAGCATAAGAATTAAATGAGATATCATCTATCCTATGGGAAAATGGTTCCTAATTTAACAACCGACAAACGATTTTTTATTGTATTTTTCATTTTTTTATGAGCTCAAATATCTGTGGATTACATAGATTCTTACAAAATCACCAAACCACAAATTATTTTTTTATTACCCAAAAATTATATCTTCAACAATTTTTTGTCAAACATAGCTACAAAAATTGCATTTTAATCGGCCCAGACGTTGATTATATGTGTTGAATATTTACATTTACAATGGAGTTAAAACAATTAAATAAATATATTCTTTACTAAGTACCTAACCACCTAACAAAACAATTTTAAAGCAAAAAGGTGTTATCGATGATGTCATCGAGGTTATAGTATAGAAATGAGCGCTACAGTTTACAAATATAAGTATACCTACGTATTTTATCTCATCAATAATGAGTACGTGTGCATGGATTTTTTTATTAAACTTCCATTACTATGTTGTATTGGAGATTTGAAGTTATAATCAAACACTTAATCATCATCATCATCAGCCTATCGCAGTCCACTGCTGGACATAGGCCTCTCCCATTTACACTTAATCAAAACAACATTAATTATTTCTGATAGATTGTTCACTTACCATGTAATCCGATTGCAATTCGGCTTTTTACTTTTATAGTTAAAAACTTCTACCAAATGACATGATATATGTTTGTTGTAATAGATAGTTGTAATTTATAATACACGACTGAAAACTGTCACCCAAAATACAAGCCTAAGTCATCTTTTATTGCATATTAAGTTTTATGTGTCTGTGTCTATATTTGTATGTTTATGTATGTATATATTTATTTCCTTACCGTTCAAGTCTCCGATTCCATCTCCATTTGAGTCTTTAAAGGAACGCGGGTATATTTGATATACCACGGTAGACTCCCACCACGCAGCACCACTCACCGACACCAGGATCAGTGGCAACAAAGTCATCAACCACAAAACAGAATTTTTCATGTTTACTAGGAGGAATTGGTTTGCTCACTACTTCATTTATAAAAAGAAAAATAGATTGTACCGCTACCCGAAAGTAAATTTGACTGCAAGTAGAAGTTTGTAACTGGCAACTTTTATTTCTTTACAGATCATAGGTATAATAAAATAGATAATATATAAATAAAATAGACATTAATAAAACGACTTTCTACTCGTAAGCCTTCGACATAAGTAAGTCACTGTGCTAGTGTGTTACGTGGTAGGTCGTTACGTTAAGTATTCTTTTTATTGATTGCCTCGGTGGTGCAGTGGTAACGTATGCGCTGTGCTGAGTTCCCGGGTTCGATTCCCGGGTCGGAACGAATATTTGTATGCTCTGCAAATATTTGTTTTGGAGTTTGGGTGTCATCTATGTATAATATGAATGTATTTACAAAAAAAAAGTAGATAAGTAGGTATTCTATCAGTCAATCTAGCTTTCATAGTAAAAGCTCTGCTTAGTTTGAAACTAGATGGCCTTGTGTGTCAGATGTGACAAAATACGAGGGCGGGTCAATGAGTCCGTGACTTTTGGAATAAAACACAGATTTTTTGATAAATAAATCATTTTATTTTAGTTTTTATTTTAGTCTCCCTTGAGCTCTATACACTTTGTCCAACGCTTCTCCAATTTTTTTATCCCTTCCAAAAAATATGATTTGTCGAGGTCCTCAAAATAGGCCTTTGTTTGCGAGATGACTTCATCATTGGAGTCAAATCTTTTTCCACCAAGCCATTTCTTCAGGTTTGGGAACAAGAAGTAGTAACTCGGAGCCAAATCTGGAGAATAGGGCGGATGAGGGAGCAATTCATAGCCCAATTCATGGATTTTTGCCATGGCAACTGCACATGTGTGCACCCTTGCATTGTCTTGGTGGAAAAGAACTTTTTTCTTGGCCAAATGAGGTCGGTTTTTTTTTCAAATCGTCATTGAATCGGCCCAATAAGTTGGCATAATATTCCCCATTGATTGTTCTTCCCTTTTGAAGGTAGTCAATGTGGATTATCCCGCGTGCATCTCAAAAGACAGTAGCCATAACTTTATTGGCTGACAAACCCACCTTGGCCTTCTTTGGCGCCGATTCACCCTTGGAAACCCACTGTTTTGACTGTTGTTTGGTCTCTGGTGTGTTGTGATGGATCCATGTTTTGTCCACGGTTACAAAACGGCCAAAAACTCCTCCATATTGCGATTAAACAACGCCAAACCTTCCTGTGAAGTTGTTACACGATTGCGTTTGTGGTCGACTGAGAGCAATCGCGGCACCCATCTTGCGGAAAGCTTTCTCAAGCCCAAGTGATCATTCAAAATTGAAACCACTGAGCCATGCGAGATCCCTACGGCTTCCACAATCTCTTGCACTTTCAATCTTCGGTCGGCCAACACCATAATATGATTTTTTTCGATTGTTTCGGGTGAAGAGACCTCAACTGGGCGTCCAGGACGTTCGGCATCTTCAGTGCTTGTACGGCCACAACGAAATTCAGTAAACCACTTTTTTACCATTGAAATCGATGGTGCAGAGTCCCCATAGTATTTATCAAGCTTAACCTTGGTCTCGGTAATGGTTTTTTTTCGCAAAAAATAATGCTTAATAAGCACACGAAATTCACTTTTTTCCATTTTTTACTTAAATTACTGGGTAGTCTGACAAAGATAGCTGTCAAACACAAACTAACTGACGCAGCAAGTTCAAATTTTGACAGGAGTCAACTGACAGATGCCTGTTGACAGGAGTAGTGTTGCTTTTTCAGTAAAGAGGTCAGAAATTCAAAAAGTCACGGACTTATTGACCCGCCCTCGTATTATTAAAAAAAATATTGCTGGTTGAATTGAAAATTGAAAAAAAAAACTTTGATCTAATAAAAATCAGGTTGTCTTCGTTAGTCTTTTATGACTTCTTCTGAGTCTTCAATAATATGATTGAAAGATTTCTTACTAGAAATCACCTGTTTTATCAAGTGAGACCACATCAAACGAAATTCAGAGAGAAAACTTAGAGACGTAATTGCTTCATCGCATAAAATCAAGAACAAAACTCACGTCATGCGATCAAACGTTTTTGGTAACGATAGTGAGTTAGTAGTAAGTTGGTAGATAGTATTTAGATACTAAATCGATAGCCCAGCGTGGTATAGTAGGCCAAACATCCTTTATAAGGAGAGGCCTATGTCCAGCAGTGAACTGTTAAAGGCTGATGATGATGATGATGATTGAGTTAGTGACCTTTTTAAGAATTAGATGACATACGGTATATAACTATAAATACTATAACCAAACTATAATAGACAAATGTGTATTCTTTATTCGTTCTCAGAGTTCATAAAAAATCTTAAACTTAATGCAGTGACAGCGATTTTCTTTTTAAATATTTGCATATATATTTTTTCCAGTTAAATTCCAGAAAAGTACAAAGTGTAGAGCTATATAATTTATGTGATGCGGCACATTTATTTAATTACACAAAGTTTCAGAACGAACTTTTTTTTTTGTCAGAATTGAAAAATGTGAATGTCAAAATGTCCCTGCCGACCAGTGATGCCAGGTGCACTGTAATTACAGTAGATTTACTGTAATTTTACTGCTTTTGCTGTACACTGTATTCCAGCTATACAGTATACAGTGAACAGCGAAAAACGTAGTTACTTTTAATTTTAACCACCAAAAAAAAAGTAGATTCACCATTCATTGCGTGAAACGAACCGCACTGTGTTCTACTTCAAGTAAGCATTACCTCTTGGGCCGGGGAATTCCCACAGAACGGGGAATAGATTATAGATAACTATTATTTGACAAAATTGAGATGTTTATATGTAGCATATTCTTTGTTTACTGTAAGCTTCCCTTGTAATGTTACGGATAACAGTAGGTATGTTTATAACCTTACAATGAAGTGTTCATTTTGAAATATTGGCTACATTGTTCGCATTAATTGTATTATAATTAGTATTACTTTTAAAATTGTCATTAAAAATGTCGGCTCGTGAAAGCGACGACGAAGGACCCTCCACGCCGAAAAAAAAGAGAAGTTATAAGCAGAAGTTTCGTAATGAATGGTTACACCATGAAAACTTCAAAAAGTGGTTGCGACGTGATATGAAAGACCCATATCGCGCTTACTGTATATTTTGTGATACATCGATGATTGCTGACATGGGAGCTTTAAAACTTCATAGTGAAGGTAACAAACATGTTCTTAAAGCTAAGCCCTCTTCATCTCTGACTTCTATTGCCACCGCATTTAAAAAACCATCACCGCCCTTGGACGATAAGCGTAAAATTGCGGAAATAAAATTAGCAGCATTTATGACTGAGCACAAAATATCTCACAGGGTGATGGATCATCTGGTTGAGTTACTACCGAAGGCATTCCCGGATTCTGAGAACGCACAGAAAATAAAAATGAAACGTACAAAGCTCCGCGCCGTAATAAATAATGTTTTAGGTACGACTGAACAACAAGATCTATGCACAGATTGAAAACGTCAAAAATTATCTGTAATGATTGACGAAAGTACTGATATAGCAGCAATTAAGACGATGTGCGTTGTTGTCAGATACTTTTGTCCAGCTAAAGGTCGAATTGTCAGTAGATTTTGGGACCTAATCCAAATTTATGGAAATGACAACACTGATCATAGTTCGTCAGCAGAACGTCTTTTTGATGCTGTTCTCAAATCATTTCAAGATCATTCAATTAGCCTTGAGAATATTATAGGATTTGGATCAGATGGGTGCAACACTATGATGGGTTGCAATAACTCAGTATCCAGTCGATTTAGGGCGGCTTGTCGCGGCATCATAGTTTTGAAATGTGTTTGTCACTCGCTACATCTTTGCGCCAGTGATGCTTGTAAACAATTACCGATTGAGTGTGAAATACTAGCACGTGAAATATATAATTATTTTTCAGCAAGCAGCAAACGTCAATCAGAATTTAAAGAATTTCAGTCATTTGCTAATACAGACATACACAAGATATTAAAACCTTCTCAAACTCGATGGTTGTCTTTAGCTGAAGTCACTGATCGTATTCTTGAACAATGGGACGTTTTGCTACTTTACTTCAATGGTAAATGGCTCGAAGATCAAGAATGTAAGAACATTCATATTTCTTTAAATAACAATCAAATAAAGGCTTATTTTTACTTCTTAAGCTGGATGTTGCCTAAATTTACATCTGGCAGATGTAAATTTAGGCACTCTATATATATACTCCATACTCTATTTCAAAGTGAGTCTCCAATGATCACCAAAATACACGTTAAAATGAACGACCTATACCGTGAATTATTAACTACTTATGTAAAACCGGAGCATATTACAAGCAATCTTAATGAAATAGATCCTACTAATGAAAAACATTTCAAAAATTTAGAAGATGCTTATTTTGGATTAGGTGTTCAAAGACAAATTTCATCAAGTAACATGCTACCAGAACTTGTTATAGATTTAAAAGAACGATGCCGAAAATTTATAATAAAAGCTTGTGTAGGTATAAGAAAACGTTACAGCTTGAATGATCCAGTAATGGCTGCGGTTTCACTATTGGACCCCGATAATTGCGTCGATACTAGCAAACGCCCAGAATCTCTCCAACGTATATTTGAGCTATTGCCACGACTGGTACCAAAATGTTTAAATGAACAGCAACAAATCGATGACCAATGGAGAAAATTACCCAGCCTGATAAATAAAGTTGATAGTAGTCAAGCACCTGATGTGTTTTGGAACCAGGTATTATTTATATTAATAATAATTTAGAATATTTAAACTTTTAAAATACCGCGTATTAGTCTGAATGAACGATATAAACGGGTATTAAAGAAACGTCGCCAAAGTAGAGTAACATAATCGTGTTAATACTCGTTTATATGGTTCAATTAAAATTTATCTTTTTGTGAGAGTGTGACTATATGCTTATTTATTTATTACCCAGATATAAATTCTAGCGTATGGTTTATATATTTTATTTTTTAGATACTACCAAAAGAAGATTTTTCAAAGTTAGCAAATTTTATGCTCGAAATTCTATCTCTGCCCAATTCTAACGCGGAATGTGAAAGAAAATTCAGCGAAATTAATGACATTAAAACAAGAAAGAGAAATAGATTAATCACAAATACCATCAAGGGAAACATATTAGCGCGCCAGTCCATTTTAAGAAATTCTGCTAATTGTATTGACTATAACCCAAATGAAAAAATGATGAAGACTTTTACGGACAAAATATATAAAAATGAACCCTTAAGTGACAGTGATACAGACGTTGATTGACAAATTATATATAATTTATAATAGTGATTATTAAATACATTAATAATTAAAATAAAAGTATGTTTTTTTTCACTGTAAAAACACTGTAATGAGTTTTATGATTTACTGTATTTTCCTACCGATCTACTGTAATTTTACATGCGGAACACTGTATTTTTTTCAATCGAACCTGGCAGCACTGCTGCCTACCGCAACAATCGCGCTCAAATTGTGCTTTTAATTTGGCAAATAATCTTTGTTTTCGTTATTTAATATTTTATAAATATGGCTGAAGAAGAACATTATGACGATGTGGATATATCAGACTTGATTGAGGAATCAGAACACTATCTTGACACAGAACACCAAAATACAGAAACAACGGATACAGAAAATGTAAACACCTTACAAGATTCGGAAATACTGAACTCTGAAGAGCAAGTAGTCGATGAAAAGAGGCCGCAAGTTCAGAATAAGAGTGAAGCCATACGATCTACGAGGTTACCAATTGCCAGGATAAAAAATATAATGAAAATGGACCCAGATGTGAGCGTCGTCTCAGGAGATGCGGTTTTCTTAGTAACGAAAGCTACAGTAAGTTACTATTAAAACATTGAATGTATACTAAGCATTAAAATTGTAAATCTTTGACCACTGGTTAGACCGAGAAAAAGATTCCATCAAATTTAATAATCCTAATTATCCTAGTTAATATAGGTATATAAATTGTAATTCATTCTCCAGGTCTGAGAGGCAGGCAGAGTAGTGTTACTCTTACAGAAGACAAAGACATTACCGATCTGCCCCAGCTTCGCACGGGTGCAATGTAAATACTACTAATATGGTGTCAGTGTGGAGTAATTAAATATACTGTTTTTATAATAGCACTATACTATAGGAGATCTTTAAATGCAATATTTAAAGGCCTGCTTCAATCTGGCCGCTGGCACCCAGGACGGATGTACAGCTCGACGGCCGTTGGGCCCCCACATTTAAAACCTCAAAGATATTCATTTTAACTATATGCTGCAAGGAGCAATTTTAATCTAAAATAAATGCACAATGTATCTAACATATTCTATTGGATAAGAAATAATAATGTATTGTTTAAAATAGCTTCGTGTATAACCCATTAATTATTTTGCAATATCTAAAAGATAAAAATGGTTACTGTGGGTTATCATTAAGAAATAGACATATACCATTTTGTAGATCTTTTTAAGATATACAATTCCGTAGTACATTATTTTGGTCTATCTCGGAAGGCTTAGCCAGCATTTGCAATGTAAGCATACAAAAACATCTATAAATACTTGGCTTTTCTCTACTATAATATGCATGTATTATACATATTAACCTTCCTTTTGAATCACTCTTCAAATCTGTTGCTTAGTTTCATTGATCTAAGTGTACAACACAAAAAAGCTACTTTATTTTATACTATGTAACGAAAACATGAGTATATAGAATATAGACAGTCATGTTTAGCCGTTGTGGTGTACAAATATCATTGGAAAAATGTCAAAAATTATTTTATATTTTTTACATAAATGTAAAAAATATAAAATAATTTTTGATAATTTTTGACATTTTTGGCAATACAGAATATTAGCATTATTCATTATATTCATATTATTCATTACATTCATTTAAATTATTAATATTATTGCATTAAATAAATGCATCATTATTTACCACAATACTTTGCAGATTTGTAAGTCATTACCTTAATAGGCAATATCAGTGGATAAGTAGATCAGTTATCAATTTTATCATGCAGGAACACATCAACATCATAATAAGCTTTAGGGGCCATCCATAAATTACGTCACACGTAAAGGGGGAGTGAGGAGGGGGTCGGCGAAGCGTGACAAGGGGTGGGACGTGTCCCAAGTTTTGTGACGTCACATTTAGAAACCTAATATATCTAAGTATTAAAACGCGAAATTTGAATTATTGACAGTAATACAATTAATCGTTTTTGTAATGTACACTTGTATTGTTATAAGTATTATATGTAATGATATTATAATATGAAAATCGGCTCGCCGCGTACGCACCCTGTCTGCACTCCGCACCGGTCGATTTACTAATGCCTTTCCCACCGCGCGCCTAGCAGAGCACGTCGCTCGAGACGACAGATAAATAGTTATACACATATATTATATCTATTGATAAATAGTATTTAGTTACTTTTATTGTTATCCTAGATGTGTATACACTACTGTTTTGTTAGTTTTTTCAATAGTTTGATGTAAATTTTATTAAAACTTAAATGGTAATAAAAGTAATTTTGGAACTGCTATTTTAATTTAATAATTTCTAGAGCAAAATATGTGATGTCACACTACGGGAAGCTCACAAATGTGACCAGCTGTGGTAAGGACTGGGATGGGGATCAAGAAACCATGCAATTCGTGTGACGTACTTTTTGGATAGCCCCTTATCTGCTAGGAATTTCTTTAATTTATTTCTAAATATATAATTATTTCGTTCTTTTCAGAGCCTAGGAATTTTATTATTATTATAGATTTTCGGGGCAAAACATAATGTACTATTATGCATTAGTGCAGTGTTTGATGTATGTAGACAAAGTTTACTGTTGTTATGTCTATTGTGAATGACTACGTTAGAGAGTAGTGGCAATAAATCGGGATTTGTTTTTACAATTACTGGGGTTTCTAAGATGTAGAGGGAAGGCAGTGTTAAGATTTTTAATTTTTTGTATTCATTTACAACCATCAACTTTTAATTTTAACATAGTCCTTAAGCATCGCTTCGAGGCTTTAAATACTTGTTCCTTATTAGTAGATTTTCCCCAAAAGATAACGCCATATCTAAGATTGGAGAAAACCAACCCATGGTACACCGTAAGTAGGTATCAAGGTAAAATGTTGGAACTAATTTACATATGGCATAATAAGAATTACTACTTTTTTTTATTAAAGCTTCTGTGTGCTTTTTTTTATCTATTATTTTACCAAAACATCTAGTATTGTCAACTTCCTTGATATTTTTGTTGTTGTATTGTGTATTTAGGTTGATCATAGTAGATCCTCTTTGGTATAGTGCATAATTTTTGTATTCTCTAGGTTGATCTTTGCATTGTTGTTTTGAAACCACTGTATCATTGATTTTAGAGAATTATTTATGTTGCTGTTATATATCTCTTTATTTATACATGGTATCGTAATGGTGCTGTCATCAGCAAATAGTGTCATACATTGGTTTGTGCTTCTTAGGATTCCTTTCTAGGGTAAACCTGGTTCCCCGGCTATTGGCAACGTAACCGCCCCATCGGTCATCCGGTGGGTGGTATCCGAGGGTATTTTTTTTCTGTGCAGAAAACCCCTCGGGAACCATTCACTGGTCGTCCAATGGTATTCGAAGTGATGCCCGCACAGAAAAAAGAGAGCTTTCTTCGGAGAAGCCTCACATAATTCTTACATCTAAGTATTATATCGTCGGTCTAGATCTGTCACCTCGTAATAACTTGTTGGTAAAATTTTATGGTTTTCAAAATATTATTTTAATGTCAATGTTCTTTTTCATGGTTTGAAAAAAATTTTATTCAAGAAATTAATCATTCTTTTTCAGGAATTATTTTTGGAAACTATAGCAAAGGAAACCTATGCTTACACTGCCACCAACAAGAGGAAAATTATAGCAAAGAAAGATTTTGATTTAGTTATCAACAAAGTGGACTGTTTATGTTTTTTGGAGGGTGCCATGGATTTTTAATTGATGTCAATAAACTTCATACCATATATTTAATGTTATATAATAAAAATTATACAAGTTAAATATACATGCCTTTGATAAATTAGTTTTTATAATATAACTAGCAGTCCGCCCCGGCTTCGCACGGGTGCAATGTAGATACTACTAATACTACTAATGTGGTGTCAGTGTGGAGTAATAAATTATACTATTAGAAAACTCTTAATTTTACAAGAAAAAATGACACAATTATTGAATAGTTTGTATGCATTTGTATGTCTTATAATCTAGGGACAGTTACACAAAGAAAGGAAAACTAGTTATATAAAAAAGATGTACAATTGGCCGCCTTATCGCGATTTTCGATCGCTTCCACTACCCTATTATTATGATAGGACTATACTACAGGACATCTTTATATGCAATATTCATGGGTCTGCTCTGATCCTGTCGGCTGCTGTTTTTTTTTGTAATATTTAAGAGGTAAAAATGGTTTCTCCTTAAGAGATAGACATATAGCATCCCGGACGTTTTTTAAGATATCCAATTCTGTAGTACATTTTTTTTTGGTCTATTTCGTAAGCCGGCAGAACCATGTTTTTTTACGACAAATCTTTGAAACTCGGATTTTCTCTATAATTATATGCATGTATTATACATATAAACCTTCCCCTTTAATCACTCTCTCTATTGGTGCAGACCGCATTAAAATCCGTTGCTTAGTTTAAAAGATCTAAGCGTACAACAAAAAAAGCGACTTTATTTTATGAGCAAGATACATTATTCAAAACAGGTAGGTATTTATTACTTTTTAGGGGTTAATGCCGATTGGCAAATTTACTATGGTCAGATCAGATTAGCAAGTTTACTGTTGTGCGAAGAATTATCACGTAAGGAAGATCTTCTGACCAGGCCTAGTAGTCATGGTTGGAGAGCTGTGGCCCAATGGTTGATGTTGCATATAAGATAATTGGTGTGAGAACTTGTTGCAAGCGCTATAGAAAAGTCAAATTCTGTTGCTAGCCAAGAAAGTTATTAAGCCAACTATTTTTTAGGTCCCTAGACTAGGTTAAAAGGTTATGGTGCTAGTTGGTCTACACATTACGGAGGTCATTTGAACACTGACGGTTCAAAGGACCCTTGATCCTCCGACAAGGTTAGGTAATAATTTAAAATCTATAATCTGTAGTTGGCGTTAAAGCGTGTTTGCTATCTGTCAATAATATGTGTGATATTTATTAGAACTTATCTGAATGCTTGGGAAAAGCAAACCACCACAGATAATATCACAGATTGTAATAGAAATAAACACTTATTTTACCTTTCTACAATTGATTGGATTTATACAAGATTTCGTTATTGATTACTGATACTGATAGATATAATAAATAAAATTAATGTTTGACACGGTGGCATTGATCAGATTAAAATTAGTGTTCTGCACCTTACATGAATGAATGAACATGAATTTGTGTTTTAAATCGTTTAAATGTTGTCAGTGTTTGATTAGTCTTTTAATAATAAAATTGTTATTTTATACCTCTTTTAATTGGTGTTAAAATTACATAGGTTTAAAAAAGGAATTTAGACAGTACACAATTTTTAATTTAGAATCACTTGAATAAAACAATGTATTGTTGTATGGTGAAAAATCGCTTTAATTTACTTTTGTTGAGGTTTATTTTTACAGTAATGAATTAAACATGTTTATAACAATGAAAATGATTATTAATTAATCAAACTTATTTTAATTAATCAATTTAAATCAACGCTTTTTTATAATGTTCAGTGTCAGCTTAAATATTTACATTTTTATATATACAGATAATATTTATTTCCTTATATTGAACAGGTCCTTTAAAATATACAAATTTACATAAATAATAGTTAAAATTAGTGAGTAGTCTAATTTTATGGTGATATTTGTCTATTGCTCGTCTTAGTATTTATTGCCATCTTAATGTTTCCAAACCATAAAAAAAAGTAACACACACCGCTAAACTTACAATAAATTTACTTTATCTGTGTTTATATTGTGTCTGTATCTATTTAAAATTAGAGTTTTTCACTGATTTTTAACCGTAAGAGTGTCTTTTCAACTAGCTAATACTTTGACAAGTTAATGGACTATTTCATGAAAAGTATAAAAATGCTATACAAAAAGATTGAGGTCGCTGTAATTCTGTAGGCGTTATTTACTCCCTCCAGGACGATGGCGCAATATGCTGGCATGGACAGATTGCCCCTCTCCAGTTCGAACCTGCACACAAAACAAATCTATAATTAGGTAAATACAAAACATTTCAGTACCATGTCTCCTTCTGTTTTGTTAATAAAATAATGACTTTCTATATAGTATAAATATAATTATGTATGCTCACGCTTTCTCAAGTGTGCACGAGACTCCGGATGCAACTACTGTCAGCTTCTTCGGCACAACACTTATGGGATTAAGGTCAACGTCTTGTGTGCTGTTGGCCAAGTTGACGACACCCACCACGGTAACGTTTGGCAGTGACCTGTAACAACCTCTCAGTACTAAGCAGGCTATAAAGTGAGCAGTTTCTCTTTCCTTTGTACAGTTTACACATATGCTACTACCCTCTTGTTGCAAAACCTGTTTAGAAAAATGCTTGTATTCCGGCTTTTTGTATTCTTCTAAAGTTTTTGTATCTGCAACACACTCGTCGTTTAGCACTTTCAGTAGCATCATCATCATCCATAGCTTGTAATAGTACACTGCTGGACATAGGCCTCTCCTTAGTAAGAACGTTCGAACTCTATATTATGTGATAGAGAATGAGCAAAAACACTAACATTTCCATGGTTGTAAAATAGAGAGGGGGGGAGGCCTGTCTTTCTGTTGTTTTTTTCACGCTCAAAACGCTTAACCGATTTAGCTGAAATGTAGTATAAGCTAGTATACTTTATTTTGCTAATCGGCGGCTAACAAGATTAGCAGTTGCTACGTAGTTTGGTGTGTCTTCGTTAGATGGCGCTTGTTTCACTGTATGTGGAAGTCGCCATGTTAATATGTATATATGAAATGTGTTTTTAAATGTTAAATAATTATAACACATAGTTACCTGGTGATTACTAGCACATTATCTGAAAGCACCGTAGTATTTAGTGCGCCGGTGCTCACAGCAGAAGTATGTTTCAAAGCGACAACATCTTTGTAGAACTGCAATCAAATTAAATGATATAGGTAGGTAGATAACTTGCTAGGTATAGTTAAACTCACTCTCGCCGTAATCAGAGGGGATTTGCTCACTCAGTCGGTGTAAGTTAATGAAAGAATTGTTTATAATAGCGATTTCGAGCGAGGCCTTGGTATTATTTCGCTCGAGTCAGCACTTACGTGCTTGCGAGTCTTGGCAAACTCACGGTGAGAAAAATATAGTATAGTTTTGTTTGTTATTCTTTCCCGATTTAAATGCTTAACAATATAAATTGATTTATTTTTATTATTAGTTTGAGTTAGTTCTGTACCATCTAAATATGATTTTTGTAATATAAAACTAAATTAGAAAAACGAAATTCTAAAAAAAAACTTACTTTGTAATGGCTTCTGTTTGCAGCTTGTTCGATGGCTACGTTAACAGTAGCATAATTTGAAGCCACCGGGAGCCAAGTTTTGTTAGCGGTGCTGAACCCAGCGTTCGTGGAGTTATCCCAATGGAAGGGTGTACGGCATGGGTCACGGCTCTTTGCTTGGTAGTGCAAGGGGTCGTCTGTGTTACAAGCTTGAGGGTCTACTGTCTCCTCCCAGCTAATTTCTCCGTCAGTCATTCCCAGCTCTTCACCCTGGAGATGATTAATACTAATCATAATAATCTGAACCCAAACTAGGCAGAGCCTGTACTATGATAACCAGACTGCTGATAAACATATACTTATATTTTTTTAAATACATAAATATTATAGATAAATTACACCCTGACACAGAAAGAACGTTCGTGCTCATCACACAAATATTTATCCTAGGTGGGAATCGAAACCACGACCTCAGGCTTAGCAGTCAGGGACACTAAACTACTATAACCCGGTAATCTCGTGCGCGATTGTCCCGCGGGGTGACAGACAGTGGCGTGGTGCAAACCGCTGGAGATACAACCTAAAAAGCTGATGTTTTTATCGGAGTTTACTTCTCAAGAATCGATTTCCCTACAAAGCGCCCGATATGAATAAAATACGAAGAGTAAAATTTAGTGATCGAATGACCTCGTTGCGTTTTTTGTACGCATCCTATCCCGCACCTTTTACATGTGTGTGTGTATAACAGGTATAACGGGTTCTTAACGAGTAAACTTTTTATGTACGACACACACACTTTTTATGTTAAAAAGAAAGAATTTTCGAAAATGTTCTCCCCTAAGTTGTTAAAATAAAGGATGACCAGTTGTATGGAAGTTGGTCATTTTCAAGTTGAGAAATAATCACGCGAGCGAAGCTAGCAATAGCTAGTTAAAGATAAGTACACTGTAAGGTTTACCTAACAATGGAAGGATCTCCTTCCATTGTTAGATAAACATTAGGAGGGGATATCGTAGGTCATTGCTGGCTGTTACTATTGATATGTTATGTGGACCACATATTACTTGGTTATTACGTACTTAATCCTTGTGGTGACGGATTAAGAATACGGAGTGTCACCACCCCTATTCATTCCGTGGGTGTCGTAAGAGCCGACTAAGCGAGTATCCAAGGACAACAGCACTGCAAAGAGAAGGAAAAATTGACACCAACCCTATACCAACTCGTCATGCCAGCGTGGCTAAAACTATTGTAGGCTAAAACCTCTTTCTTAAGGAGAGGCCTATGTCCAACAGTGAACTATTAAATGATGTTGATGTGATGTGTGACACATTACTTGTATTCCTGTTAACTTTTCCATCTAAGCTAAATGATTGTGTAAGTACTGGGTTCACGGTAGGGTGGTGCACTACATATGGTTCAAAACCGAAATCACTTGATCGCAAGTCGGGTGCCGTAAGCACGCTACCATCGTTTGAAACTATTTCAATTATTTGTGACAGTTTCGTTGTTGCTACAAGAAATATGTTGCACGATACTAGCATACCTGATATGTGATCGTGACACCGGGGAGCAGAAGAGCCAACATGTTCATGGCATCGACTCTGTTGTCGCCATACCTCGTCGCCATTCGGCTGTGGTCGTGGTTCCCGTTCTGTAATGAAGCTCATTATACATTTACCAATAGCAGACAATGACCTTGAGAGGACAACTTCTACAAAAAGGTGTGAATTAATTTTCAGATTCCATCATTGCAACTGACGTATGTTTATCATGTCATTGCACTTGAATCATTAACATGTAACCGTGGGGCTTCAGCACAAATGCGCCGGCTCGACCGGAGTGATACTACTTCCTCACAGAAAAACGGTTTGAGAATTTTTGTCATTGCTGTTTACCGAGTGAGTGAAATATCCTTTCTAAGGAGAGGCCTAGAATCCAGCAGTGGACTATTAAAGGCTGTTCATGTGATGTAATGTGAGTGAGTTAGGTTACCGGCTCAAGCCACTCCAATTAATTCTTGGGGGGGAGGTCTTAAGTTGTCACTGTTCATGGACGGCGGTAGTCACTTACCATCAGGTGACCCCTTTATCTTTGAACCCTATACCATAAAAAAACAACATTTCAGTTATGGGATGTCCATTGTCTGCTGTTCTACAGTGATTTTAGATACTTACAACCCAGTTAGCAATCTTTCCAGCCGGCATGGCCTGCATCCATTTGTTGATGGTAGATTGTATCTGTGCAGCGGTGGAAGTTCCATTCAATTCTCCGAGAAACACAAAGTTGAATGGTATGGAACCGTTCCTGGTTGCGTTGCCATAGTAACGCATCATGTGTTCTATGTCAGTATAGGCTTCTGTCATCATCAGCTTCGACTCATTATCTTTGGCTTCGTATTGGTCGAGAACTGTCCTCCAGTCGTACACCACATCGTAAGTCTCGTTTTGATCTTTAGTGTAAATGTGGGTCAAGTACTCGTAGTCATCGGGTCCATATCCAGGTTCATCTAAAATAATGATAAAATAAATTATTAACAATTCAGTTTAGCACAGATTTCTATGTTAACAACTGAAACGAAATACGAGAATCTCTTGTTTTAAAAAGTGATCACTATTGTATTATTAAAAGGCCTTATCCAGCAGTGGACTAGTAAAGGCTGTTGATGATGATGATAATTGTATATTGCGGAGTTATGAAAGTGACTCAGGTGGACCTGTCCAGCTACAACAAAGGTGCGAACAACATACTAAACCTTTATCCTGCACTGCAAAATGGAAGTTATTTTTAAACACGAGAATTTCAAGGTCACGGACTACCTGATAAGATACCCTAGCCTCGTCGGATCAACCCTTTCTTAAGAGAGACAATTTACTCATTGCTCCACTATCAGAGTTAGCATGAGGTTATAAACTTTAGATGATCATAAGTGGACTTACTAGAAAGCGGCTCATTTGGGTATTTTCCACCGTAGTCTGCGGGATTGACTTCAAACAACATATTGACTGCATCGATACGAAACCCAGATACGCCTTTCTCCAGCCAGAAACGTAATACATCCTGAAATTATCATTTTTCTTTGCACTAATTTGTATATATAAATATATATACATTTGATGATGATTAAAATTGTTTGTAAGCTACACTAAAGTTGGTTAAATCACTTAACGAGCCTAGAAAATGTTAATAAACTTGGAAAACGACTACGATGCTTTTATTTGCCCCGCTTAACGCTTGTTTATTTATTTCATTGTACGTTCTGCCACTGACTCTTCTGTTCTATTTTATTCTTTACGCGCAAAAGCTATAATGTATTGAACGACGCATGGTCATATAGAGACAACAAGACAACTACTGCATTAGGAATATATCCTATGTCGTGGGGACTATACAAATCATCTAGACTCAGAATAATATTTTGTAAATCACATGAAGTGTTGTCCCATGTGGGGATTCAACCCACAACACTCAGCGCAGTAGAAAGCGGCGAGGTGACCGCTTAAACCACTATGCCATTCGTGCAGTCAAATTTGTACTCAAAATTAAGGCTAACCTACTGTTGCAACAGGTCTAGGTATATAAAAGAGCTGTCGACTACTGCTGCAGGCGTACAAACCTTCATTTCCTCCTGAACTTGAGGGTGACGATAGTTGAGGTCAGGCTGTCCAATAACAAACTGATGCAAGTAGTACTGCTTGCGATCTTCATTGTACTCCCACGCGCTCTTGCGGAATTTGCTTATCTGGAGACCACGAAAACGTGTGTTATTACCAATTTATTGGTTGTTAAGAGTTATTTTGAGTGTGGTACAAATACTTAATAGGAGGATGCTATAATAAATAAAAATCGTTATTATTCTTAATACATCACATAGAGGATGGATATACTTCTGCGTGTCTTTGATTCCCAAAATAAACCACAGTATAAACTCCTAAATTATTACGTTTAAATTCAATTGTTTTATTACACAGTAAAAGTCATTAAATACAGAAAATTTAAATCAAAGTAGGGATAAAAATAATTCGTCACATTTTGACAACCAATCGTTTAACGGTCAAATATTTCAACTTTGCAGTTTTTGTCTTTACAGAAGTAAATAAGCATTCAGTAACATCCATGGGGTTATTATGAACTCTGACCGACTAAACTGTAGCAAAACACATCTGTGATCGCTGACGGGACTCAATTTCTTTCCAGGGACCAGTTGCTTTTGCCAGAGCTAAGTTCCACGGTCTTAACATGAGATATTTTTGAACTTACCCAATTATTTGGCGGTATACGGTTGTTGTTTGCGTCCGTGGTGCCGTTCGCCCATATATAGTAATCGGCATAAGTGTCATTGTTACGAATTGATTTAATAAACCATTCGCTTGAGGTACTCGTATGATTTGGTACATAATCCAAAATTACTCGGATACCTGTATAGGACGTACTTATAAAGTTTAGTGTTTCAAAAGAAGAATAAAATAATTCTTTTCATCAGACTATACAGGTATGCTGCGTTTGAACTGTGTGTCAACTGCCAAATTGGTGTTTGGACACATTTGAGAAACTGCATTGAAAGAGTTTCTACACTTCTAATGCACTCTGAACAGCATGTCATTTAGGTATACAATGACTGCAAGCTAACTTCACAGTTGAAATCAGACTACGTGCGCAGCCTGCCTGTTTAGAGCTTTAGACGAGACAATAAGACAGTTTCGTAAGAAATTATTCAACAATATTTTTCATATTTATGTACATTTTGTGATAAATTCGATAAACATTGGTTAATTTCGTTCCATTCCGTACTGTTAAACTATATTGTGAGCACGTGACGCATCGTGTGATATCGTCATAAGTATATAACCCAATTTTTATTGTTGATTGCACTTGTGGAAAACAGATAAAAGAAAAGACGGTGCTGGAATCACTCTTTAAAATGAAATAGTAAGGACTCACTTTCCATCTGGTGACCCGTCTGAGGCCTACGTCTTATCTGCCCCCCCCCCCCCCCCTCCATTAAAAAAGAGGTCCTTGTGTCTTTTAATAATAAAAGACAGATTCTGTATCCTTTTTGATAGCTACCTACAAATTCAATACGAGGAAAACAGTTTTGTTTTGGTGACATAATTGTACCTTTCTCCTTTCCCAAGAAACACTAGCCATGTTAGCCAAAGTGCAACCAGGTGCTAAAAACTTTAAACATGCTATCCCTAAACGGTTAAGTACTTTTTTCTCAAATATTTCACAAATAAAAACTTTTAGTGGACACAGGTTTTAATGCCTCAATTTTCGTGTTGTTAAATTGTACATGTATGTAATGTATGTATATTTTGTTCAAATAGACTTACCCAATCTCTTTGCATGTTTCATAAGCTCATGAAAGTCCTGCATTGTGCCGAATGTCTCATCGATAGCCCTGTAGTCCGTTATGTCGTAGCCAAAGTCTTGCATAGGTGATTTGAAGATCGGGGACATCCATATTGCGTCCACGCCTAGGTCTTTCAGATACGGTAGCTTCAACGTAATACCTGGTGAAGTTTTAAATAGAGAATTATTATTTTTTGTTTTAAGAGCAATTTTCAGAGTTTCTATTCCAGTTACTGACATAACTATTGTAGTTACGTACTTTTACCCTTGCCTATGTAAATAGCATTTTGAATTTATGCGAGTTTTATTTTTTTTATTATAAAATGTATTTACCATAAATCTGAAATATGCATTTTGTGAAGTTAAAAAAATGGGCTTTAACATAAATCTTGCTTTAACCTAATCAAGGGCTACGGCTGATACTGACGATGCTTTTAACATAGGCTATTCTGTCTCTACATTTAATAAACCACTGCCTATCAAACTAAACAATTAAACGTATTTTTTTTAATGAGTTCAACAACAAATAATTATCTCACCGTTTAAATCGCCGACGCCGTCGTTATTCGAGTCTTTGAAGGAGCGCGGATATATTTGATACACAACCGCGGACTCCCACCACGCACCAGCATTCACTATCCCCAGGAACGCTGTCCCGACCATAAATACCAACCACACCATAGACACACCCATTTTTATTCACTAAATAAAATTAACACGGTATATTAATCTTAACAATTAAACGTATAACATTCATGGACATGTATTTGTGTGATAAGTAACAAATTACTTTATGATCAAGTAACTAATTCGATCAAAACGACGAGTACTTCACTGACTTAAGTAACGTATAAATATGGTCACGATATAAGTAGGTCTCATTAAATGTTTTCTTATTATTTTGTTATGAATATGTCCACAGGTTACATAAGTTATTTTTTAATACAGCATAAAGTTTGAACAAGTATCACTTAGCAATTATTAAAAAAAGGAACAAAATTAAGAAGACAACCGACCTGCATTCGTTGCAGTAGCGCAAATGAAGAGTCATCCACCAACACTCATTTATAACCTCGAGGACTCAAGTGTTCTGTATACTTTTCCATATTATCTTATCACGGGAACTTTCGTAATTAATTCTAAGAGCTCTTTTTAGTGTAGCTTTGTGTAGTCACATTCCCGGTGTTACATTCTTTTATGACGGTACTGTTCAATTTGCATGATAAGGCAGAAGCGCCCTGCAGGTCAGCTAAGTCCTACTCAAAAACAGAAACACAGGCCAGCAAAGTAATCGTTTTGAGCGCTAATAACACTAAAGAACAATCAAATTTCACTAACCATGGATACAGTGAAGTGGTTACGTTAAAGGGAACGGGGGGCTTTTTTCGCCACTCCCTGGCACGGCGATCAATCAAATTCGTGTGTTCTGCTGATAAAATCAGTATATTAGATAAAATACCATAATAAGAAGTAACTTAGCCTATTTTCATTTTCTGCAGATATTGTATGAGACAGACTTTTTAATTTATTCATTTCCTACCAGTCAATCTTTAGGTAAAATCATAAGACGTGTGGAGTAGTTTCTACTAGAGCTAATAACACCCTGTAGAGCACCTGCTCGGCTCCGAGCGCAACCGTCCGGCTCCTCTTTAACAGTGCCTTTCCTGCCGGTTTAAGTGGAACGATTTGGTGGGCTCTGGAAAGTTGCAAGGTCTGTGAGAAGAGAAGAGATCCGTCCGATACTCTCCGACCCTTAGGGTTCACTCGTCTATCTTCTTGCAAAAAATTAAACCTTTAAAAATTAACTTCAGAAAAATAAAACCAAACCTATTACTAGACGACGAACCAGTCATCAAGACAACGAATCAGTATTGTCTAACCGTTAGAAAGCAACAATACACTGTGCGCTTCCTTAATTCCTAATCATAAATAAATGTAATTGTTTGTTTGTAATGTTATAAAAAAAAATTACATGGCTTAGAATACAAACGAGCAGACAGGCTACCTGATGGTAAGTGACTACCGCCGCCCATGGACACCCGCAACTCGAGAGTCACAGGTGCTTTCTCGCGCTTGCACACCAGTTTTTTGTGAGGCTCCTTTGTGCCGAAGAATGGCAATGATTATGGTAACGATGACTCTCCTACTCTGAACTCTCAGATATTAAATTATTGTAACTATTTTAAGAAATGCTGTAGTACAAGTAGAACTTTTCGTGTGGTGCCGGATTAAAAATACAGAGTGTCATCACCCATATTCATCCCGTGGGTTCGTAAGAGCCGACTAAGGGAGCTAACTACGCGGGACAACAGCACTGCAAAGAGAAGGAAAATTTGACACAAACCCTTTACCAACCCGTCTGGCCAGCGTGGCATAGTAGGCCAAAACCTCCTTTCTAACGAGAGGCCTATGTCCAGCAGTGGACTATTAAATGATGATGGAGTACAAGTGTTAACCTATGTACTTAATTGGGGGTTATAAAATAAAATACTTTTTTGTTAATATTTTTATAAAGCGTACTTACACGAAATATTGTTGATTCTATGGAAAAAAAGCTATGATGTCTACCCTATAAAAAGGGAGAATACTATGAACGGGCCAAGTAACGCCACTAGATGAAGCGTTAAGAAATAATAGGTTATATTGGTATTAACATGTCATGCGGAAGGATGAGGAAAATGTAGCGAAGAAAGTGTTAGGTATGGGAGTGGAAGGGTACAAAAGGAAGACCAAAGAAAAGGTTGTTGGACAATGTGAGCGAGGATATGGCTAGAAAGGGGGTTTACAGTGAAATTAATAATCGAGTAGACTGGAAGAATCATACATACTGAGCCAACCCCAAATAAGTTGGCATAAGGGTAGGCAGATGATGACTATGAACGGGTCAAATGATCCTGCTACGGACGTTAATCAGAGTGACAACTTCAGTGGCTTGATGCATCATCGGCTAATGGCACTCAATTTAAAAAAAAACAAATAAAACATGCTTCAGAGTAATTCACTTTATTGAGTTATAATCTTGATTTATAAACAAAAGTTGACAGGAGGGCATTTTTCTCACAGTAATAATAAAATTATTTCTAAGGTACAAGTTGTACGGTCATTACGAGTTGATAAAACACTTTTGATTTCACAATCAACTATAATCACTATTGACATTTGCGCAATAAGTGAAGTCATTCTATTAAAACATCCCTATTGTATCTTATAATCTATTTTATTCTTAAGCACTTGTACGTTTTATATGTATTAAAACTGTTTTATGTATCATTGTACAACAGAATTGATTGAAAGATTCTGTTTGTCTCAATGTTTTGTTATAAAGAATATGTAGTTTTGTTACTTTCAATTTTTTAATCGTAATTATGAAAGATATTACACTGACTACTGTTATAAATTCAAAAGTGAGAGCACAAAAAATCTTGAAAATGTTGAAATTATTCTATGCTTCTATAGAAATTATATTCGTTTAACAAAGTTTCCTCTGCTAGATCTTTGTCTATTAATAGGCAATATTTCTTTAGGATCTCTCTCTTTAAACTCTCTTAAATGGTCTTAACTACCATCGAAACGAACATTATTAGATAAAATCTACAGGGAAGAATTCCATCTGTTACTTTTTACAGACCCTGTTTTGTCTACACCTCTCGTTTAATACAAATTTACTGTTTTTCTTTCAAAATCAAGGTGGGTGCAGACGGCAAGTTTTTTTTTGTTAGAATTGGTACTCATCAGTATGTGTACCGATTGAAACTAGGTAGGTCTTTTATCGATATTTTATAAAACATTGAAATATGTTCTTTATTTGGCCTCGAGTATTCTTTCGTATTTTTAGTGACAGTATTTTGAGTAAAACTCTTTTTATGTAAATTTAGTTTAAGGAAACATCAATATTTATAATTTTTATTTCTTTAACACAGTGTACTTTACTATTTTATGTAATTTAATATTTTATTTTGTATCTTATCGTTTAATTGTATAACAATAAAAATATGACTAAGACAATACGATTTTGATATATTATTGATTTATTTATCGAAGTTTAACGGCTATGTAGGACAAAGCCCAACATCTCGACTCAAAAAATCAATATAAATTTTAGATCCGACTAGATCAAAAATTTAATAACAAATTTATTTGCGAGTTGATTGTTTATTATACAAAATATAATATTAAATGATAAATACAAAAGAAATTAACTATCGTACAATAGATAATTAAAATATTAACAATACATTCAATTTATTATGCCGTGGGACATAATTAAAACAATTTTTTAATACGCAGTGTTGCATAAAATATTACGAAATTGATAACATTGATAAATTATTCCTACAACCGATTGAAAATGTTTCATTAGGGCTGTTTAAAGTATCGGAATCCAGTTAGATGTTAATAGAATTATATAATACTACAACACGGATAACCTACGTAACATTAACTAGATATGACATTGAGCTTCAGATTTTTGGGAAATTCGTAAGCAAAATTCACGACATAACCTAGAAATATTACTAATTTACACAATACATTCACATTTTCTTATTTCTATATAATGGAAATGTTTGACATCCTGTCTGTCACTGCTGATACTAATATCCATGCATCACATTTTAACTACGCGTACCTAAGAATAGGCCGAAAAGAGATTATGATCTAGTATATCACTTCTGTACGGAATATTAATATGTAATCTCACAGATATTTAAAATACTATTTTTTTATGACTAGATCGACTGCATATCAAATAACGTAGAGTAAGACCGAGGAAATATTAAGAAATAAATCTAGAAAGCTATTAAGTTGATTCATTGATTCTTTGAGGTTGAAAGTCCATTCTCAGTACGAAAAAAACATTTTTTAATTACTTTAAAAAAAACTCTCCAGGTATATTAAAATAAAAAATTAATGATTTTAGGACAATCCAAAACCTTGGAAATGTGGTATGATATAACAATGGAGAATTTTACCGTTGAATTGAATATCGGGGAACACTAACGCTATAAATTTTTACAAAATCAAAAATTTTGGAAGGACCCTAACAGGTATGTTGAAAATAGATTTAAATTTTACAGTTACACCCGTAAATACTCATTGTAATCGAAAATTCGACTAAAGTATGAATGAAGTGAAATACACTCGGAAAAAAAAATTGCTGGAGGCATGACTACGGTGCTAAAGAAAAAAGACACTTATTGACATGTCAAATTCGACTCTGACACTAAATAAGATAAAGTTGTATCGTTTGATTGTTCATAAAGATTAGTAAATCAAGATTTTAGAGTTTATTGATCAGACACAATCTTGCCTCACTAAATGGTATTACATTACTAAATATAGTGTATTTTGATATACTGAGTCTATTTTGACATGTCAAAACGTAACCCTTTTTCTTCTCATGTCAGATTAAGGGCTCACGAGTTACCTGCCATGTGGGCTTGCAAAAGTTGTCTAGAAGCTTCCATATCAAAGTAGAAACCTACCAATTAAATTGTCTTTTTTACAGTGTTAAAAAAATATTTGCATTTGGATTTGAGTATTTTATTTGTACTTAAGATGTCAGTAAATTACAACTATACAATTGTAATATAATACTAGTGTAACTGTGTAACAATATAATTTATATTTTAATCGAGACTTGTTAACATGCGATCACGGTCAAAGAAATAAAAAATAAACAATTTAAGTATTATTTTGCATATATGTTTTTACATGTAGGTACCTAATTCTAGTAATTGTAAAGCAATAACAATGTCAGTAAATATTTTTGTCAGTGGGGTCAATGCCTAAATAATTTTGCAGTTGTCATGTTTTGATACCATTCGATGAAGAAAGTCGTACTCCTTTCGGCCACTCAAAAACAACGAACTAAATAACTAATAGAGCTTTTGTACTGTAATAAGCCTTTTTAATATAAGGAGAGCGAAATGTATTATGTAATAACTAGATAATACCATTACAACTACTGCATTGACAATGTTCAATAAAAAATAAACTCAGGAACTTTCAATCGATCTAAATTTTTATCTTTTAGATGTATATCGAGAATATATGTACCTAATTGCTTTGCCCGTTCTTCCCTTATTAAGTACAATTCAATAATTTATTATAAGTTAAGATAGTCGTTCTTGATTGTGTTTAGTAATTAAAACATGTAAATGCTTTTCGTGACTTTTCAGCAGATGGTCATTGAAAGTAATCACAACATTTCCCGAAGTTACGATGATAATTAATAACGATTCGTACTAAACGCGATCAAGAATAACCTTACGAAAGCACAGACAAATTATTTAATTTTAAAAAGAACACATGTATTCTCGTTTACATTCCATTTGAACAAATTGATCACACTATTATAGATTTTCACAACTTCATAATATTTACAAAATGTACAAGGCTTTTTAACTTAAATCGTGAAAAGGATTCATTTAACATTTATTTATGTCCACATTTTTTAAACAATATTTTGCTTATGTTTAGTTTAACATCTTGTTTTGTTAATCAATAAACTGGCAACATTGCACAATATTTAATGAATTGCTAGACGCTCTTTAAATACGTACGTTTAACCTTTGTAGGTCATCGTGTATTGGGCGTTTAAAGGTACCGTCAGAAGTCATGCACCTTTTGCACATAATATAAACATTTATTGATATTAACCTAAAACAAACATCAAAAGACCATACGGTTCAACTTTAAAGCAAAATTGAATTTACTTCGAATAAGAATCGATATATTATAAGTTTTAAGGTCAAAACAAAGCGTAATTATTTTTTGGAGCTTTATCTTGTATTTCTCAGTGAGTCGTATGGACTAAAGAGATAACAATGTCACCAGTAAATTGAACAATTTACATTAAAAATAATTTATTCCTCCTGAAATGGTAAGTTAGCTGCTATTCTAGATTTTTTCTTTCTAAGCGGCCGCGATGAGGGTTCCTGGGGCGGTTGTACTACCTGTTACATAACATACACTTCTGTAAATTTCTGTTTTAGAAAGCACTTACTAGTGTAAGTGCTTTCTAAAACAGAAATTTTAAATTACTAGTGTAAAAAGCCTTTGTCCAAGACTCAATTAATGTGTATTTACATAACACAAAGTGATATGTATCTGTCATACAGTGTTGTATTGTGTTCCGACTCGAAATACTCGATCACACTGTACTTTTCAGGTATTTATATACGATTTCTTTCCTTACTACTGTATGTGTTTATATTAGATACATTGTTACAAGATGGTGTGTACAAAGTGTGGATTTTAGAGAGCCCATTTAAGTCCTTTTCCTTACCCTACAACTTTCGCCTTATACGTTTTCAATTTTATCCCATTTTACTTTCCCTTACTCTGTCTGAAAACATTCCCAATAACAAAATAAGCCTCGACGCAAAATAAAATAGGAAAAACGTCAATAGGTTAAGAATTGATGTTTCTAGACGTCCATTACCCCGGTTTTAGGTAGTTTAAAAATTAATTTTAATAAAAAAAAGCCTTTGAAAAATTAATCATAGATCACGAGGATACTTTGATCGCATTTATAGCTATTATTAGTACTAATTAAAGTGATTACGTTCGTGGATTAAGGAATAGTGTTACGATAAAAATGCTATAAGTGCAAACGTATGTCTGTAATAATAGCTACAATATTTCACAACAAATAGGATGTCGCATTAGAAATAATACCTAATTACACAAATCATCTGTGTGAATTAGATAGATAACATTATTATAATACTAAGGTATGACATCACACTTTAGCGTAGGACATATCGTGCATTTTTTATGTTGACTTGATAATAATCACACAATAGGCCAAAAATAATAATAATATTGTATTGACTGACTTAGACGAAATAATTTTGAACGTAGCAAATTATGGAACTATGGATATTTCCGAATTTTAAAAGGTATAACATATGCTATAAAACCTATCGCCTTGCTGTACAGTAACTGTATATTTACATATTTAAGTGTATAGTCATCGTGGTTTTCCTTTTTTATTCGTTTTATTGAGGGGTTGAAAGTATCTTCGGATCTCTGGTTCGTTGGGGATGCAGGAGCCAAGAGTGTATGATGTTTCAACTAAAAACCACATCGATGGCCGGTCTCTAGTGTATTTTGGGGAGGACTAGGACTATGAGATTTCAGGTTCCCCCCTGGATTGACGCTGCGCCTAGCCAGGCCCTATCCCAACATAAGATCCCAGATAGGAATCTGTTGTTAACCAACAACAGATTCCTATCTGGGATATATAACAACCGTTAATGTTTTGTTGTACTTACAGGTTGAAGAACAGGTTGAGGATTCTGTAGGGTGGACTGGGGTGCTTGAGTTGGGTTCGTGTCTTTCATTGACGATCCACCGGGCTGCGGGCGTCTGTAAACATGGAATTTTTATAACCGACTTATAAATAGGTTTTTTTTTGTTTTAAGACCTCCAATATAATTGAAAATTAAAAAATCGCTTGTGGTGACGGATTAAGAATACAGATTGTCACCACCCCTATTAATCCCGTGGGTGCCGTAAGAGCCGACTAAGACAAAAAACTACTCAACACAACAGCACTGCAGAGAGAAGGAAAACTTGACAGAAACCCCCTATACCAACCCAGCGTGGTATAGTACGCCAAAACCTCCTTTCTAAGGAGAGGCCTATGTCCAGCAGTGGATTGTTAAAGGCTGTTGATGTGATGATGATGTTAAATTGGTGTTTTTCTTTAAATGACAAGAGAATGGCGTTATAACACATATATTTCTCCTTGATATTCATATTCATGTCTCAAATAAAACACACAAGATAGTTTAGTTAGATTTTTCCTCAATTTATGAAACGATTTCTTGTCTTGTGTCTATTTAGTTACTATAGAGAAAGTTTGTAAAAAGATTGTATCATTTTAACGTTTAACTATCTGACTTCGCAATTGTGATAAATACATTGAATGTAGGACGGTCGAATTGCGTACTTTGGGCGATTTAAATCGGACTCCGATCAGTTTGCTTAACATAATGGTTCGTGTAAAACACCGATTTGATTACTCAGTCTCATCCTAAAGCAGTGATTACGTACATGATAAAACATATATCGATAAGAGCACTTTAATACGGGTCGGTCCCCGGTCGGTAAGTGCTCGGCGCTGAGTGCTAAAACGTGAGCTATATACGTTTGCATTGTTGATAACATTGATAAAAATATTGTTGTTTTTTATGCATACGTGGTAAATAATTAATTTACAAAGTCGTATATAAAAAAATTAGTAATTTTTTTTAAATGTTTCTTCTGGAATGTTGAAAACTATCATTAATAAACTTTAAGTTTTCTACCATATAAAGCATTGTTTCGTATCGTAAGTGATCTCCTCTAAAATCAGTCACCGACTATAACGTCAAAAAAACAGCAGATTAATATGAATTGTAATAGTGGACTATTGTGGGACGTTAAACTTAAGTCTAACCGTAGGTAGAAAACAGTAGGGAAATAATGATGTGCTGGATATCCACAGTCGCATCTGCGGATATTTGAGAGAGAAAACAGATTAAAATCGGTATCCGTTACTTTTTAGTGGATGTTGAACGGATCTCTTATTCTCTTTAAGAGTGTCTCAGTGATGCAGTGGTAGTGTATGCGACTGCTGTGCTGAGGTCTCAGGTTCGATTCTCGGGTGGAACCAAATGTTTGTATGATCTGCATATATTTGTGTCGGAGTTTGGGTGTTTTCTCTATATAATATGTATGTATTTACAAAAGTGTACAGTATTCTATCAGTCAATTTAACTTTCAGAGTATAAGCCGAGCTTAGTTTGAAACTAGATGGCGTCGTGTGCCAGTTGTCCTAAATATTTCTTTTTTATTTAATTGTTTCGCTATATTTATGGCGAGATTAACAGCCAAACCTTGAAGAGATGTTTATTAACATTATTATTTTAAAAATAAGCGCAGTACATATCCGAAGCTTGTCGTATCGATCGTTATTCGCGGATCGGAACTCTTCCGTATATCTGCGGATATACATTTTTAACAACTTGGTACATTACTATAGAGGAACCATAATGCAATCTCGTCGCCTGCTGAAATACGGGTACCCTGCAAAGTTCAATTGGCAACAGAATACAGTGTGGTTTTATTTGGTTTAATTCAAACATAATACTTTATTGTAAACGCCGATGATGCAAGATAAAAATGGGATATAGAACTTACCGTTGGCTTGTCTGTACTTGTAGTGGCACGAACGGATTGAAAACTCTGTCGGTGGTACTGGGTCTTTGATTTAACCCACTCATACTTTGCAGCGGCCTTCCAGCCTGTGAAGAGTAATTACTACAATAAATATCCAATCAATTTTCACCAAATGTTTTCATAATTATTTTAACAGATACAAAAAGAGCTCATTTCATAAAGAAAAAAGGATAGAAAAGAATTGAATAAACTTTGTGTACACTTTTTTTTTGTTTTTTACAAGAGTACAATAATAATTGATTTAATTTGCTTTTCTTCGTATTTTTATTTTTCATTTTAAACTTTTGTATTGATTTATACTAGTGATCGGCCGGCGGTCAAATTTCAATGTTTTTAACGTTTTATTTTATTTCATTGTCCAGTTTAACTTGAACTATCATTTATCTATCATATATTAGTACAAAATATATACTGGACCCTTATAGTTTTGTGTATCGGTTTTAACATAAATATTTAAGTTTACAGCACATATTGTTTGAAAATTTTAGTTATCTGCATATTTATTTTATTTCAACATATTAAATATACCATATTAGTTTATAAAAGAGGTACAAGGAATGTTCTTCACATATTTATATAATCTGTGTATGGGAATCAATGTATGAAATCAAATGTATGATCACGTAATGGGTATTACGTAACAACCTACTATAGTCCATTCAAGTTAAGAAAATAGTGACGCTTCGATCAAGCCTAACCCGCTGACCAATTAGGTTCCCAGAAATTATCGTTTCGTAGGAAAGCTTGGACCCTGATTGGTAAGGTATTGGTAAGGGTGTGGCTCACTAGTTTCTTAACGCGAATGAACTATAAGTGATACTATACCTATTAAGTGATCGTCTTCATATATATATATAAATCAACATTAAAGCAAACAACCGCGGGCAAAAACTATAACCATAGAGTTAGGGAATAGCAGAAATGTTTTTTTAAGTATTTGAATTAATGTTCGTTGATGCAAAACCTATGACTAATAATATTTAATACTAAATAATTGATTAATGAGTAATCAATTGAATTATAAGTAGTCTATAGCATATGATTACTAATTTTATTCCAAGTAACAATGAAGTGCCACGTCTACAGTAACTAAAAGCAGAACAGTCAGTAATTTCGCATTAATTTTTATTTAAAGTCGGTGATACTTTAAAAAAATATCACCGACTTCAATGCGCCTACTTGTTATGTACTTTTCATTCCTTAATATTATTATCTATACTAATATTATAAAGCTGAAGAGTTTGTTTGTTTGTTTGTTTGAACGCGCTAATCTCAGGAACTACTGGTCTGATTTGAAAAATTCTTTCAGTGTTAGATAGCCCATTTATCGAGGAAGGCTATAGGCTATATATCATCACGCTAAGACCAATAGGAGCGGAGCACCAATGAAGAATGTTTCAAAAACTGAGAAAATTTATTACTATTGAGAGACGCAGACGAAGTTGCGCGGGTCAGCTAGTTTTTAATGAAATTTGAATGAGACTAAACGGGAAGCACACGGACTCAAATTTTTTTTTTTTCAAATCGGTTCATATTTTTTGTAACAAAATAGATCCAAATTTTTGAAGTCTGTTAAAAATTTAGTGATATTAAAATGCAAAAATTTCACATAGGTACTCCCGGATTAGAGTTACTTCTGGTGAAACTACTTTATGCAAAAGAAAAAATATTTGAATAGCAGTACTAAGACAGAATGAGACGAGAATTCTACACCAAACACTCACTGTCGGACAGGCTTACTATACTACTTACTATACTTGTTTGCTAACTTACTTGTACAATTAGCAGCAAACTTTAGACTGTTGAAACGTTTTATTTCGTAACTACGCTAATGCGATTAAATAACACAAACAAGTATTTTTGATACATAAAAGTTAAGTTTTAATTTCAGACTTTGTGTCTAAAATAAGTTTTCTCAGCTATTAGCTTTTAAGGTAATAGAGCTCTCTAGCATTGCTGGAACTTTGTCCAACAGTATTGCAAGCTTAACAAATGCCAAGCATCACTATTGTTAATTTGTCTATGTCTTTATCTACAACAGTGAATGGTTATAATGTTTACATCTGATGTTAACTACTTGACAACGAAATTGGAACCTTGAAATTTAATAATTTACATATTAATTTTACTTAAGGTATAATATTAGTATAGTTTATTACTACCTTAATATCATGAATTTGAGGCTAATATAATAAAGTGACTCACATATAATCTCGCTAGGTTATTGGGTTGGTTCCAACTCGGTCCTAATGTGATATTGCCAACGACGCTTGGCGATTGTTTGGGGAAATTGTGGTCCATTAATGGTGGCGGCGGACGGTTAAAGAAGGTACTGCGGTCCGGTTGCCGAGGGCTATTGCCGTAGGACTGGTTAGAGGATTGAGTATTGCGATTGTGGAAGTGCGGGTTAGCGAACTGTGGGAATGGAATCTGATTTAGACCTGGACCTTGGTAGGGTTGCCCGAATGGCGGTGGGTATGGGGGAACAGGCGGTAGATTCTGAAAGAAAAATAAATAAGTTTATTTTTCATTCTTCAGACATCTATAGTACAGCCATAATGTTTTATAGTGTTAAAGAGAAAATAATACTGTAGTCGCGTAAATAAATAGTGACTCACCGGTCAAGCCCCGCACCCTGACTAATCAGGTTCCAAGCTATCGTAAGAAGCGATAATTTCTTTGAACCTGATTGGTCAAGGGGCTCGGCTTGATCGGTGCGTCACTATTTTCTTAAAACGAATGGATTATGAATTACTCGTGTATATTCTATGACTGCCTCTATCTCTCCTTAGGTCAGTAGGCGAGGGTTTGTAATCAGCGCTTCCAGGGTTCTCACCCGAGTACTAGATTACAAAGAGTATATCACCTGGATAGAGATTGTCTATATTTCTGTCTCTTATAGTATAGTGTGGTAATTTTGTGTTCAAATACAGTTTGGCCCCGTGATGTTGGTGTTTTTTTTTATCAAAACCGAAAGTGCTAAGAACATTAATTTTGCCTGTAAGCCGAAATTTGCCTGTGACAGTTTATTTTGTCATTTGATGAATATGTGCAGACGTAGTGGAAAACATTATCTGAGATGTGTCTTATCTAGAATTGCAAAACGCTTGGGGTCTGTACCCATATCTGTACCCAGTTTTAACACATAGGAATCGAGTCGAAAGCTAGTAAAAATGTACATGTGCTATTTTAATTCTATTTTTCTGAATATAAAATTTTCTAACCTTGTAACTGGTATTTGTCCACTCTGGGTTGTAGCCGGGAGGCGGACGGCTCAGGTTCACAGGCGGCATTGCAGCAGCTACTGCGCTCTCTTTGCGCCAATTTGTCGGTTGCGAAGATCCTCTGTTTAATATCCAATTTAATTACCTTCATTTTGTCAAACCCACATTTTTGTTCTAAGCCAATCATAAAAGGTGTCAATACATAACGATCTTATATCAATGCAGACTTTGCTATTCTATTTATAATAAACTTGCAAATAAATTACGAGATGTACGAATGAATTATTGAAAAATCCGAATGGGAAATGGGAAATCTAGATCGTATCGACTTCTCCTAGCCTCCTATAAATTAGAAATATGCAATGCCTATGGGCAAGAGACCAATTTTCCAAAATGAACTAACTCAGACCCCAATAGCCAAATTACTTTAAAAATCCCATCACTAGTTTTTTCCTATTGATACAAAATACTTACCAATTTAAAAACTTTGCCGTTAATTAATAGGTGTTGAGTTTTGGACCTAATCGACCCAAAAATCGGTTTTCGTTTATATACCCCTGGGAAACCGATTTTGACCCCAAGTTGTCGATATCGACCACCTTGGGTACCTTGGTCTCGAGCAATCTTCATATGAAAGAACTATATCACTGTTGAGATGACCAGTCACGACACTCGGTTTACTATATCAGTCGGCAATTACGGCATCAAACCACATCTCAAGAAACTTCACGACTCCTGAAAGCTATCACAGTCAGACATTTGGGTAAGCTAATGCAAACACTCAGACCACTGTAACCGCTCAATCAGTCTGCTATAAAACCTTAGTAGAAATTACTACCTAAAATGGCACTTTTATTCATAATTATAGTTAAATCGCCGTAAGCTTGGCCCTCCTGATGGTTTGCGGGACGCGGGGCGGGGATGCATTCAACCAATTAGCTAGTGCGTCGCTGTCCGTCGGCAGTGACTGACGTGAAAGCATGGCTGTACGTGTTATTTTTCTTAAGACTGCTACACACGGTATTATTATATTTAAAATGACCTAATAGCAGCCTAGGTATTAAAAAGACTAAAATAATATATTCAAGTTTAGGTGGTGTTCCAGTATTTAACTATACAATTATATTCTTAAGTTTATCATAAAGATTCGCATGCCTACGCCATGACGTTGATAAGCAGTGGTACAAAAATATAATTTTCAATGACAGTGACATCATGCAACACGATTTCATGATGATCGGTTAAGTAATAAAAGCTTGAAAGCATGACAAACAAGCAAACATAAAAGCTCACATTCACATTTCAAAACTAGAAGTATGGCTATTTTATTGGTTTGCTATTTGAAATGTACCACTTTTTTTTTCTCTTTGGTAAATAGATCGATAGATATTCTTAATTAGACATCAAAAAAGTATTGTAAAATGGGGTGTCTCATCGCAGACGGCAATCCCTTACAGACAACCAGGATGGAATATACTGTATAGTAGTACTAAATAATAATAATGATCAAAAATAAATAATTTGTATCAATAGCTAATACACACAAATAATAAACGTACATAAATATAAAATATTTGGTTGAGAAGTTTCTGAAAAAAGAGTTAGTGCCTGTACTACTCGAATGATTTTCGATAATCTCAAATATGTACACTGTGTGTCATATTTAAATGCAAAAAGTTGTAATATTAAGATTTCCTTAAGAACACAGGTAACTGTAAAGTTTCAGCAAACCCATTCAAGACCAGTCATGTACAACAAATGACATAAAACAAAAATAATAATAAACTTTTACATACGTCCGACAAAATGTACGTAAAAACTCATATTACATCACTCTAAAAAGAAAATTTCTCATAGCAAAAAAATATCCAGCATAAGCTATTAATCGGTATCTTACCCAGAAAACATCTTCCAGAATGGATGTTCAGGAGGACTGCTTGTAAAAAATAGTTATGTTAATAGACAATGAGAGACACTTGTCTGTATAGTCTATGGAAGTGCCAGGAACAGAATTAGAACCACACTCTCTTATATTTTCAGTAGTCAATACTTTGTTAATAGATTCCATATTTTTTTAATAAGTGAGTTATGCCGTGTAATATACAGGATATACTTTACAACGTATCTAGATACATAAAAAGTCATAATGACAAACTAATAAAATTCAATATTGACCGCAAACCTATACGCCATACACAAATGTTATAATACATCAAGAGCTTGCATCCACAGTCTAGTTTCATCACATCGAGCAGCTAAGCATTGGCCGTAGTGTTTTTAACAGCTTTTCTCTTGAATATTAAGTGTTTGCAAGGCACATAAAATACTTTAATTTTGCAAAGATGCCTAGGTTATGAACACCGTTTAACAAATAGATATGTTAGTGTATTTGGCTGGATAAAAACGCGTCCATACATGAGCATAAGACAGGTATAATCAGTACTAGACGTCTTTGACTGACATAAATTGAGATCAAGGAAAATAAAATGACCGAAAATCTTTTATAATTTGAATGTTAGCATCACCCAGGACAGAAGCGCCTATCCATATTTTGTGGCGAACATACTACTGACAACCGTTATTTCTTTACTCTTCTTCTTACTACTTTATTTCTTATCTTTCACTCTTTGTCATTAATCTGTTGGCTCTCCTTCTAGTCAAGTCTCTTGATGTCAAATTTTACGAATATAAACATATTATATTTACCTTTGAGATTGAGGCGAAGCTACGGGAGGTTCAGATTTTACTCGCCAATTGCTGTTCTGTTCAGGAGTTGCAGGCTAGATAACATTTAGAAAAAAATGAATATGCTTAAACAAATTTGAAATATTCGCATTTTTCTTATTTCGAACGTCATTTAAACTTTTGACAAACACAAGAAGAACTTACTTAGATATCAGATGACATCACATACTATTTAGATTTGCAGAAATAATTATTAAGCATTTAATCTTTTCGTTTTTTCAGAATTATCATCATTTCCCACCACACTATAACAACATAATTTACCAGCCCTTTGCTCAATTTTATCAGTTCCCACCGATTTTTGGGAATTGGGAATAGGGCTGTGTCACATCGCAAAGAGTTTTGATAGTTTCTTTTTAATTTATCATCAACAGGGTTTAATAGTCCACTGCTGGAAATAGGTCTCTCTCCTTAGAAGGGAGGTATTAGCCTACTATACCACGCTGGCCAGACGGGGTGGTATAAGATTTAGAGTATGTTGTAAGCTTTCTTTCTCTTTGCAGTGCTGTTATCCTGCTTAGTTTGCTACCCAAGTCAGCTCTTACGACATCTGTTGGAGGAATAGGGTCACCACACGGACAACTTACACAACAGACAAGGATATTGGATGGGGCGACAGAGCTATTATGGTTTAACACAGATTAAGTAAAATTACCTTTGTTGTCCTTGTGTTCTTAGATTGTCCTTCATTTTCGCTAATCTTCAACAGGCTTCTAAGAAGGTGAGTTGCATTGTCCTGTCAATACAAATATACTTCTTTTAACACGTTCATTGACTCAAGCTTTTGACTGGAGGCCCATATTCACTAACGACGTTAAGTGATAAGCTATATAGATGTCAAATAACGTGTTAAGTGAAATAGTAATAAAAGTATAGTAGTATGATTTTTGTTTTCTTTAATGACACATTTAACCGTTACATGTTTGGTAATAGCTACTATAAAATTTAGGTAAATAATAATCTATTGAGTAAACGAGTAAGCTACATCATTCATCTTTTGACCGCAATAACCCACAACACGCGGGTGGAGCCGCGAGCAAAAGCAAACCACAGAGGTGTCTTTTTGACGTAAAACTGAGACAGGACTGGACAGTGACGGATATATGTTAGTGAAGATAGAAAGAGTTACGTTTATATATATATTACTGTAGGGCCAAGTGAGAAAGTGCGAGCTCCCATTTTCTTTCTCACTTTCTCTCATACCCAAAAAGTTTTATTTCAGTCGTGTGGTCTAAAGTCCGTGTACAATGTTAAAGAGAACTATGTGAGTGCAGTATACGGTCTGGGTTGGCCTTTTGAAGAAAGGACCATAGTTTGAGTCATCCATACAAACGGCATGCGTAAAAAATCTTTCACCAATGGAAACCTACATTATCAGCGAGTAGCATAGGCTACTTTTTCCATAGACGCGGTGGAGATGAGGGCTAAGGCTAGTATATAATTAAAATAAAGTATATCAAACTGTAGTAAGGGGACTTACTTGAGACTCTTTAGTAGATATGCTGATAGGTGTGCTGATAGTTGTGCCATTAGCGTTGTTGGTAGCTGTGCCATTAGCATTGCCAGTAGCTGTTCTATTAGCATTGCCAGTAGCCGTTCTATTGGCACTGCTGGTAGCTGTTCTATTGGCACTGCTGGTAGCTGTTCTATTAGCATTGCTACGATTCTCGGTAGTAATCTTCTGCGTAAACAACTTCTCTCCTGGAGGACTATAAAACAAAAACAATATTATAATTAATGTAATATAATAATAATATATCATCTCACACACTGCCGTCTGATCCGAAACTAGGCAGAACCTGTACTATGGTAACCAGTCTACAGATAAACATACTTATATTTTTTTTAAATAGATACCTAATATAGATAAACTAAACCCAGACACAGAACATATGACCGTGCTCATCACACAATATTTGTCCTGGGTGGGAATCGAACCCACGACCTCCGGTTTAGCAGTCAGGGTCACTAACCACTAGACCAACAGGCCTGTCCAATTATTAAATTGAAAGTAAATACCCTTTTAAATAATTATTCACAAAAACACTTATAGACTAAGCACCTCCGAAAGCTATAGTCCATTCGCGTTAAGAAAATAGTGACGCTCCCATCAATGGCAATTTTATAGCAAAAGGTAGTTTGAGGCCGACCTGTAGTTAGCGAAGGCTGAGTTGTGGCCGTCGTCGGGGCGCAGGCGCGTGTTGGAGTTGGAGGCGCTGGCGCTGACACCAGTCGAGCTGGCGCCTCCCCCGCGTAGCCGCCGCCCCATCGACAGGTTCAGGAGGGTGGAACTGGACATCCTGCACACAACCAACGCTAATCAACTAATAAACTTAAAATCTTTTACCTGCAAGAAATTCTAACAGGTTGTTGTAGCCCTTTTCCGTTAATTTCCATCCCTATTTATTAATAGACAAGATTATAAGATGTGTCCATCCAAAGACTATATCCAAAAATCTAATATATACCTAAAATGTACGGCAAAGTTACTACTTGCTCTTCTTCCAAAGAAAGTTCAGAAAGAAAGTCAGAAGAACTTCATAAAACAGAGTTACATAACATAACGTATAAACCTGAAGCACAACATTTGCCACACAAAAAAAAAAGAAATATTTAATGCTACACTGCAATTTTCTAGTCAGACTTATTTAAAGCATCAACAGCCAAAACCTCCTTTTTAAGGAGAGGCCTATGACCAGCAGTGGACTGTTAAAGGCTGTTGATGTGACGTGATGTGAAAGCATCAACTCCTTCATTCAATTTGATCCCTAATAAAACGCTAGTAGTAACTAAAATTATAAATATCGAAAGTGCTGCGAGGAATGATTCTAACTCATACTGACCGCAGCTGGTCACCTACATTCCATGAGGCAAAATATATATCCGCATCACTTGGGATATTAGCATCCCACTACTGCGCGTTTTTCAAGAATCTTTTTATCTCCTACAACCAACTCTGTGGTACCAATTATCGCCTGTGATCGCTCAAAACCTTTCGGAAAATAGTGTAATCCTTCCTCATAGGCTGGCAACGCATTTTAACGTGTTCGTTTCAATATTAATCAATATTAATATACCTCACACATTCCCCACACGGCCGTCTGATCCCAAACTAGGCAGATTCTCCGCTATGGTAACCAGACTACTGATAATCATACTTATATATTTTAAATACATAAATATTATATATAAATTATACCCAGACACAAAACAAATGACCATGCTCATCATACAATATTTGTCACTAACCACTAGACCAACAAGGGCCCGTTTGCTTGATATATCAGAAAAAAAAATAAAGAGAAATATATTACCTATAAAACCTGGGTTCCTCGAACAAATCCTCAGTCATGGCTCCAGGGAACGTGTTGTCGAACATGACTTGGTAGGTGGGGTCGTTGTTGAGCTTGTCGGACAGACGGACGGTGTTGGCGGCGGCGGGCGGGTAGATGGCCGTCACCGTGCCCGTCGCGCCCAGCGGCACAGTCATGGTGCTGCTCACGCACACCACTCGGTCGTACAGCCTGTAGTCTGCTTTTGGGTCTGGCTGCAAGTTGCCTGTGTGGAGTTCGGGCTGAAAGGTACAAAACACATTTACAAACTCGTTTTCTTCGTGCATTGTAAAAGACACCACTGAACCACACTGACTAGTGGTGTATAACGTGAGTTAGAACAATTCGTTACGTGTTAATTATTAATGATAATGTTGAAATTGGTCGAGTTCACAGGGATTCGTAAAACATAACAATTGTATCCATTACAACAAAAAACGACTAAATTAATTTATAAAACTTGATCCGATAATTACACAATAACTTTGTTTCACTTTAAACTTCTGGAAAAAGCTTTTTAAAATGGTCATAAACGTCATCTTAAAAATCAAAAATAATTGATATCGATATCGCATAAGTTTTGTGTTAGAACTTCATTACGGTGGTGTCGTTACTAAAAAAAATTATTATAAGCGACACCCTAGTGGTGTGGTTCAGTGATGTCGTTTACAATACACGGTTTTATTGACCGAGGCAGTTAAAAAGCTTTGAAACGTCCCAAAATTTAATCTATACTCGAACATACATTTATACACTCATGTCTTCCTGAAGGGGATAGTCAGACATTTGTCGACTACAATGTTAGTCCCACTTACATAATAGGTGGGGAGGTCTTTTGACATCAATCTGGTACTTTCGTATACAGTATAATAGGAAAATTAGAAGTACTAATGAAAGGGAAAGTACGTAAAAAATAAAGTTACCAAGAACTTAACTCGCCTAAAACAACCTACCTACCTAAACATCGTAGATACAACATAATGTTACCTTATATAACAATGTCCACTTGACTTGCAGAGTAAGCTTGAACGCCTTAGCGGCGAGGTCCGCAAGCTGTTTGTCGAGCTCGGCGGCGAGTTCTTTCATCTCCTCGGGCTCCAGGCACTCCGAGCCGAAGTCACGACGAAGCGCCCTCATGTGATCTTGCGACTTCACCCACGCACTTATCTCCTGTCCCTTCTTTTTACTGAAAGTGTTCAAATATAAGTTTGTTGCCTGCAGTTATAATGAATTATTCAAAATGCCTTATTTCAGTTTCAAGTTTTTTTTTTAATTCTATCCGACTCCACTTATTAAAAAATTTAACTATAGTACTCACCCAATTTCACGAGGGAACAAATCGCTTTCGAAGAACACATCCCTGCCGAGTGACTGGGCCAAATTGTCGAACAGATCAGGGAATTTTTGCGCGTAAGATCTCACTAGTTCTATACACCGCTCCGAATATAACCAAGAGTTGGTAATTTGGCATTTACGTGTGTACCCTGCTACTTCTTGATTCTATGATGGACAATAAGGTATAATTGAGAAAACCCAAAGAATACGCTTCAATAGTGAAGTAACGAAAAAGTCTACATCAGCTTTATTTGACGATGGTAGAACTAGACTGATCCAAGTGTAATTTTTTTCTAATTAGCGTTTTTGTCATAAAGGCCCAAAAAACTCTATTCTTTAATACCACAGTAATCCAAGTGCTAATAGTACTATCTTCCTGGAGAACTGTATATCTCTCACTGTAGAATGAATGGCTTTTTGACTACCATTGCCATGATCATTTTGGTGATCCAAGTGATTATTTTTGTGTACAACTTTGTGTTACTATTCATTAAAAATATGGAAGGAAACATTGTTATAAATTCAATTCAACATGTTAGGCTTCATTTTAATTAATATTTAATAGCAATGAAGCTAAGACTCCGCTGTCCGTCCGTCCGTCTGTATGTCTGTTTGTCACCAGACTGTCTCTCATGAACCATGTTACCAACCAGTTAGTTGAAATTTTCACTGATGATGTATTTCTGTTGCCGCTATAACAACAAATACTAAAAACAGAATATAATAAGTAAATAAGTAACATACAGCAGATATGATTTTTTGCCGTTTTTATAGATAATGGTACGGAACCCTTGGCACTTGGCCGATTTTTCACAAGAAATACAAACAAGTTTCCTTCGTTTTCTTAAAAAGACAAAACTGTGACTTAAATCAGTCTGGTTCTACCATCGTCATTTGTGGTATAGGTGGCAAACAAGTACTCAGGTCACCAGATAGTTAGTAACTAACGTCGCCAAATCAAAAGACACAAGTGCATTTCTCGTTTCTCCCTTTCCCCCTCCAGAATTAGAGAGGTTGAGCGTACTGGTACGAGTCTAGAGGAACTTGTCTTTCAAAAAAAGTGTAAGGTGTCGTAAAAGCCGACTAAGGGAGCAAACTACGCAGGACAACAGCACTGCAAAGAGAAGGAAAACTTGAAAGAAACCCTATACCAACCCTTCTTGCCAGCGTGGTATGGCAGGCCAAAACCTCCTTTCTAAGGAGAGGCCTATTGTCCAGTAGTGGACTATTATAGGCTGTTGATGATGATGATGAATAGCATATAGGCATCTCAAAAGAATGTAGTGTTCCCGTTTGATGAACAAGGTATAACAACAACCGTGACTAACACTCGCGTAGCTGGTATATATTATAAAACTTTATAAGTATGTATACATGTAACTGGTGAGAACAGGTTAACTATTAAGTTAATATAATTATTCCCGTGGGAGATGCTATTCTTAGGAACTCTAGCACTTGGGACTCTTGAGTTGCTGGTATCCATGGGCGACGGTAGCCACTTACCATCAGGTGACACGTCTGCTCGTGTGACCCCTCTCCTTTTTTTTGCTGTGCGGAAATCCCCTCGCATACCACCCACCGATGGGATGTCTAAACTATAAAAATATATTTGTCCACTTCGTTCTGAAGAAAATATAACTTTAATACTTTGGATACTTTGATTATTTTATTTTACATTCTTAACTCGAAGCTTTAATGAAAGTCCACATACCTTTTTATTAAATTTCAAATTAAGTCCTATGTTAATTTTATTTAGAGTTTCCGTGGGTCGATCGTGTCTTTCGCCTGTGATAAGTAGAATCGAACCCGTGATTCGGTTCAGCATCTGTACGGATATACCTACAATAAAAATTATACTTTTATAATAGTTTTTTTAAACGCCCACTTAATAGTATATTGCGTATAAAGTCATTAAAGAACTGCCTGAATATAATATAATTATGGTAATCTCATAAATTTAATAATTAAAACGAATGTAGTTACCGCAAGAGGCCGCAGCATGGTTAGGATTTCTGTAGTTACTGGCTAAGTTCCTGGGGCAAACTACGGGCTCGCCTCTCTCAGTGATACACACTTTTATCCGGCCTGATTTTATGGAATCTGAATTGACTACCTGCAAAAAAAAATGAGACAATTAACAACTTAATCGGTTTGATTTTTTTGGGAACCTAGCCCTCAAGTAGCAGGACTCTGTTCTTGTATAACAACACTACAGGTAGACAGCAATAAATTGACTCCGAGTGCTATAAACATTATAGTTTAATAATAATAATAATATTTTCGGATATCTGACACACAACGCCATCTAGTTTCAAACTAAGCTGCTAAGCTTGTACTACGAAAGCTAGAGTGACCGATAGAATACTCATATTTTTTTTGTTGTAAAGAAATACCACCACACCTAAACATCAAAACAAACATTTACAGATCATGCAAACATTTGGTCCGACCGCAGCAGTCGCATATGATAGCACTGCACAACCGAGAGGTTATAGGTAATCGAGTAATATAAAATTACTACGAGTACCTGCCTCGATTGACCGATTTAACAATGCAGAGCCTAAACCGCCTGAGCCTAAGCCTGATTTTTATATTGTTAGCACTCATTATGAAAGGATTTTTGGAAATTGCCTCTCTAAGGGGGTAAAATAGAGGATAAACGGTCGTATGGAAGTTCGTCATTTTCAGAGTTAGTGCACAGACAATATATAAACTCACGGTAGCCATCGCCCCATAGTGTTGCCCATGGGTGAGCAGGAAGACGCGGTCGCCGGGCGGGTAGGCCTCCTGCGGCGTGGAGTAGCGCCCGCCCTCCTGCAGCACGTGGGCGCGCACGTCGCGCACCACGGCGTGCGCCGCGTACCCGCACGGCACGCTGCACCACTCCGGCTCTTGGACCATCCTTACGTTGTTCTGGACTACGTATTTGAAGCCTGGAAGATAATATCTTATAGAGCACATCCTTTATAATACGATACACGTGACAGACGCGCCCTGACTCGGTCCATATACGGTGTAGTGAGATGTGATAACTCTTAGGAAGTCCCGAAGAATGTGCCTCCTTCAGATATGTCTCCCTTCCGTAAGTTAAAGCAGTGGGAATGAACAAATAAAGATATTTCCGAGATACAATGAGGTGAAAATATTGACACGCATTATTGTGTTAAGAATTAAAATCTAGGTTAGGTTGAAACTGTGTGAGAAAATCGATTTACCTTTTAAATTCACTGCGTGAATTATGGTATTCACTTCACCTAATTCTATTCCAAGACGATGCATATTGCTGTAAAAAGAAAAAAATCATTATTAAATATTTAGAAAACGTTATTATATCATAATTATGTATAGTATATATAATATACTATATACAAAAACAGCTCAGTCCGCTCCGCCAGTTAGGTATAAGGCTTGAATATGCGGCGCATCGCACACCTCGAATTTCTGAGTTGCGCGGACCACGCAGCCGATTCCAACGTTACGGCACCGAAATGCAGTTATGCGTGTTCGGTCCCTAAAGTACGTAGCGGTGCTTAAGTAATAACAAAAATCTTAAAATCACATTACGTAAACTTAAAAGGACATTGACACTGTCTTTTATAAACTATACCCGATTAGCACTTTGCGACCTTGGCAATCGCATTTTATTATTTAGGAAAAAGAGTCACTATTTATATGTGTGTTATACTCTTTGTGAGTCCATGCATTTACATTGACATGAATGTTTTAACCAGTATTATACATAGTGATGGCTAAGGAATATAACGAGATTAAATTCATGAATAAAATTTTTGGTACTAATGTTTAAACTTAAAGTTTGGGGCGTGGCGACCGCTTTAATCACTACGCCATCCTTGCAGTCGATAATAACTGCTGATGTGAAAAATTTTATGAAAAATTGTAAGGGAATATATCTAAATACATCAGCATGCTTAGGGATGAAACGTTCGAGTGTGAAATGAAAGTACTGGGAATGGATATGTGACACCTCCACCAGACACCTCACTGCGCCGCCACATAAAAGGTCTCCGAACCTTGCGGCAGTCTCCTTTTTTTTTCTTCGGCTCCATCTCCACAAGCTATGTCCCGCCTACTAACGGTTGGACAGCAATCGAAGCCTCCAGAAGCGGTGCCCTGAGCCTAACTTATGTTCTTACGCTCGCTATGTAAATTTGTATCTCCATCCACTTTGCCCAGTAGGCCATGTTTCTAGAATTCCGTGGCAAAACTCTACATGACAGATATTATGAGAATACATTAAATAACACACTTACTGTTCAATGATGGTAGATTTCTCACTGAGCCACTGATCGCGCAAGTTGCCGTGATTAGGCTCTTTGGTGTAATTGTTCTCATTATTCTCTGAGTAATGCAAGCGTATCACTTCATTTGACACGGCTATCACTCTAAAATAAATAATTTATAAGTCATTCAATAGGGACAACAATTATATAGAGGGTTACTGGTTAATTCGACCTAGAAGTTAAGTACAATTTTGAATGGAAATTATAAAACCTTGTATCAACAACACAAAAACAGTTTACACACACAGTAAAAACAACCAAATCTATGTTCATTACTCATTTAGTACTCCTTTCATCATCATCATCACATTAAGAGTTTATCAGCAGATATATAAACATACTTACTTGGCTCTAGTCAGGTGTGGCCAACCAACCCAAATGACTTTCCCGAGAAAATCTTTTGCTATATCTCTAAGAGTTTTATTTGGCTCTTCTTCTCTTATTATTTCCACAATCATGTTATCGTTGCGTGACTGCATGTCAAACACTTTCACCTTTCCTTTCTTTAGACTTGTCTACAAGAAAAAATCTTAAATATTATATTTGCATGTATATGTAGCATATACATTGTTATGTATACAATATATTTAACAATGACAAATTAATATATAGATACTGTATACATACTCAACATAAAAATAAAAAAATAATAATATAAACTAGAAAGACAATAACATAATTGGGAGTTATGTCATTTCCGCTCACTGGCAACGCCACCTTTTCCGCCGGACTAATCGGGAACAGACGACAGACTAATGGAGGTACCATTCACGACCTGGACTACAACTTTAAACCCCATTTAATTTCCTTATAATTATTTAATAAGAGATGTCTTAGGCTAAAATCAGACCAAATTATCATTTTCTATTTTTGATTGTTTTGTTTCAAAAACTCATTAGTTTTTTTTACATAATTCATGCATACACACCCGGTACTTCAGATGTCTCATGGTAGGGAAGCCAGGGAACAACATGTCCCGTTTGGTGTTCGGCAACATTCCTCGTTTCAGCTCCGACTCGGGTACCTCTAGTTCATTTCGCCACACCAACTTCTCAGTAGCGTGGCACTCAGATATCACAGGGAAGTATTCTGGTGCGTAGATCTGCCCTGTGATGTACAATTATGTTATTATAATTCTCATTTTATTACCTACCAGCTGATTAGCGCAACGCAACTCCATCCGAGTCCCTCAAAAAAAGAAAATATGCTCGGCTCTTATGGATGTGTCTATAGTCTATAGTCTTCCTCGATAAATGGGCTATCTAGCACAAAAAGAATGTTTTCAATTCGAACCAGTAGTTCCTGAGATTAACGCGTTCCCACCAAAACAAACTCTTCAACTTTATAATATTAGTATAGAAAGTGAACAACGTGTGGATTAAGAAGTTCGACGAATGAAACCTTAAGTTAATGGTGTCTACCATTAACTTAAGGTTTAGTACCAGAATTAATAAATTTCAAAAAATCTTTACAAATAAATAAAATTGAAGAGTCTGTTTGTAATGTCAAAATAATAGGGTTTTTTCATGCTCATTCCGGTTATTTGCACGATACTTATGCCTAAAAAACAGTTAAAATTTTGTGTGCCTGTCTGTTTGTTCCGGGTAATCTTCTAAACGGCTGAACAGATTTTGATAATATTTTACTATCAGGTAGCTGTCTATATAAGGAGTGACTTAGGCTATTTTTCCTCTCAGAAAACCCCTATAAAATTTTGACCGGTCCGGGAATCGAACCTATTAAGTTAGCGATTTTCAAATTCCACGCGAACAAAGTCGCGGGTACCAGCTAGGAAATCCCAAAACACCATATCTTCACAAGAAGATACTACATCCAGATACATGGAAATGACCGAGATCAATCCGGACAACCAATACCAATACCAGCTAGGAAACCCCCCCCCCCAGAACTAGGGGGAGGGGGAGAGTTTGAGTTCTGGTAACATCACTCAATAGGCGGATAGCAACAAAATAATTACTTAAAATGGGTTTTCTGTGAGACTGGTATCCACTCCGGTCGACGCGTCCTGTATGTGCCAAACCGGTATAAAAAAATCGTCTACAATTGATTAGTGGTAAAATAAATAAATAATAATAATATTCTACCACATTCACAGAACGCCATCTATTCCTAAACTAAGCAGAGCTTGGACTATGGGTACTAGACAACTGATATAAATACATTTATATCTTTTTTTTGTAAATACTTACATATTATACACAGAAACACCCATATCAAATCAAACATTAAATGCAAATGTTCGACTTGAGCGGAAATCGAACTCGCGACCTTTGAAATAGCAGTCCGTTACACAAACCACTACGTCAACCGGTACTACAATAATACGAGTATATGCGTACACAGTAATGCTTTAACATTGTATATAAATTATAGGTAATAACATATGAGATCAACTGTGGTATTGGGGATTGCGAATAATATGTAAAATGATTTATATATTTTTTTTACAACAGACCTACAAAAACCTATTTTACTGTTGATGTTTTCGCAAACTGTTTCATTAAATGTTAGTTTCGTTTGAATAATTTATACTCACAGATACATATATACACTCACGTCATTAACCCCGAAGGGGTAGAGACGTATTAAACGCCAACATTTTGTCGACTATAATTTTCGTTCCACTTACGTAATAGGACTTAAGCCATAGGCACATTTACTGTACTATTGTTGGCACCCCATTAGTCATTGGCACTCTTAATTTTAAACAAAAATATTAAGTATTGCTGTGTTAAACAATATTCAATTGATACAGAACTTTTTAAGTTTTGAAGTCAACTTAACATTTTATATATACAGATAGTACGTTAAGTAACACTAATTGTAAACTGTTTTTATAATGTTAACTAGCTGGCCCGGCAAACGTTGTATTGCAAAACAAAAAAAATTAAGGATGGGTCACCCTTACCATTTAGGGGTATGAAAAATAGATGTTGGCCGATTCTCAGACCTACCCGATGTGCACACAAAATTTCATGAGAATCGGTCAAGCCGTTTTGGAGGAGTACGGGAACGAACATTGTGACACGAGAATTTTATATATAAGATGTTGTACTAAGTAGTGTTTATACAAATTATTTTTTACTAAACTTGTTAACTCATGATTATTCCTCCTATTAAAGAATCCTTAAAGTAAAAATCATTGTATAGTTTACCCTATTTCTAAATACATACATATTTTAGACTAATAAATCACATCAATAGCCTTTATAGTCCACTGATGGACATAGGCCTCTTCTTAGAAAGGAGGTTTTGGCCTACTATACCACGCTGGCCAGACGTGTTGGTATAGCGTTTGTGTCAAGCTTTGCTTCTTTTTACAGTGCTGTTGTCCTGCGTAGTTTAGCTTCCTTAGTCGGCTCTTACGACACCCACAAGATGAATAGCGGTGGTAACATTCCGTATTCTTAATCCGTCACCACAAGGACACTACGGAGATTAATACATGAACACATTATTTGTTCTGCGTGAGTGTTGACAGCCGGGAGCGACGAATGTGACACTTAGGGGTGTCACGAGCCCCTCCACTCGACGACAGGCACGCACGGTACTAGCGTTCTAACCATACCTTTGTTATAACCTCTTTGGATATATTATCTACATCTTTAAATACAGTCCACTTTTATCTTCAATTCCGTTGTAATACTCGAAGCTCAAATAGTGGGTATCGAACCCACGAACACTGGCTTAGTATTTATTTTAGCATTGCTTATCACTAGACTACCTAAAACTTGTACTTGTCATAATGTAGTATATTTGCTATATTGTATTTTATTTTGTATATTTTTTTACCTAGATTTTCAGGCGTCCAATCGTAGACCAGCATTGGACCATGTGAGTTTCGTTTCATCTCTTCTTCTGTTAATCTTTGATAACAAGGCTCCATTGCTGATAGGAGATTTACCTGAAATATATAATTGGAGTTATTTTATAACATCATTAGTTCAAGTACCATTTACTAAATGTCAAAGTATAGCCGCATATATTTTCAGAATATGCATTCAGAAACAGCACAAAAATCTGCTCATTATAAACTATAATTATCTTATACAAGAGTTGATCTCATTTAACCATTTCAGTCCAGATAAACAATGATTATGTAACCTTATAATAAAGTTCATATTTGAGTAACCGATTTTATCAGATCAGCTATGTTATGCAACTTCACTTACCTCATCAATAAAAGGTATTAATACGACGGCTTCCCATTCGTTTAATTTGCCGTTGAGATCTGTCTCAAAGTTCACTGGATAATAATGAACTATGGGCGAGTCCTCGTCAGTCATCAAAGTGTGGAATGGCATCGGCAGCAACTGCTTGCTTGCTGCAGGTAATACTGCTAGTAGCTATAAGAAAACAACTTATTTAATAATATGTAGTAACTAGTGTGGTATAGTAGGCCAAAACCTCCTTTCTAAGGAGAGGCCTATGTCCAGCAGTGGACTAGTAAAGGCTGTTGATGTGAACTAACTATCGCTCATGAGATTATTTCTTATTTCGTGTTTTTAACTTTGAAAATGACGAACTTCCATACAACCATTCATCCAATATTTTGCAAAATTATGGGAGAAATTTATCTTATCCAAAAATCTTATCTTAGTGGGTTTACAAACATAAAAATCATAAGATGACAAAATTTTAAGTTTGTTGCCATGGGGCAACAAACTTAAAATTTTGAATTAAAATTATATATATATATATAATTTTAATTCAAAATTTTATTAATATATATAATAAAATTATAACTTAAAAAAGAGACTAAACCCATGGGGGTTTAGTCTCTGCGCAGATGAATCTGTCAGGGCAAGTAATTTTATATGTATAGATAGGAGGGGTATACTACAGCTAACAACTATCCTATATAAGAATTAGTGATGTGACCGGATATTCGTTACCGCGGATAAGGTACTAATTATATCCATTTTTAACAAACACTACGCACATCACTATTAAGAAAAAAAGTGATCATTTCTATCAGTTCTAAGCTTTAGAAAATATATGTGATCCTTGCACTGTTAATACGCAAATATCTTAGAAACATGGATCACTAACATATCAAATATAAGCCCCCTCTCTTTCTACCCCAACCTATCTCTCTCTCTCTCTCATCCTCTTCAGCCTGTTTTGTGACGTTCGGCGACACACGGCCTTCATCAGCTTATGCCACTCATCGTTATATTTATTTATATAATCACATTGTTATGTTATATATGTACCTAAGCCACAAATATTGAAATAAAACATCTTCATCATCAGCCTATCGCAGACCATTGCTGGACATAGGACCCTCCCAATGCACGCCACTTAAATAATATTATTGTAAAGATTTATATCCTCCTATCTTTCTAGTTACATTGAATTCCATTACCTGTTCAAAAGGCTTAAAAGGTTCTCCAAGCTCGAATTCAATCTTCAAATCCTTAAAACCCTTGATATCAGATATGTAGGGCGCGTAATGATGCGGGTAGTACCAGCACCAGGATGGGCAACCTTTGTAATAATAGAACAGGTTCCACTGTATAGCCCTCACGTAGCCCTCTGCTTGGTCCGCTAGGACTTCACTAAAATTAACATAACATTTATAAGAATACATGTATTTATCTGAAGATAAGCCAGCAATTGTAAGTATAATTTCAGGAACCACTTGGAACATGTTATATTTCATTTTCAAGATCTGCTTACCATCAACTGGACCACACAGCTATATAGTATTACTATCGAAAAAGTATAGCTTCCATACGTTATGTTAAATTTCCAAAATCTTGGTGACCCTAATGATGACTTACATTTTTTCTAAACAAAGCAAAGTTTTAACACTGTTTTTTAAATTATAATATTTTATGTAGGTTTCCAAATGTTTAGAAGGTTCATAACAGTCTCTTGGAAACTAGAGTGACATTTTATTTTTTACATACAACGAAAAAATAATTGAACTAAGTATGTTTAAAACGTGCATTCCACAAACGTTTGCCACTAACTGGGGAAAAATTATCAACTTTTATAGTTATAAAAAATGCACGATGATAACGTGAAACTGTAGCATTCTCTATTCAAAAGATAGATTTTAAAATAAAATATGAATAATATTCAAATAACTGGATTTATATAATATCACTTCGTAAGAATATTACTACCTACATTTTCAGTAAATTCACATCAATAAAAACTACACATACAAAAATAAGACAAACACTTTTTGCCGACATCCACTCATATGTAGAGAAGTCAGATTTGTTAAAAGTATAGCTGTATTTAATTAAGCAAGCCTATGCAGAGATTTGGATTGTACATATGCTGTACATATAGATATATACATAAAATTAAATATATATATATGTACATATATAAGCTTTTTATTTGTCTGATTCTCAACGGTAAGTTATTACCAAAGTATGCATTATTTAGTCTCAAATCAGTATCATAAACGAAAGGAAATGCCCTGATATTGTCACTCTTTTCTATTTGTTACTTTGCTCGCAATATCTACTGACCTACTATCAAAACTAAAAACGACTATCTTTGATTTTATTAAGCAAGTCACATTTTTTGTATTTATTATACGCAACGTGATAAACACCAAGCTTTATTGAAGCAATCTGCTCTACTCCGGTGGATATCGGTCCATTAAAAATAGGTATAGAATTAAAATAATATTTACTACAACACAGTTCCAACAAAAAAGTTTAACAGCAGGGTTTAACTTAGCATTTGCAATAATATATGTATGTACTCACTTGTGACATTTCTAACATTAAGTATTAAAAAAGGTGAATAATTCACATTACATCAGATGTTTTTTGTGAAAAGAATTTAGGACTACTTCCGTGACATCTGATAGGTTGATTCAGGAGCATGCATTTGAATGAACCAATCAGTATAAACCAGAAATTAACATCTGAAGTTCGATTCTCGTAAAAAAATCCGTCCCAATTTCTCTCGATCACACAAATGCTATTTTCGTAGTTAAGTATGAAATTTCCAACGTTGACTGTAATGTGATTATATCGTATTGTGACCGAATGTTTAATCGGTATTCTGCTAGGCTGAGTAATACTACTACGAGAACTTTACTACGAAAATACTTTTTATGAAATTTGGGAGATCGACAGTAGATCGAAACGAAATTTTGAACAAATTTTTGTTACGAGAATTAAACCTTCTGCATAGAGGACATATAACTAAGGTTGCTACATTGATAAAATGTGACAAGTGAGTGCGCATAAAACTCGCTACGTACCTAAAGTAATGGCACATATCGTTATACCTGTGGCACACATATATTAGTGAATGTTTTATGAGCCAATATCATTTATTAAACTACTCATCCACAAAAATTAGGCAGTCAGGAGCGAGAGTTCTTTCTCCTCTTGTGCAAAAGGTAATTGAGACCCGTTTTGATTTAATAAGCATTCTTGCATTGGACACTTGTACAGCATGTATACAATTTAAAAATTGTTGCTTTATATCAATTGAATTACCTTTGTTAAAATGTTTTTATTTTTGGAATGACAACGCATTTATGCGTGGTTTTGATTAGAAGTATTGCCGTTTGACTTTTTTGTTTTGAAATTTGAATATTGTTAAATTAAAAACTAATGATGTCTCTAAAACGCAAGATAAGTTTACAAGGTGCAGTTGTTGCTAAGGTATAATCCATTTACGATATTTCTAACGTTTTAATTGTATTGCATTGATATTGTAAAAACCGATAACTACAAATTTTAGTTATTTTTAAATACATAGCTAGTCCTGTCTTGTCCTGGACCTGTCTTTTGTATTACCTGTATTATCTGGTGGCACTCTGTACCGCGTATTTTTAGGGAACGTGTATCAACTCATACTCAATAATTTCCTTACAAGCTGTTAAAGGCCAAAAGTGACCTCAAAACCCGCCTGATAAATCTGCCTTATTTTTGTGGACTGGTAGTACCAGAAATATTGTGAATTTCATAAATAACTTATAATATTTTGAGAAACTTACTCTGTTACTTTAGTGTAATCTAATTTGTTCATGTAGTAATCTTTTTTATGTAGAATAAACTCCATTTCCATGTTTTGTTCCTCTGCAAATAAAATTCAAATTAGCTTACGAAAATTTTATCTACACTATACACTACTCATTTAACCTTCAAGGGCTTGATGGTGTGGTGTCTTCCACATGCAACGAAAACAAAAAGTACTATCAGTACCATCCAACCAAAAACACGCCTACGTAGTAACTACTAATTCTACATCGCGCAATGAAAGCTTTCACGCCAATTCGTATATATATATAACTTCCCAACATCGACCGTTAGGCCGCAGTCGTCCGGGCCGACCTTGCCTTTTCGGAGGTTCCCCGCTTTGTGTAGGGGGAACATTAAAGCCCGTTATTTCACAATCTTATGATGCTCCACTCTCAAAATAAACTCCTGACATCCACTGTATTCTGCCGTTCTTGCACAGAACCGGAATATCGGGCATAAAAAAAAACTATTTCTATATTTGGCTAATATGCATTAATTATCATAAAATAATGTTCGAAGTGCACTCAAGCCAAGTTTTAGCAACAGATGCAAGCAAGATGGTGTAAGTGTTCCACATATTTTAAATGGCAACATAGTAATGTTAATTTTTAACATATCTGTAGTCAGTGCAAGGCAATAGATCTTGAATTTCACAACAATAACTCACCATCACTAGTCTCTTCATATCCATCTTCTGGATCCGCGTCAGCTAAGAACTGCAATTATAATATAACATTGGTTATTTAATTATTTTGTGGAATTAATTGTTTTTTTTTTTGTGTCTGTTTAGTGGTGACGGATTAAGAATACGGTGTACTATACACCGTATTCTTAATCCGTCACCACTAAACAGACCCACCCCTATTCATCCCGTAGGTGTTGTAAAAGGCAACCAAGGGAGCATACTCCGCAAGATAACAGCATTGCAAAGAGAAGGAAATCTTGAAACCCTTAACTCTATACCAACGCTTCTGACCAGGGTGGTATAGTAGGCCAAAACAATATACGATGGACAGTCTTATTTCAGTCTACAATCCCTTACAGACAATCAATACAATTATGTAAATATAAATTATATATTATATTTGCTCTCTAGTTACAGAACGAGCATAAGGATACGAGGCCTCTTCGGGCTACTGCAGTCTCAATTTTAGTTTCCTATCCGGGACTTGCTTCGCTCCCTTGACTCCGCTTCTATCCCTTTTCCTAACTCCAATTTACCTATTTCCTTTGTCCCATCTAAAATCGATTTTATTCCCATGGAGGGTTAGCAGTGGGAAGGAAGAGAGCCATTAAAGAAACCAACCAACTCTAGAATAGCCTAACTATATAATAAAATAACTAATAATAAAATTGGTCACCAAAAAGTGGAGGAACTAAACAAAGAAAATACTTACCATTTCATCAGTGGCGTTGATAAGCGCTTGAAGCTCGTCATCCATCTTGTTGGCCTTGATATCCTCTACATTCACATTGAATGTATCGTCATTATTAGGTTTATACTGAAAAGAAAAAAATAGGTCTATTTTCTTACCCCCAATTTATTAGCAAGAAGAGCATACAAGAATTGTATAAAAACTCATATTTAAAAAATGTTATTACTATAAATCATTAGATTTCGTGATACATTCCGAAGTCATGAAACCACCTACTGATTTCAATATTACTGCCCACGTCCTGCATTGTAAAAAAGATACTAACACAGCCATGTTTTGTCACTGTCCTAACCTTACCCAGGCAGAAACCCACAAATACCTTGGAATTACAATTGACAAAAATCTAAATTGGAAACCACATATTGCAGCTCTCAGTAAACGGGTTCGTAAATTGCTACACATTTTTAAAAATCTCAGAGATTCTGCTGATAAAAACCTTATTACAAAGATATACCTTGCTCTTGGCCAAACTCTATTGACATATTGTATACCCATATGGGGTGGAGCTGCGGCGACACACCTAATGGAGCTGGAGAGAGCACAAAGGGCTGTTATCAAAGTTATGCTGCGTAGGCCCAGGAAATATCCAACGAATTTACTGTATGAGGAAGCCAATCTCTTAACGGTCAGACAACTATTTATTCAGCACACGGTTCTCCACTACCATAAAACTATTATACCATCGCAATTACCCCTAAACAAAAGAAGAATGCGCACCTACGTGCCCGCTTTTAAATCTGGTTTTGCGCAACGTCAATTGGTCTATAATGGCCCCTTTTTGTACAGACATTTCAATGAGCTGAATCAAATCATTAATATGAACCGTCCAACCCTAAAACTAACATTGAAAAATAGCCTGAAAGCGATTGGTTATCGTGCAACAGAAGATATCCTTAAAATTATTATTTGAAGTGGCGGAAACAGTTTATAATTATTTTACTATTTTATTTATTATTTCTATTTTACTAATACACAGACATGCGTAACACTTATCCTTCCTTCGTGTGCAACATAGCACACAAAATACCCGCTTAGAATTCAACACACACTACAAATCACACCCCCACACACCGTACTACACAACTCACTCACCACCAATTACACAACACACCAAATTAACACCCATTACACCACACAGCCACCACCCATTACACAATACACTACAAAAGAAAATTACATGAACTTTTAAGATATTATTTATATTAAGTTTGAAGCCTATGATGAAATTAAAATTGATAATATTATAATATAGTATACTGTGTATCTTAAAACAAAGACATAATTAAATTGAGTTTGGAAAACAATTCTATGCATAGTAAGTGATCGCGACACGTAAAAGTCAGCAACTCATGTCTTGTACCACACATCCACTTGTACCACACATCCTGTCGTTGAACACAAAACAAGAAACGAAGTATTGCTATTGGCATCGTTTATGATCTACCCTCCTATATTTTTATTGTATACCTAATAAACTAGTGATTTGTACGTATTTAAATTTAAGGTTCTACTTTAGATATAAGACAGCAGTGTATATGGGGTGGAGGGTTGATAACCTGAGATACAGGAACATTCCTAGTTCAGGTATCAGCCCACCATGGTCCCTTTATTTTCGTTTAATATGTATTTAAATGTAAATCCTGTAATTATGGTGAGAAATAAACTTATACTTATACTTATACTTATTCTTTACGAGTATAAGTATTCCTTAAATTTTATATTCATAATTGGAACTACTAATACCAATAGAAACAAATCAACACACATGTCGAATTTGAGTTAAGTATACAAAAAGCTTTTGAAATGCATCTTCTATTGGCCCATGTACGATCAAAATGATCTGACGATTTCAATTGTTCACTGACATTGTTTCATTTTCAATAAACTGACAAGATGCATGCCCATGTGCATGGTACAGGACAATCCAACAAAATTATGAAATTGCATTTATTTAATGTTTTTTTTCAATTTTTTTCTTAAAACTATTATTTCACGAGTTGATACCGTTTTGCGTAAGCTGGTCTGTCAATTTGAACGTTATTTTTAATGCATCCAACAATTGGCGTAAAAAGTCTATATACTTATTTGGTATGGAGACAATCAAAATTTAATATGATCATGATACCTCTCTCCTCTCATTGGCCGTAGGTCGCCTGCCAGTTTTGCCTTCGAAGTACTTGAGATCCGCATAAGTATCCTGGAACTTCTCTTTGTCAATTTTAGCTAACTCTTGCATGAATACCTCGAACCTCGCCAGGTTTAAGTCACCTGCCTCGTTTATATATCCTAAAAGCATAAATAAACATCAAAATCCATAGCATCATTAACCCTGCTACTGACAAAACTACAGTGATAAATAATACAGTAACAATTGTAATTTTTTTTTCACACATCTCACACACGGCCTCCTGATTTCAAACTAGGCAGAGCCCTATGGTAACCAGACTGCTGATACCTTTATATTTCCAAAAACCCACATATTATAGATATAGTACACCCAGACACAGAACAAATGACCGTGCTCATCACACAATATTTGTCCTGGGTGGGAATCGAACCCACGACCTCAGACGTAGCAGTCAGGGTCACTAACCACTAAACCAACAGGCCCATCTAGTACTATGCAGTAAGATCGATTATTCTGATTGGCGCAGACTGAGGTTCTTTTCTATTCCTATTTAATATTACTGGTTATTACTACACTGGGGAAATGTAACGTTTGTGAATTAGAGATTTATTTTTCTGCTCGAGGTATGGTTATTAAAGATCATTATTAAAAAAAAACACAGAACATAAAGAATAATATGACTTACCATCTAAAGTAGGAAGTACAGTCATATAAGTCTTATATAATAGTGGTAGGGCATCATTATTAATATGCATGTTGGGCAAGTTTGGTATAAAATCATTGCCCACTAAAAAGCCCATTAGCACCCAGTCATCAACTACCTTCTCAATATCATACTCGAAAGGTAGATTATCCTTAATAGATATAAACTCTTGTTCTAAATATTCTCTTAACAAATTTAAGTGTAGGAGGTAGAAATTAGTTTCTTCTGGGCAGGTTGCACGTTGTGTTGTTCTACCGAATTTTACCTGCAAATAAACAATGTAATGATTTTATTGCTAACTACCTGACTAGCGCCACTTTGTCTGTCTCTCAAAAGTAATAAATTCTCCCCGTTTTTGCAACATTTTATATTGATGCTGAGCTGCTATTAGTCTTAGCATGATGTTTATATAACCTAAGTCTTCCTCGATAAATGAGCTACCAAACATTAAAATAAATTTTCAAGTCGAAACAATAGTTCCTGAGACTAGCTCATTAAAACAAACAAATAAGTTAGATACTACTTTTAGAATATCGCGTTCCATGAATTTCGTAAGTATAGGAACAGGAACTAAATTCATCATGTAATTGGTACGGCATACCTTTATATATATATAGTATATATTATACTGTTTACATGATCGCTTTAATTCTCATACAAAAATAAATATAAAAGAAATTATTTTACAATTATAGAAAAAAAATCATTAAGTATCTCCACCCGAAAAAAAACTGCAGCGGTTAATACCTTGTCTTCCTGCTAGCAAGTAAAATCTAAGACCAACAGAGTTCCAAGTCTGGTAAAAGATACTTGCACTAAAGTTGGTACAGACCAAAGACAAGACTTTGGCAGAAATTGAGATAAAGCGGAGCCCGTGCAATGTTATAAGTGTAGAGTTACTTAAAACTCACCTCTTCTCTCAATAAAGCAAAGTGTGGCTCATGAGTACACATGCCCAACATGATGAGGTCAGCATCAAGTCCGTACAGACAGTGGCGCGTGTTTGGATCATAGTCGGGTTGTGACCGCGACCAGCGAATATAATCCATTATTTTGTGCTCACCTTCTCCGGGCGTCTATAATAAAACATTTTGCTATTTGTTATTTTGCATATCCTTACTGCTTCAAGTAAGCACTGAAGCCTAAAAAAATCCATAATAGAGGAGGATGAAAATCGAAATGATTTGGCCCTAAACTCTTTCAAAACCTGCCACTGGCATCAGTCTGTTCTAGAAAAACGATAATTACTTCATCCCCAGTAACTTTTCTTATCTTACCTAACTTCTTTTATCTATATCTATATAGACGATGGAATTTCAGTCAGTGTTATTACGAAGGTAAAACAAAGGTTTGATGGGGATGGGAAGAGTATTGGAGTAGTTGGAGGGAAGAGTTGAAGAGTAGTGGAGCCAATCATTTTGTTTTTACTTTTTGGTCACACATGGTGCAGAGACTATACTATACTATTCTTCAGTAATGTAAACAAATCGAGTGGTGCCGAAACGACATTTTTTTTGTGTTTGTTTTTAATTTGTGTATAAAATAAATATCCTATCTCATGGGCTAAGTATACACTTGTAAAAACACTGCCTTAGGGTTACTCTGTATGGGGAGGATGTACCTGGGTGTAAAAAGACGTACAACGGAATGGTTCTGCATGATTTTTCTTTATTTATGTAACGTTTTAACGAATTTTTCTTACGAGTGTTATTGTTTTAATTAAGAATTACTGTAGAATTTTAGGCCCTGGGTTTTTAGTGTGAAAGTATAATAAGAATATAGTAAATATATAAAATAATAATAAAATTAGTCTCCCAAATTACACTAAAAGATTGATTGATAACAATTTGCTTACTTCGTGCCCGGATAGTATAACTTTGACTTTACACCATAATGGGTCAGTAGACATTTTTTGCTTGATGAAGTATTTCAACTGTTCATGCAGACGCGCCATGAACACTGTGCCAGGCGTTATGCAGTTACTGTCGAAACGTTTCTCCGTCGGCAGGATCTCCCCTGGAGAAAATATAATTAACAATTACTAACATCCGATGATACAAAATAAGTCTTTGTATACATATTATATTTATCAAAAGACGAGTGCGTTATTGCTGCTGAGATTTCAGTAATCTCAATCATTCGGTAAATACCACTGAAAGAATTGTTTAGCTCTTGTTTTTATTCGAGGTCATGGCATCACTGCGGTCGTTAACTCAGTCGTTATAACGCGTGCGGGGAGGGGAGTTCCCGAATACGGGATAACAACTAGTGAAAGTGCGTTATCGATATCTCAGTCGTTTTGCGCGCGGGAATTCCCCGCATGTAGAGTAACAATTGTAACAGCAAATTAAATTCATCGGTTGGTGTAATGCAAGTGGGGTACCGGGATTCGGTTTACGAATTGAATAAATCAAACATTGCGCATGCGGGATCCAGTGTATATAAAAACGGTTACCGCATGGGGACCCAATGGCTTACTTAAACTTAAATCACCCGTACCCTGTATTCGGGCAACATCGACTAATTAAAATAGTTTCTTATGGTTGTGGTATTATATAAGAAACAAAAATCATTCACACCTAGACTGCGGGATCTAACGACTAACGAAAATAAGCTATAATATAAGGCTTATTTTCGTTAGTCGTTAGAACAAACGAAAATAAGCCTTTAGAAATAATGAGCAGGAACTGATCAAAGCGTATAACTCCGCTCCTTCCAATAATAATATCCGTCCAATATCCGAAATAAAAAAGTACGAAACTTATTATTTTTATCTATTTTTTATTTTTTAAAAGAACCAAAGTACATAACGTTTCAATCAATATTAAGTCTAAGTGCGTTGTCAACGGCCAAGGAGGAGCCCTAAAAAGTCCGACAGTCTATGTACAGAACATCGATATCGCCTATAACCCGGCAATCTAGTGCGCGACCGTCCCGCGGGGTGACAGACAGTGGCGGAGGCGAGGTAGCGCGTCATTCTAGCACACGGCTACATTATGAAGAGAAGCGTTTCCCTTCCCCGCTACACCACCCGCTATCCGCTGACATCTTGAGTACCTCGTCCCCGCCACCGTCTGTCACCCCGCAGGACGGTCGCGCACGACGTTGATGGACTATAGTACCTACTTGGGTCGTGGAGGTTTGATAGTAGCCACTCCACGTAAAAAATCCAAATTCAGCATTGTAATAATAAACCGAAAGCCGACCTGAACCTAGTTCGGGAAAAGGTGTGGATGATGATGTTTAACTTGAATTAAATTTTAATTGGACTATTGTATATGTTGCAGTATTTTTTCACACCACTGCCCATTAAAGAAAAGTTAATACAGCTTTCTTAGTAACTCCTACCTTTTTCCCTGGCCTCCTCTTCTAACTTTTCTGCTTCTCTTGCAGATCTAAACCTGGAAAGTTACGATTGTTTAAGTCGTGAATGGTTGTCCTAAATTAATATAAATTAAAGTTTAGCAATTTCTCTATATTGATGAAATGTGTTGTAATATTGGTAAAACAAATCAATAAATTTTATTTTGTGCTTGACCGGTGTGTGCCTGTCTAGTTACTAGGTAGTAATCCAGTCAGCTGATAGACATACTACTATATGTCTAAATATATGCATATCATAGATAAACTACAGAAAGCAGAAATAGCTATGCTCATCACACAATTTTGACCTGGATGGGAATTGAACCTACAACCTTTGGCTCAGCTACAGGCTCATCATACATAACTAATATTTGTATCACAAATTATCACATAGTTATGATCAAACACATATAACATGCCTAAATGAACATACACAAAATAAATGAGTATTTATTTTGTGTATGTTCATTTACCTACCTACCCTCAAAAACTGTTTATGCAAGAAAAGTTTCTACAAAGATATAATTTCTAAATAAAATCATAATATCAAATAATATCACAGGTAGATTAGTTCTATCTCTGTGACTTTTATTTTTGTTATAAACTTTAAGACTATTATTTACAAATGCGATGTAAATTTAGAAAAAACAGATTGTGGTTAGGAACACCAAAGGTAAAAGATGACAATGGTCATTCACCAACAAGATGGACTGATCAAGTTGTATCAATACCCAATTTCTACACTGTCATTATGAGACAGACTGGGCAAGGAACTCGTGGAGGCAGATCATCGGCTCTAGATGCAACCCTGATGCTCTTACCCAACCATAAGAGCCCTTTCCCAGAAAAGATAACTAGGCAATAAAAACTTACCTCCTACCCCTTTGCTGATTCATCTTAGCTCTTGGAGCCACACCATCAATAGCCATAAAAAATAATTTTTTAGGCTTTATAATTTGGAACAATATAGTGAGGTAGTGAAATATATCCTGGAATATTTTTTCCTCTGTAATTCGGAAGTGAGGGTTGGAGTCATCAGGATGTGAACAATTATGTATAATACCATTCATATCCAAATACATGTTGTCAAAATCTGGTATCTGAAATATAAAACTAATGAAAACTATTCATACATTTTTTTTTAGTTCATAATATTTTTCGGTTACTGGGGTTCTTGGAGGGGTTGGGGTAGCTCGAATAGCCTATATTCTTGTAAAATATATGCTTTGACATGGATATGCAGAAAATAGTTGATTTAAAAACTAACCTCACCATAACTATATATTTCATTCTATTACCTTTAACACACTTTGGGAAATATTATTTTCTTTTAGAATGCTTTGTGTAGCTTATTTTATTATTAATTTCCAAAATACAGTCTCAAAGTAGAGTGTGGACACAATATTTAAAGATACCACAGGATTAAAAGAATCACCACAGGAATTGTAATAGGATACTTTTAAAAGAAATTGAAATGAAAATAAGTAATTCATGATTGTGTGCAGTTTAAAAAGCATCATCTATTAGATTATGTGTCTCTGTCTTCAGTATAGTACTCCTAAACAGATTGACAGTTCATTTGGTTATTTCTTTGTTTGTAAGATGACTTGATAGACCATTCTTGGCTGTAATCAAGAAAACTGGTTAAGTCGTTCAAACACCAGGTGTTTTCTAATTGTTGAGTAGGGGGTATTTTTACAAATATATTTTATATTTGTTCAGGTCAACAATTCAACCTCTATTGTTATGCAATAGTGCATAATAAAGCTTTTACTTAATAGTTACATAAAATAGATGGATGTTTTCAATTGAGTAATAATTTATTGATTGCACAACATAGAATTTTACAAATAGAACTCTTACAGGAATGGTGCAATGTAATTTATGTAAATAATAGAGATTTTGTCTTTGGTTCAACTGTTCAACATTTAGTTGTATGTGGAACTCTAAACAAACAACTTAAAATGTATAAGTATAGAATGACCAAATTAAAAAACATAGTAGGTACCCACATGAAACGCTAACAGGCACTTGAGTGTATTTAATGGTCATTTTCATTTTGTTTAATTTACACCATGAACTAATGCCCAAAAGAGCAATGATATTGAGTATAGTACGCAGAAATACAAATTACATAGATGGATGGTGGGATAAATTTATTGGACAAATCTTATGCTTGTCATTTTACAGTTTCTAATTAAAACCTGTATTAATTTATAATGTAATGAATACCAAAAATTGAATTTGTAATTAAGTTGAGAAGAAATTAAAAAAAAATGTAAACACATTTTAAAATGAAGGTAAGACATTGGTAAAGAATTTACAAAAATGCAAAAGTATGAAAATACCTGGTACTGCTTCACCAGCTCATTGAGGCAGGGGTACCTTTCGCTGGTATACCTGAAGAACTTCGGTACTCCCATTTTGAATGTGTATTTAGTGAGTTACTTGTGATAATAATGCTTGATAAATGTTTGTTGTTCGCTGACCCTAAACTGAAATAACCTCTTTAAATTTTTTCTTTAGCAACGCACACTGCAGCACAATGGCGTTTCCCGCTGTTTGGTATACTATAGTTTTGGTTTTTTGACCGATTATTCATATATTATGTTGTGAAAATTTAATAAACCTACATCGCGGAACTGAGAATTTTTAGTGTTGGGAAATTATATAGCGAAATAGTAATATTACTAATTACTAAAGTTAAGACAACGAATAGTGAAAATAAAAAGATCGTTTTAAGTTTGCTAATCTAAAAACATTTAAAAGATCGGTTATCAATTTTCATACATTTTATTACAAATTTGTTTTAAATAATCCTGTATTTAGTATGCGCTGTTTCAAAATTAATATAGCAAGTCGTGAAAAGTAATAATTTACTTTTAAAAGTTTGATTTATGTTTAACGATCCGAGGTTAACGCATCTACGACATTTTTTTGTAAAATATTTAATAAATAGTTCTTGATACCGTATTCTAAATTATTTACCACTTCAGCAACTGTGTCTAGAAGTATTATATTATTATTGTATTGAACAATATCTAGAAGTATTAGTGAAAAGAAATGAACAGTTACTTAAATTTTATTACCATCACATAACTTGAGCAGGGTTTTTACAACTCTAACGTTTAATACTAATAAATAAAAACGTAACTTAGCCAATAGTTATTTTTACAAGCTTTGTATTAGTTAGAGGTATGCACCTGAACAAAGTTTTCAGGGCTGATACCTGCTGTTTCCGGTTTATAGGCAGAATAAACAGGCGAGCTCTATAGTGGTCACCTATGAATATGACGTATCATCTCACCTTTGTAAGATCCAAAATTTATGATATAATTATTATTATATCCTCCTGAAAAAGTGATTATTGTGTTATTGGAAATTATTTTTCAAAACAAATAATATTTATTAAAAAAAAAATTGACCCCTAAATCATATTCTCAAAATGACATAAGTCGCTTGGAGGCCGACCCGCTGCCAGCATGATATTAATTTAATTTTTCCAATTTGCATAGGTCGTAGGTATAAGTTTCTTATTATTGTGTTTATTTTAAGAATAATACTAATTATGATGTAATTTGGTAAGCACCAGCAGCGGAAGTGCGGTTAAGGTCAACCACGTTGGGGGTACAGGCGGACACAGCCCTTTTCACAATCTGACGCCATTTATCCCTGTTGGCTGACTGTTTGATAGAATTAAACATGCGTCTTCTTATTGCGGATTTCACCTTGCCAGTCCAGAGCAAATATCTCCTCGCGCAGAATCTCGTTCCCTCCACCGTCCGTACTGCAGTATGAGTGACTGTACTGTGGTTGACAGACATTGTATAATGAGTATGGTCATACTCCAGAAGCTTGGCGTCATATGTAGGTATGTGCGGAATTCCGTCCACTCCAGTAGCAAATCTCTAGAGCATCTATCTTCTTCTTTTCAAACTAGCGCACTATCCAGCTCTCTGCGGCGTATAGAAACACAGTGAATATGAGAGTTAGTAAGAGCTCCCAAATTTTCCTTAACTTCTCCATCGCAGTTCTCATTATGGCCATAACTCTAAGCCGAAGCTCCAAGCATATCTCGAAAAAGTTATGCAATACTATTTATTTAGTGTTTTTTTCATAGAAGTCAGTGTATCCACAATGATTCTATTTCGCTAAAGTATCCATTTTTTGGTCGATATTTACGATACTTTCGAAACTTCGAAATTTCATGCATCACTATCCATATTCTAGAACGTAAAGCACATTTTTAAAGATTTTTACACAGTTACATAAACCATGGCAATGGTAACACTGCCTCTATATTCCAGGACGCTTGGATTCTGGTAACATTGTTATTTGTCATGCATGGCGTTGCGTTGTAAACAAATTGAAATTATTTGTATTTTAATACACTAAATTGTCAATAATTATCATTTATGTGCTGTGAACAGTGCCTTCTGTGAAAGGATTATCACAAATCTTTATGCATAGAAAAATATAATATTATCTTTCCTGTAGATTTCAGCACCGTTATAACCTTTTTTGTTATTGGATAATCCCTATGTTGAAACATGGAAAGCGACGAAATTGGTAACGATCTGAGGTTGGATAACGCTTACATTGTAGACGATGAAAATAACATACGCTGTGAATATGTCGTAAATTCAGATGATGTTTTGGGTACGTGTAGCACTATTTACGTCATAATATGTTGTTCGTGAACATTCTTATGTAGTTAATTGATTTGGTTATAAATAATTACATAATATCTCTTTCTTTTAAGTGTTACATATTTCTTCTTGCTTTTCTCTATTTGAGTGAGTGACTTGGTGAAAAGAGACGGCAGAGTATACTTAACAGGAAACAGAGAAAGTGCGCGCTATTTGAATTCACGAATGAATTTTGTTTATATACGTAGAAAATACTGTAATGTCTTACTAAATACAAATTAAATTTTATCCCTAAAAATACCAACATTCCAACAATAAATTTGGGGGATAAAAAATCCTTTATAGATGTTTCTCCCTAAATTTGGGGAGAAAACCCTGGAGTTGGCATCGCTGGTCAGATGTATTTTTTTTTATTGTATAAATGGGTAAACGAGCAGAGGGACTAACTATCTGATGGTAAGTAACTACTGTCCACACCATAACCTGTAAAAGCAATGAAATAATTGCACAACACAGGTTTTCTGCGGCCCATTTGTGCTCTCCCATGGTAAAGATACAACCACTGTCAAGCTCGGATGATTTTTAATTTATGTACCATTTGCATTATCTCACACACTTATCACAATATCATTAAAGGCTGTTGATGATTATGATGATGATCTTCATTGCTGTTTCTTTTAACATAACTTTGTCTTAGTATTTATGCAAATCCTGTGTTGAGGTCTTGGGTTTGATTCCTGGGTCGGATCAAATGTTCATATGATCTGCAAATATTTGTTTCAGAGTTTAGGTATTTTCTATGCAAAATGTGTATGTAATTACAAAAAAAAAATTATATAAGTATTTTATAAGTCAATCTAGCTTTTATAGTATGAGCTCTGCTTAGTTTGAAACTAGATGTGTCAATGTCCTAAATATTTATTTGTAAGCCCAGTATAGTTTTTCTCATCCTAGTTCTTTATACAATCCTATCTCACTGGCTATAGTAACACTAATACTATTGTTTCAGACGAAGAGAATAATTCAGATTCAGGTGGAAAACTTGCACCACTAAGAGAACAAGACAGATTTCTACCTATAGCGAATATAGCAAAAATTATGAAGAGAGCCATTCCGGATAATGGAAAGGTACAAAAATATCTTAACCACACAAATGCTATATAAATTTGTAAAATGTGTCTATTTTAAAATTGATAGTTTTTTGTCAGCATAAACTGTGCCTGTTGGTATCATTTCATTACCATATTTAGGGAAATTGAAAAAAAAAATTACTCATGGATTCTTTTTCATTTTGGCTACACATTATAAATGCCTTAACTCTAGGAGAGACTCAAAATAGGACTCGAGAAAGGAACAAGACTCAAAGAGAAATAACTCAGTATGAATCATCATTTATTAGTTAAAGAAATTTTTAGCCTAAAATTCATATGCTTCTTACTAGCTGTACCATGTCACGTATTGCTGTAGCACATTGTGGTTGAAAAAAATAAAATAAAAACCATCTTTGAAGTGTGTTGTAAATAGTGACAAAATTTGAGCTAAATCAGTGCAGAACTTTTGAGTTTTTGAAACATAATAATAGATTTTTCCATGCTCACACAGTTATTTGCACGACACCTATACCTAAAAACCAGTTTAAATATTTTTTGTGTTTCTGTATGTTTGTTCCGGGTAATCTGCAAAATGGGAGGACTGATTTTGATAATATTTTACTACCAGGTAACTGTCTATATGAGATGTCTGTCAAGTTGAATCACTACAAATTACTTACTTGTATATTTCTCATATTGCAGATAGCTAAAGATGCAAGAGAATGTGTGCAAGAATGTATATCAGAATTTATATCATTTGTCACTAGTGAAGCAAGTGACAGGTGCCAGGTGGAAAAGAGAAAAACAATCAATGGTGAAGATGTATTATTTGCTATGAACGTGTTAGGCTTTGACAACTATGTGGAACCTTTGAGACTGTACCTTAAAAAGTACAGAGAAATTGTTCTATCGCCAGTAAGTCTCTTTACATTATAATAAACAAATTGTTTTTATAACCTTTTAGTCACCATTATGTAGGTACAATGCTTTCTTACATACTTGATTACTCTGTAATGGCAAATGGTAAATAGTATGATCTCAGAAATATAACCGTATATGACGATGGTAGAACCAGAAAAGTAGGGAAACGTTTTTGTACTTGTTGTGAAAAAAGAAATGCCTTATTATTATTAAATATTTATTAAAATGATGCCTTACATGTTGAATTGAACCTATAACAATGTTTCCTTCCATATTTTTAATGAATTTAATGAATAGTAACACATATTATTGTTTTACACAAAAATAATCACTCAGATCACCAAAATGATCATGGCAATGGTAGTTAGAAAGCCATTCATTCTACAGTAAGAGATATACAGTTTTCCAGGAAGACAGTTCTATTAGCACTTGGATCACTGTGGTATTAATGAATTGTGTTTCTTTCGTGCCTTTATGACAAAAACGTTAATTTGAAAGAAAATACACTTGGATCAGTCTGATTCTACCCTCGTCATATTATATGTGCTAAAAAACTTTTTGGTTTATGTAGTAAGGTTGCCAAAGCTCATACCTCAATTCGCCCTGATTCTAGGGAGGATTTAAAAGGTGGCAACGAATATGTGAGTCCTGAGTTGCATGTGTTTACGAGCGGGGGTAGTAACTTAACATCAGGTGACCCGTCAGCTTGTTTGCCCTATCCATACTAGTACTAATAATATAAATGTGAAAGTGTGTTTGTCTGTTGGGTACCGCTGAACACATGATTGATTGATGATTAAATTTGCTACAGAGATAGTTCGAATCCCGTGAAAGAACATAGGATATATAGGTTTTTATTCCAGAAATCTTACTTTAAATGGGTGAAAAGGAGGGTGGAAGCCGCAGGAAAAAACTAGTATGCTATAAATCAAAAAAGATAATAATAATAATGTGTTCGGACATCTGACACACAACACCAACTGGTTTCCTTAATCACTTATTTAATAACAATGTGTACAGTAAAGAATAAATGAAATGAAAATAAAGCGAGAGTTTGTACTATGAAAGCTAGTTTGACTGATAAAATACTTATATACTTTTTGATAGATTTAGCATATTAAGTTCTATTTTAAGCAGTCCTCTGCCAAGAGAGAAAGAAAAGATTTTGGTACACAACTTATTTCCTCTTGCTTTTTTGAAATCTATGGCTCGTGTACGCCCAATAGAGCGCGCTACCTGGTTTGATGAACCAATGAGCACGTGCAGTGCTATATTTGGCCTTCAGATAATAATTAACAAGTCAGAAAAGCGACTGCTAGTAATGTGGACTTTACATGGTAGGGTATACACATTTTCCTTTCTCATAAATTGTTTAATTCCCCCCTTGTATTATTTTACAGGTGACAATGAATAAGTTGAACAAAACTATAGTTCTTTATGGAGGTAAGAAATCCCATATGATAATTAAAATAATAAATGACTTGCTCCCAGAGAGTTGTAGAAAATATGCAGGAACAACAGTATAAGTAAAAACACCTCTTGTTACTCTTACTGTCAATCATTAATGATTTTTATGTTTAGAGTACTTTCTTAGCCAATGTTTTGTTTATTTTTGAATGCATCATCTCATCATTTGCTACATCTGGATGTGAAATTTGAACAAATTTGGTTTATCTATCACTACACTATAAGACTCAAACTATAACACTACACACACACTATAATATTCAAAAACATACACCTCTTTGTTTTGCAGAAGACGGCTCATCATGTGTTCCAACTGAAAATGACACAGAAACACAGACTGAATCCGCAGTGCTTTACGCATACCCCAAAGTTATTGAGGATATAACATTTGCGTGAACAAACGTCTCGACAGTAATGGTTTAGGGCACGTCCGCACAGATCACAGCTTTTTTGCGTGTTACTTTTTCGACAGTGCGGATAGTCCCCATGTGTGCTAAAAAAACCGACGGTGAAATATCACTGTGCGGACGGGCCCTTAATGATTAATTATATTTTACCTCTATACCAATCAACTTTTTTTGAATAACATTTACTATCGCATCTTCATTTCTACTCATATCGAAAGTGATTAAAAAAAATACGAATCATTAACGCTAAGTAGATTCTCCGACTACCTGTACTTACATTATTTCCAGAGTGGGTCGTAGTTTCTGGACTACTCATCATCAAAAATGAAATTTAAATTAAGGTATGGTGAATCGCATGTGAAGAAAACGGCTATTATGACGATGAAAACCCAAAGTTTTTTATCATAACAGACCCTATAAATTATATTTTTATATGATAAAACTATGATACGTAAGAGCGTGAGCAACATCGATCTTGAGCACTGGCTAAATAAAAACAATTAACCAACAAAATAGAAAAGAAAAAGAAAAAAAGAGTCTGCAGGAATCAAAACTCTAAAGTACAAATCAATCCTTAGGCGGTAAATTGGTGACTGTAGATTGGCAGCAGTGTATACAACTGACATGCCTTGCAACTTCGGATCCCCACCCAGTAAAAATGTTTGTATGCATGAATATGTATTAGTCATCCGTCCGGGTGTAATCCGTGTTCTAGAATCCATAATGCATGAACTATTCCATCGAATCCATTATTTCGATTATAATAGCGAGGTTATAGTTGGGATTATTATTCCTACAAATAATTGCTAATTGTTGGAGTAGTGAGTCTGGGTATGCTTTGCGTCAATAATTCTTTATTTGTAAATGAAACAATGACTTAACGCAGTTGTCTTTAAAAACAAAATGAGTTGATTGCTAAATAAGATAAACACAGTGTGATAAATCATAGATAAATGTAATAATTTGTAATTTGTGTAAATCACGCTAGATTTCATTTAATTATGTTTCTTATTTTATTGATAAAGGTTAGATGTAAGTATTGTTGCTAGAAATACAGTTAACTTCGATAATATAATGTAGTTTTTATTTGACACCTTAGAAGGTTCGAAGAATCGTGACTGATGAAAATTCACGACTCTTCTAACCAAAAAAAGATGGCTATGACTGCGGGGTCCGACTACTTTGTCTGAATATTCGAACCAACAGGAATAAAAGTACGTGTCGTCCGATCGGTCGGACCACGCGGTCTCAGAGAAAGTAACACAAGTAGTATAGTGGTAGTGCAATTAGTATAGTCGTGTTTTTACATCGAATCAACAGAAAAAAGGTCTGCGTCGTCCGATTAGTCGAACCATCAGCAAAAAAATAGTCCGTCTCGTTTGATCATTCGAGTCAACAGGAAAAAGTCTGCGTCGTCCGGTCAATCGAAATAACTTATAGTAACGATAAATTACATGAGATAAAGAACAAAAGGCTATAAATATAAAACTATTAAATGCCATCTCTTCCAAAGACAACCTTAGATTACAATAAAATAATTGGATTCATTATAAATATTCAAATTACAATAATACTCGATATCAGTGCTTATACCTGACAATATACCAACATGCAGAAATGATATAGGACGACAGCCTGATAGGGTATTAGTAAAGAATGCTTATACTGACTTTGAAAAAAAGTAACTTGTTGCACCTTTTAAGGAAATTAGTATCACTATACATTTTTAATGAGTATAGTCCGTTGTGATCGCATAAAAAACCCATTCAATATATGAAACAAATTTAGATTATACATATTTAAAATGTTTAATCATTCAACTTCATCATTTATTTCAAACCATAATTCATATTTGGAATATAAACGGACGGATCTGCTACATCATAATTATTTTTAATAAAAATAATATCTATTATTCTCTAAACTTATCAGTAATGTAACTGGGCAAAGGTATTAAATACAAAAATTTATTGAACACCATGATTCCTAACGAAAAAGCAAACGAGACGCCTAAATTGAAGTCGGGCTGGAAGTCTCCCGATAAGTCAATATCTCCATTGAAGTTTTTAGACGAAAATCTTTCTGTCAAAAAAGCTTTCCCGCTTGTATATCGACAGTTGGCGTTCGAATTAGTATTCAAATTGGACGAAGTTTGTATGAGGCTTGATGCTGTCGAAGTGCAGTTTTCATTATCACTGTATGGAAGATTGTTGAAATAAGGCTGCTTAAAAATGTTTCTGTGAAGGAATATTGAAGCATATCGAGTGTGTGTGACGTAAGTGATGTAGTACAGCCATTCTTCGAAGCCCTTGTAGGATCTGAAACATTGTTTTTTATTTATTTAAATATTGGCCGTATTTTGAGTACTTTCCTCCCCTAGTTATAGATAAAAACTTTAATTATTTCCTTAAAATTTTTGAAACTTACCTTAAAACACCACTAGCAAGCATCACGTAAATACAGGTTAGGTATATATTAACGACGGCAGCGATGAGGCCATTCTTCACAAACATCATAATGCCAATAGCCTGCTGCTCCGCATATATGTAGCATGACCACAGTACCAGTGCAAAGTACAAGAAGTCCAAGTTTTCCGATATATTAGACAGGATCCTAAAAAGTTAAAAAGAGATATTTAAATTCTTGTCACATTTGATCAATGTTGCCAGCAACAATATTCGAAGTAAGTATGTAAATGTATTTACATATTAAGGTACACCAATTTAGTATTTAACGCATTTTCAGCGACGCAAATGAGATAGGTACATAAATTAAAATGAGAAATATGTCCCCATCGATTTTTTAAACGCAAATAGTTATATTTTTATTATTTATAATTTTGTACTATATAAATACATATTTTAAACGTCTCTTCATCAACAGCCTTTATTAGTCCTCTGCTAGACGTAGGCCTCTCCTTACCAAGGAGGTTTGTAACACTATTCTAAAGTAGCAGTTATTTACTGTTAAAGGATAATTATTTAATGATATTGACTGCTGAAGTCAAAGAAATCGTGTGGATTTTATAAATACGGCATAAATAGTATTTGGAAGTATAATTGTAATTAAAAAGTAAGTCTTACGGGTAAATAATAGCAGCAGAAGCACACGCGCTTAGAAAAGAGAAAGGCAAAGAGACTAAATTCCAGGACAAAAGTAAACTTGCGCCGCTGTACAGTCCCTCTTGTGATTCTTGGTAGTAGCGAGTACGATATGGACTATCTGGAACAAGCATATACTCTTGATGATAATTATACAATAACAATCAACTGTTCTCCGCAGATTCAACAGCTTTCATAGTCACTGCTCCACTTTTAAGGGTCGTAGTTTCTATCCCTATTTATATAAAACTAGAATTGAAAAATAATTCTAATGTCTTACCAAGCGCAGTCCGAGAGGGGGTTTTAATAGGTCATGGTCCTGGTGGACTGATTAAACAGAAGCTACTAAAGAATGTTCACTGAGGTTACGTCTTTGGCTAAACGCACATAAATGTATTGTCGTCGATAGTTCCCAGAGATAGCCTCGTGGCCGAAATTTGACCATAACTCAATTAAATTAAAAAAAAAATTGGTGAAAAATAGTAACAAAGAATTCTCACGTATCCATTTAATCAAACGTGATTGTACTTACAGAGACATATTGTGTTCATAATGCTGATGAAATAAGTCCCTACCATCGCGTTAAATATCAAGCCGCTTTTAGTGATAAAGGCTCTTTGGTAGTCCTGAAAATATATTATAAATTTATGGCAGTGGCTCCTATATAAACGTCGAGAAGGGTTGTAAGTTTGTAGCATACCATACCTGTGCTTCGTTATAGAATACCCACAATATGAAAAAATATATCGGTAAAGAAAATAGCCTCATGAACATTTGTTTTATTCCATTCTTCTTTAGGTTGAATATTGAAGCTAGGAGTCTCCTAAAGAAATAGAAAAAATGTTTTAGTGTTTCATTGTAGTAAAGCTTTCCTATTTGATGTCTAGTGAATTAAGAAATAAGCAAGTAAAAAGAAAAAAAAGATAATCGAAGTGACTGTGTTAATGTTTGGTAAGGTTGGTTGGGCCGTTCCCGGATCCCTCCTATTACAAGCGCAGAGTGGCACACCGTGTGGTTTTAGTCGGTCCGAGTCCGACACACCACCCCGCCGCAAACCCCGGTGGGGTGACGGTCCGAGGGGATTTCCACACGTTAAAAAAAAAAAAAAAAAAGGAGGACGACTCATTCGCTTGCTTATTGCGTTCAGGTTAGAAAGATTTGGAGATACAGAATATCATTCCGATATTCTAATTTTCTAACTACAATTCTAATTTTATAACTCCAAGGTAATTCATAAGCCCATATCACAACTCTGCTGCCGTAAAGATGCTCAAGGGGCGACACATTCGATAAGTTGACCAAGATGACAATTTTTTTAGTCCTATGTTAAAAATCAGTCTAAAAGAAAAGAAAAACAACCCGTGTGCAGAGATTTAATAATGTTTTAATGTATTCTACTAAATGTGGATTTTTGAACACAAAAGTTATATTGTATCAATCATAAATCGAGGCTCCCCATCTTTACACTGAACTCGATGTTTAATTAAAAATATCTAAATCCCGACTTACAAGTACAACATCCAAATAACATGTATTCCTCCTGGTCTGCCATAGTTCAGCTGTATCTTGTTAGGGTTAACGATACGGTTGTTCTCGTGCAGATTGCCTTGCATGATGCCCTGGCCTTCTAGTTTAAATTTCTCCACTAAAGCAGCTATCTGATGGTTAGACTCAATAAACCTCTCACGTGATCTTCGGTCTACTGTTGATAGGCATACTGAGGGAAGAATGAATTGTTAGTTAACTTATCTTGTTAATTTGAGACGGCCAAATCATACATTTAATTCTCTTATTTATTTGTCTTGTAGTCTCCTGATCTATAATCATCCTGGAGATAAGATTTGAAGTCGGCAAAATATTCAACTTTTTTAATCTTAATCTACTTTATAACAAAACTAGGTTTATCAGAGTCTTTCATCAACTTACAATAATACATGAGTGGGTTCTCGAGCTGTGGGCAGGGGAAGCCGATACTGCCGAAGTAATCCAGAAGATTCCTAGTGGGGCCGGCGTATACCACATCGCCGAGACATAGGTACACCACTCGGTCCAAGAACGGGAACACATCTGAAATGTTTGAAGAATTAATTTGTTCATTATTATTGTATTATAGCCTATGAAACCTTTCCATTCTTCAGGAGACCGCCAGTAAGCGGTAGATACTGGTCCGCACTAAACTCTTAATATGTAGCAACGCCGCATGCGGTCGCCGTCGACGCTTGAGTTGATGTATTGTAAAAATAAACTAGCACTGTTAGTGCATTATTGTATTTCTTCTAGTGAGAATTGTCAGTTTACTTGTATTAAGGCTGACGTATTGTGAGTAATACGTCCCTTTTTCAGTAAATATCCATAAACCAAGAAATACTACTCCATTACGTATTTCCATTTACGGTGGTAGTTTGGTATTGATTTTCGATAAATTCATTTGTTATTAATTTAATCAATACAAATCCATTAAAAGTACATTGACCCATTAACAAAATTATGAAACATGCAAGTGAAAACGTTGACACATTAGTACAGAAGCAGTTGTGTTAACATTTTTAAACAAAGGCTTCAATATTTATTTAAAGTAAGCCACGGTATCCACTGAACTGGTTTGTTCACATGTAGGTACGTACTATGATTAGCATGATAAAAGAGCTGAATATGTAGGTTAAATGCCGATACAACTGTGATCACAAAGTGAGTTGATTTTTTGTATGATTTTACGAAAGTTGGAAGTTGTATTAACATTATGAAACTATACACATATACTGGTTGCTTCCGGGCTTTTTATGGGAGTAGTTTTAATGCCAATTCCAAGCCACAACGCATATCACTTCACCACATATGATATGCGTTGTGGCTTGTATCATGATAAATATATATTTGTACGATTAAAACAGGCTGTTGGTATTGTGATAATGACTGCACATGGGCATGGGTTCGATTTCGACCGTTACCCGCGGTTTATTAATTCATTGTTCATCCTACGGGAACAATACATTTTACGAGATAAAAAGTGTTGTGTGAGTAAGTGTTCTATGTGTTAATCCAGAGTGTCAGTTACCTCCATACCAAATTTTATCAAAATTGGTTCAGCCATTTGAGCGTAAAGAAGTAATGAACATACAAACACACACACTCGCAAAATTCCGAATTTATAATATTAGTGTGATAATTTCATCATTTTAGTAGAATATAAATGTCTCATACCTGATCTGGGTTTCTCCATAGTTAGTATGATTGCTGTTCCATACTTCTTAGCTGCGTTAGACAGTATTGATATCACCAGATATGTGTTGAGAGGGTCCAGATCCCATGTCGGTTCGTCTAACAGTAGAATAACTGAAAACAAACAGTCAGATTACAGTACAGCTTGTGTATTATGATAGGTGTTATGTACAAGATGGACGCAGAAGGAAACACTGCATGTTATGTAGATAATTTTATTCTGATATCATAATTTAACACGTTATATCCGGGTTGAGCAAATCAGTTATACAAAGAGTTTTTTGCGAAAAAAATTTAACTTCTTCCATTTGTTGCTTGGTTGAAGTTTTACATCATTCATTATCGAAACGTGTTCGATATGAATGTAATAGAAATATTGAATATTTTCATCATCGGGCGTCGTATAAAAAAATACGTGACGAGATTTTAACTCGTGGCTAAATCGTAACCAAGTAGGTTATCACATAGCAAAGTAAAGCAATCCTAGCCAGGTCAGTCTATGGATGGGTGACCATCCTTAACACATTGAGAGCCCTCCGTGTCTCGAAGAGAGAGTTATGTTATGTTATGGTAATAGCTAACTGATGTCCTTAGTCTAATGGTGTCTCCAAATGCAGGATGAACTGAGCTGATGAGCTACATCAGTCTGTCTGGTTACCCCCCCCCAGCCTTGCCCCAAATTTATTTTTTCCCTTATTACGAGAAGTCTACTATTTATTTTTATTTGGTAATGATGGGGTAAGTTGCAGTTGTACTTACTAGGATCCCGGATCAGTTGAACACCTATGATTAATCTTCTGTACTCGCTCTTTGTGAGATTTGTGACGCATTTGTGAGCAACCTGTAGATTTAAATCACAGTCACAACGGAAAAATAATGTTACAGTAATAGAGATAATAGTATATTTACTATCTGTTTTGCTTTAAGTTAGGAGAAACTGAGAAAAAGGCATAATAATAAACTCTAACTGTTGTAACTAGTTGCAATCTTTTAAAAAATAATAGAAATTCAAGTTTATAAATATACCACACAATACCTAGTTACTTACAATGCTCAGTCAATACAAAGTTATGGCAAAAAAGTATAAGACGCCTGGGAATCAGTTAGCTTTATTTAACATATTTTTCTGTTGATTTCATTTAATTAAAGGTTACTGATCTGTTCGTGAGAATCACCATTGTTTCGACAAAACATGGTAAATACTGAAATCTTGTAAAAGTAACATGACCGGTAACAGAAATACTATTTTATTAATAATAAAATTAAAAAAAAAAGTCAAAAACAAACGACCAAGAACTATTGTGTTAAATTGAAATATTAAGGGTAATAAAAATAGATAAACTAACTTACGTTCGACAGTGCTAGATCAGCCATAACTTGCTTCACCTTTGACGATTTCAAATATCCTGAAATCTGAAAAGCATAATAAGCTACATAGACCAGGGTCGATAATTTTTAACACCAAAAAAAATAATAGTAGGATGAAACCCGTTAAAAAAGGACGAGAATATAACAAAAATGAAAGGAAAAATAATTTACGGGCGATCTGAGGTCGGGAAGTGGAAGGGGGGGGGGGGTTGTTAAGGGTAAAAAACGGTGTATCTCGATTTCCGGCAAAACTACAAGTCCTATGGAAAAAATAAAATGAAAAAGTTGTAGGTAATAAAGAGACCTACAACTTTTGTAATTACACTTTTTTCACATAACCTCAAAATGTATGTGAAAAATTCAAATAATCAAGTTTTTGGTTTTTTTATTTTTATCTTACGAAATTTGGTGGAAACTTACCTTTTTATGTCCTAAAGACACTGTAATTTTTTTGATTTGAAATATTTATTTTTTCACCTTATTTTGATTTAATATCGAAAAAACACCCTAATTTTCCATCGAAAATTATCGCGTCAAAATATCAGTTTTTGAAAAAAGTCGGGGTTTTTTGTTCGTTGAAATCTCTTCTTTCTGATAATGTATAAAAATATATACATTACTATGGTAAATGTTCTCAGAAAATGCAAAGAAAAGAAAAAAACTCGAATCCGATTTCTTGTTTAATTAGTACAATTTAGTAAAATTTACACTTTAATTACTTGAAAAACGTAAGATTCTATGTTACATTAATAAACAAAAAAATACAAATAGAAATATACTACTATAATTAACAACCAAATAAGTTATTATTTAATAAGTAATCTACAATAATTTTGAGAAAGTTATAGAATATTCTTTAAATTATGTGCATAGATGCCTATTTATTGCTATTTTAAGGTAACTTATATACCTGTGATAATTTTGTTTGATAATTTTAACCCATCAATAGGTATTTCATAGAGAAGTGGGGAAGGGGCTAGGCGGGTTTAGGTCGTTCTACCTGTTATTTCGTAGCAGCTGTAAAAGCCGTTAGCCAGTATTCGAGATACAGAGTAGTAAACAACATTGTTCATAAATTTTCCTTCCACTTCCTGACCTCAGATCGCCCGTAAATTATTTTTCCTTTCATTTTTATTATATTCTCGTCCTTTTTTAATTTTTTCACTTTTTACCATTTTCAAAATTATCGACCCTGGTCTAACAAGCTACACAAGATACTAAAATAGTTTAAATAATCTATTTTTCAAAACAAGTAGATTGGCATGATTATTCTTGTCACAATTATGTTGAATAAAACAGATCCCGCAATAATGTGCATAATATGTGACTGTTTGTAGCTTATATTATGTCGCAGTGTAAAGCGTGGATCAGTGAGGATTAATTATCATTAATGGCGGTTATTGTAGAACTTAATATAGATTTTGTATGTGTGCAATGTAATATGTCAATAACCTTCGATAATGAATAACCCTACATTTATTTTGTATTTCTTATCCGGCGTATTATTTTCTTTGCTGTATTACACTGTCTACATGATTTTTTTAGATATATACATACATTTAGAGTTATAGCTTATCTGAATATCAATAAGCTCATGCAGCAGAAGCTCTGAAGTATCAGACTCATCCAACTGAACTAGGCGAGTTCACTATTTATTGACGTACCTTTGTAAGTGAGAGTCCCAACGTTTGCTGTACACTGAGTCCAGGTAGCAGTCTTGTACTATGTCGCACTAGCGCACAGGTGCTGTTGAAGTGATCTGATTCCAGGGGGATTCCCTCGAGCAGAATGTGTCCTTTGGAAGGTACGCGGTTAGCGATGACATCGAGGAGAGCCCGTTTGCCACTACCTAATGAAGCAAGATAATATATTCAGTTTACCTATAATAGTGTCAAAACAAGAGACTTTACCCAAAAAATAGTTGGAGTCGTTGAAGCAGTTGCGTTTTTTAAGGTGGCATGGCATGTGTATAAGTTGATGAATACTCTCATCATCATCATCAACATCATCAACAGCCTTTAATAGTCCACTGGTAGACATAGATCTCTCCTTAGAATGGAGGACTTGGCTTACTATATCACGCTTGCCAGACGAGTTGGTATAGGATTTGATTCAAGTTTTCCTTCTTCTTGCAGTGCTGTTGTCCTGCGTACACATCCGCGGGATAAATGGTGACACTCCACCACACCACACAGGCAAGTTTTCTCATCAATTTCTACAAATAACGTCATCACAAATGCGATCATCTTTGAATACATACATACCCGTAAGAGTAAATGTAAAAGAGTAAATGTAAATTGCCTAAAGTAATTATTAAAATGATAGAGCAACTGGTACTTCCCTATTCACACTTTATAAACCGAAAATCAAATAGTTACTTCTGCTTGCATACCTTTAGATCCCAATATAGCAGTAACTTCTCCACTGTGTGTGGTAAAAGAAACATCTTTTAGAATAACTCCAGTCTTCACACCCCCTGTTAGACGTTGGAAAAAACTCCCTGGCTCCACCTGGTAGGAAAAGATGACCATTTAACATAATAATATGTATACATACCTCAATGGACAATTTCTTACGGTTGTTGGGCACAGGAATTATAACACCAATTAAGGAAAGTTTAGGTGATTATAATGTTTAGGTTTTCAATGTTCGATTGAGCAAAGAAATTTACTTGAAACCCTTCGGAAGTGTGCTAAATATCTGCGAGTGATAACACGCTTTAGAGAAATGACAGCCTTTCTGAATTAGTTATCTGTAACTGAATGAATTTCAGGAATAAGAGAAATGGTCCAGAAGTTATATTGCCGTATTTAGAAATTTTAATTTTATTTTCTCTTTAGAAACGGTTTTTATTTACGTTATTTTCATTTCCTGAGTAGTTTAATCATTAATTCAGCGTAATAGAGTTCAGTCAACTTCCAGTCAGACTTACTAAGCGTAACAAATGTGTTCATAATAAAAAGTATCCTCAATTTAGTTTACATTTATTAAATAAATATATATAATAAAATGTAACCATTGTAATATAATATAAATTAAGAATATACATAATATAAGCAGTGGTAGTGTAATAGTTAACTAATGTTTTTTTTTGATCTAAAAAACGAATTCGTGCATGTAAAAATAAATACTTCAACTCGAATTTCATATCACATCAACCGCCTTTAATAGTCCACATATAGGCCTTTCCTTAGAGGTTTTGGCCACGCTGGCCAGACGGGTTGGTATAGGGTTTGTGTCAATTTTTCTTTCGCTTTGCAGTGCTGTTGTCAGGTTACGACATCACTCCGTATTCTTAATCCGTCACCACACGGAATCGACCACCGGACCTACTCGAATTTAATACATTTAAATGCATTCTAGGTTGTGATTGGTTGAACAATATAGCGAGTCAGCCAAGTTCAAAGAAAAAGGATCTGGCGACGCAGTAGCCGTTTGTAATATTTCACCAATCATTTCTACCATTTCATGGGCAGTCTTTTATAAGTCATTCTTGAATTTTTGACGATAGTTTACTGCTTGAGTTTAAACTTGCAAGCTCAAACCAAAGTATACAATCCGGTGGCTTTTCGGATTAGATCAATGTATGTATGATAATAGATGTCACTACATCAAATGCTTTCAATTCTTAATATTAATTGTTTCTAACAAGTCAAACAAATTAATATTTTGTCTGTATAATCTGTCCTTTTTATACTCTCTCATAATCACCATCTTAGAGTATTGAGATAGAGTCGTATGTCGGTTTAAAATACGGTTAAAACATCCAGAACTGCATATAATTAGGTGGTTCTACAAATTTTACAACTTATTTCTATAAGATGAAAAGTAAAGTCAGTTGAAGGAATGTCAATGTTCCGGATGAAAAGCTTTACCAATCCTATTTTAATTAATATAATAATAAAATGTATTAACACAATTACAGGAAATTAAAGTAAAAAGGAAATCGTGGTGATTTTTAATTATTTCTTAAACTATTAGCGTTATTTTGAAATTCGGTAAATTTTTATCCAAAAACTTGAAAGTATGTGAAGGTTAAGTTATGCATCGTTGCAGCAGTGGGTTAAGGGGCAACTGCCTTTGCGAGTATTGCAGGTTCAATTCCTACTTTCCCCATACTTAAAATGAATGTTTTAGCATAGGCAGGGAAAAAGTCTTTAGGAATAATCTGGAAATCTGGGTCCTGTGTACAAAATTCCGTAGTGTTAACAAAGAATCGTTTGAGTTTTGCTATGTAGATTATATTTGTCTGTCCGTTCGTCTGCAGCTAAGCTTGCAACTACTCGTATTGATATAGTGGTGTCATTGAAACTGGAAAAAAGTAATGATTCATGGTAAATGCTACCATATAAAAGACTTCAACGAACTCTCTTTAAAAATAATGTAATTAATATATTGTAATAAGTATATTATATATATATATATATAAATATATTATATGTAATAAGTATATTATGTATACTAAATGTAACCAATCATATAAGTTAAAGGAAATAAATAAGTTAAGTTATTATAATAGAAGAAATAAAATAAAGTAGGTAGAATTAAAATAACAGCTTAAAATGCACACGGTCGTCTTTTCCTAAACTAGGCCGAGCCTGTACTATGGCAACAAGCCTGCTGGAATTTTTTTAAAGACATCTCCTGACTTAGGAATATATCCTGTGTCGCGAGGGACTTTAGAAACATACATGAAACGGGCACAAAGAACACCCAGACTCAGAACAACAATTTGTGGATCACACAAAGTGTTGTGTTATTTCATGTGGGGATCGAACCCACGACACTCAGCGTAGTAGTAAGCGGCGTGGCGACCGCTTAAACCATTACGCCATCAGTGCAGTCAAGAAACATTCATATTAATATTGGTACACTACACAGGGACACAGAACAAATGATCGTGTTCAACTATTATTTGTCGTGGGTGGGACGCGAACCTACGACCTCTCGCTTGGCAGTTAGAATCGCTAACCACGAGACCAACAGGCCCGTCGCATTAGAATAATCAAAGCGATCTGACTAATAAAGCATTACTAGGTGTTCGAATTCTGATCTTAATTCTTTGAGCTTTAACATCATATACATATTTACATTAATATAGGTATATATACAATCAATGGCCAGTATAACTTGAGCTATTAATGTGTTTAATTTCTGCACAATGACACACACAGGCCCATCAATATATTTAACCTTCCATAAAATCTGTATAGACATCTCTCCATAGCTTAGCTACTAGATATATTAAGCTTAAGGATTATTTTGAGCACTTGGATTTTGTTTGGCCAATCTCTAGGTACTCATTGAATAACGGAATCGGGAGAGGGCCGATCCCGAACGTAGAGGACGTCGGCGACGATACCGTCGACGTCGGCGACGGCCGCGGGCCGCCAGAGAGTAGGGACCTCTGGTCTGGACATCGTTTCAGAGATTGATTGCAGCGGTAGGGGATAGAATGGCAGCCTAAGTCCCCGAGGAGTAGAAGATCCGAAGGGATTTTCCACCCCGTCAACAAAAAAAAAAGAAAAAGGTACTAATTGGATTTTTTTTGCTCAAATTTATGAACTTTCACTGAACTGTATTCTATTGCTACCTAAATCAAACCAATAATATAAATCACAAAGACGCCAGATAAGGAAAGGGTCCTGAACAGTGCCTTTTTACTTTCCACTGTTAGGGGCGATAATCGTGCGACATCATCTCTAAATATATTTCACATAAGTTTTTGCCTACGGCTCCGCCCGCGTGTATATCGGCTATCGCGGTAAAATTAGCCTATGTCCTTCCTCAAAAATTTCATTAAAATCTGTTAAGCAGTTTAGCCGTAAAAGTGTAACAGACAGAATTACTTGCGCATTTATAATATTAGTCAGGACATTCCTACAGCGAGAAAATAGAAGCATTTTAGGCACACACCTAAACAAAACACGGCCGCAATAAAAATATGTCCCAACCACAACACAACTAGTCTAAATCTATGTACGTATATTATTCAAACAACAAACCTGTCCAGAATGAAAAACATTGCACAATTCCAACGTATAGTCACTTCCGATCATGTTTAGAACAAGTTTATGTAAAGAATTTAACTTTAAAACATTAAATATTAATAAATAATATAAACAATTGCATCGCCGCCCGACACAGCCCTCCCGTAGATTAGATTTGCAGTACTGACTAACTCGTGGACAACTTCAAACGTTAGGTGACAGTTAGCTACGTTGCCAAACTTATCCGGCGCTAACTTCATTACTATAAATGCACTTGATTTTAAAAATAAATCTTATGATACGTAAATCCATACTTTGTTAGAACACAATAAGGTTGACTGTTGTGTGTCTTGAATGGTAGATGATTGTTAAGGCGATGTTCTATCTGTCAAGTTAGTTGAATATTGGCCTATTGTTTTTGCAGTCATTCCAATCTTAGCCTTATGCCTATTTCTTAGCCAATGGTTCCTGGTCGATCGAATCGAACCAACTTAAACCGCTGGAAGGAGGCTAATTTCCAGGGTATAATCTAATAAGATCACATCAACATCATCACATCAACAGCGTATACTAGTCCACTGCTGGACATAGGCCTCTCCTTAGAAAGGAGGAAATCTAATAAGATAATCTCCGAGAACCCTGGCTGTGTTTGGCCGTCTCTTGAACAGAAGACCACCTCTTGAAAACTCTGTGAATTCAGGCTTTAACTTTGTACCTGGACGTCCCCACCGTTTTCATTATAACACTGGTTTTGACATTTAAAACTGATCTTTCCTACACTGGAGTATCACACAATATTAGTTTTGTTTATAGAATTCAAATCATTTGTCATCAACACTCTTGATTCACAAATTGAATAACGTTGCCTTAACGTTGAAAGCCTCATTTTTCCACATATTTCCTACGCATCGTTGCCGTACATATTCACCGTGAACCTCAGGAAGGCTAAACGATATTCGCATCCCTCTCGCACTCATTACAGAAGTACATACAAAGACGAGACGCCCACGCAATACTACCTTCTTTATGTTGATGCATTCCTATGATTATTCATCTCGCTCTTTTCACCTAACCAAGGTAGGGAGAGACAGAGAAGGGGCTACCTGCGCAGTGTCACTGACTCAGTTTGAGCCCGCACAGTGGTATAGCCGCTGGAGTTAGCCTTACAACTCGCTAAAATAACAATTGATATTCAAACGAGACTTGTTATCGAAACGAACGAAAATCAATGAAATTATAACTGAAAGAATATATGAAAAAATAATTGATTTTAAGTTTTTAGTGAGTTTAGTGTAGAGGTTTGGTCGGTGTTTAGTGTTTTGTGTTGTTTGAAGTGTGTGGCAGGAGTCCCGTTGGTCGAGTTAGCGGGTAAGTTGAATGAAATGTTGACATTGCAATACCTTTTTTTAGTTTTTTTTATTAGCTGATGACTAGGTGCTTATGAGCAGGATATAAATTTAGTGCTGCATTAAGCATTAACAGTTTTATTCTAAATACCACTAAGGTGGAAGACAAACATACTGGCTTGATTGTAAGCGATTAAGTTTAGAGATTATTCATAAAAGTGTTAAAACAGCGTTATCATCTGAAATCATTAACGGTTTATTTATTATGATTTGAAAACTTTACCATTTTCTACATACGAAACCTAGTATCTATTAGCCTTGGTAACCATTAAACATGCTGAGTGTTGCAATTAAATACCTAAGTATAATTTTCTGTAAGTGAAGCGACTCTGAAACTTCGTAACTAAAGCCAAACAAAATCAAATAAGACAATGGAACTAACTTTTTCTAGGTATATCATTTTTCCTTTGTGAATATGTCGAATTCTGTGCAAAACCACTAAAAACCCATTTTTGATTAGTAGTAGGTCGTCATGCTTTGTTTACTCATAAATAGACATCATTTTAAGTCCTAATTTGGATATGTTGTGCAAAACAACAATCAGACTTCTTAACCAAAATCTTTTAGTGTACAATCTCTTTAATTTTAAACTAATCTGTCTAATAATAGGATTGACCGACAAGTTAAAAGGCTTTTAGCACTCGCAATAAAGTTAGTTTGAGGCCACAAGAAAAGATTAAATGTTGCAAATAACTTTAATTTTAATCAACTCAACACCGGCTTTAGTCAAAATAAGAATTATTTATGGCTTATCTATTGTAACTTTGAAAACATCATGACTTTAAGTAGGACGTCTACATAAAAGCATACCTTTAAAAATGCCTCCAAAAACTTGCTACGTTTTTGCCGATCTACTAAAAATAATAATATCCTCACACATTTTATCTAATCCCAAACTAGGCAGAGCCTGCAACAATGGTAACCAGACTGCTGATAAACATAAATATACCCATATATATCTAAATCATATATATTATAGATTAATTTACATCCAGACTCAGGACCAATGATCGTGCTCATTACATAATAATTTGTCTTATGTGGGAATCGAACTTACGACCTCGGGGCTTAGCAGTCAGGATCACTAACTACTAGACTAGACATGAAAATTATTGCTACTTTTAAATCATATTCATTTGATGAAATGATTGGTTTTAGTCACAGCGATTCACATGTGATTGTGATTTCGTCATAGACAAAGATAGGTGACATTAAAATCAGTCAAAATTCTTTTCATCAAAGATTACGACCTTTTTTTAGAAATAGATAATAATAAGAATTAAGTACATCACTATCCATTTTAGGCAATGCAATCCTCGGGGCTCCTTTTTTGAATATTCAACTCTTTGTAAGTCGACGAAGGGTTATGAGTAATAGCATCACCTGACTGATGCGTAACTCCTCAGGAACTAACAGCCAAAGCGGGGCTCCTAACTGATGGTTAATCCGGTCCTGTCATTACCTCAATTTGCTTCCTACCTTGTATTCTGACAACGGCCGTCCCAAGGAGGTAAGACTTAGGAAGGCTGGCGACCACAAAATACATCAGTCAAAAGTTGTTTACAATGTTACACATTGCTTCGACCGCAAATAGAAAAAGGTCAAAGATGACGATGATTTTATTCTAGAACTTAATAATATAATGAGCATTGGTGAGGTTTTTAAATAGAATACATAAGGAGGAATATGGAAACATGTGACAAGTAAACATAATGGCAAACTACCTATAAAATTGGTGTCTGAAAATCGTAAGAGGCTTACCGTTGTAATTATACTAGTACCGACTGCCTCGGTGGTGCAATGGTAGCGTATGCGACTGCTGTGCTGAGGTCTCGTGTTCGATTGCCGAGTCTGACCAAATGTTTGTAGGATCCGCAAATATTTGTTTCGAAGTTTGAGTGTTTTCTATGTATAATATGTTTGTTTTTACATTTAGCTTTCATAGTAAAAGCTTAGTTTGAAACTAGATAGCTTGTGTGTCAAATGTCCGAAAATATTATAAAATTAATCTCTTTTCAGCTATCCTAACCGTATGTCCATTTTATATAGATTTATCTATTACCCACTAAAGTACAGTGACTAGATATTTTTGTACATTTTACATAAAATAAATAAAATAAATTCTAAGATTATGTTGCTTTTAAAGCCCACTAAAACTTTTTCAGAGCTATAGAAAGTGGGTGTAATTATCAAGTTAATCTTGACATATCTTTTCTGTCACAACACTGAAGCTTCAATTTTTGACCGCAACTTCGGCAAATTCATCTCATGACTCGGTGAAAATTTATATGAGGTACATAAAACAATGGCAGTGTTAACGAACTTTGGTTTCGACGAGTCAACGTCTTACAACCGACCGGGGCGTGTACAATCAGCTAACCACTGCTTAGACGATATATTTTTATTACGTATGTGTAATAATTTGTATAAATAACATTAGCTACGCCGTTGACATAGTGCTGCTGAGACCATCGATCGGCGCTTTGAGGAAACTTGTGGCGATCTGTTAGTCCTATGCAGTGGACCATAGGCTTAAGTAAAATGTCAAAAAGAGCGAACTTATTTTGTTGAAAGCACGGGCCATAACATATTCTAATATCCCCGGTGTCAAGATCTATGGCACCCCTTTAAAGTGGGTGACTAAATTCAAGTACTTAGGTCATTGGGTCACTGATGATCTTAGGGATAGGGTTGTTCGATGTAACATGCTGGTTCGAAGATTTGCACTCTGTACAAATCAAGTAAAAGTTAAGCTTTTTAAAGCGTTCTGCCAGTCCTTTTACCGGGGAGGTTTTTGACCAGTTTTACGCAGAGGACATACAGCGACCTGCGAGTCCAATATAATAACGCGTTCAGGATGCTGTTGGACTGTCTTGGCGTTGTAGTGCGGTATGTTTGCGGACGCGCAACCAAACGACTATAACGCAATTTTAAGAAAGAGGACTGCATCTATGGCCGGTCAGTTGCGCACCGCTACTAACAGTCTCCTGATCCTTCTTCCTAGTGTTTACGGATCTGTGGGACTCCCCTCTGCTGTGCCACTGGGCAAAGACATACACCAGCCACCATAATAATTGAGTATGATTAACATTAGTCTAAGTTATTTTGTTTGTACTAACCCTATGACTACGTCTGAAATAAAGTATTTGAATTTGAATAAACACATAGAGTATAGGTACTCTCAACCTACGGCTTTTGCCAGCGAATTCACCCATTTAGAAGTTATAAGCTTAGAAAATCTAATTGTCTTAATAAAAGAAATCTCTTCTTCTGTCCGCCTGGATAATCGGTTGAGTAGTTACGATAGGATAGCAAACAAACGCACAAAAAGCTACAAATATATTTGCATTTTTAACATTAGTAAGCAGTAGTAAGATATAGCTTTTATACTCTCTCGTATTAATATATATACTCGTATTAATATATTTTGGGTTGAATTACGATACTGATGTTTTGAAACGCAACGGTAACCGCTTACCCCCTGGTGGGTTTCTGCTTTGCTTTGTTATATTAGAAAAAAAAGCAAAATAAAATGAATTACACTTAGTTCAGTTGGCAGCAACAGGTCATTGGATAGACACGCCCAATTCTCTAAGAATGAGAGCAACGGTTCGTTCTCTTATACTCATATCTTTTATCAAACAACACGTTTGTACAACAGTT